ATCAATTATATGGAACCAATTACGGATTACACGGAACCAATGACAGATTACACGGAACCGATGACGGATTATACGGAACCAATAATGGAAACAGCAGCTACAACAATCAAACTAACAGATCTGGTGGAAGAATGGAAAGTGGCATCAGCAAACGTAATGGGCACACCAATGGAACTTGCACATACAGTAATTGAAATACCCGGAATGGTGCTAGATGGACTGGATGTGGAAAACTACATGGATCATGAAGAAATATTGGATCAATCTGTTCAACAAGTCAAAGAATTGGATCAGTCCACCCAGCTCAACAAAAATTACGTGAAACTCCTCCTTACAGAAAATCTAGCAGAAGATTTGGAATTTCCTAAAGCCTCAGAATTACTTTGGATTCAAAATATCAACACACACCAACACAAGCTCTTCAACAAACAACTTTTCAAACCTTACTTGGATGCATACAGATTATTTGAAAATTTCAACAAAATTCCTCAACATCTGGGACACAATACTACAGAACCTGAGGAAAATGAAGAAACCTTTGTGCTTCCGCCAGCACTGGGTCTATCAGATAACTCAACAACAATCAAAATTCTGCTGGAAAAAGCAATTCAACTCAATTCATTGGTTGAACTTGAAGATTCAATCATCAGTCTCTTTCACTTTAAAGCACCCAAGATTTTACTTTTCAGATTTCAATTACTTAAAGAACTAATTTTGCAACTACTCCTGAAGATTCCATCAGACCACTTTGGACAGCTGTATACCGCCTTCCACATCCCAAGAATCCTTGTTGGAGTTGGTTAAAAATTTCTCAACAATTCTCTTTTCCCCTTTTTTCTTTCCTTATACTTACAAAAACATCACAAAAAAAAAACACTCATAAAAATAGGCTACCTCCTGGGCATGAGACTAAACTGTTCAAACCTGAATTTTATCAACTCAGAAAACCTACAAAACCCAGCAAAATGAAAACACCCTAACCCCGGGTGGAAGTAAGAAAAGCCTTATGCAGATTCTACACAGGATGATGCAACCCCAATGAATACCCATTCAGCCACTTTTTTGGTGGAATTGTCTGGGGACAGAAAATAAGTTGGGGGAGGATGTGGTATACCTTAAGGGTAGCCATCTGGTCCATTTAAAAATTTTACAGTTTTTTCTTTTATTACAAATTACATACTTTTTACACCTTTTTTCTCATATATACACTCACAAATCACCCAATATGGCTCAAGAACTGGATTCTACGGTCAATTTCACCCTTGGTCACCACTGGAGGCGTCACTGGAACTCAACTGGATTGGAAGCTACACTCTCTGGACCATCACCACATTCAATTACACAACTCACCACCATGGCAACACTTCAACACTCAACAACACCAACAAATTACATAACTCACACTATACATATGTACATTGCAGGACAACTACATACACTCTCACACCATTATAGTACATGTATACACACAACTCCACTATCTTCTGACAGTTGACACATGCAGTGTTGGTCTGGTACCACTCTGGATTTACAAGTGACATCATGCAGGTTGTCATGTCATTTTTTAAGCTTCCTTGCAGCTGTCAGACTATCTCACACCACTCATGTAATATTCATCACCTCACCTTAGCTTGCAGGCTAGTACATCACCTCATGTAAAATTCTTCACCAGCATAAAACCCTCATGTAGACTTCTAGTTCAAGCTAAAATAACTCTTATGACATCATGTAGGTTGCTCAACCAGCCAAAGTACCTCATGTACATGTTCTGACTAGCTAAATCCCCTCATTGTAAATCTCTGGCCAGCTAAAATATCTCATTCTCTTGTTCCCCTGAAGCTAAAATCCCTCACCTTTGTGTATTTAAGAGGCTCTCCTCTCAGTTGTTTTCCCCTCAGTTTAGTATTCACCTATTTCATACCCCCTACCCTTAGAAACCCTTACATACCATTACATACCATCCCCTTACCATTGAAATATCAGCTAGACTCACTCTCTCATTCTCAAATCAACCTCCTAGACCTATATAGAACTGGGTTAAACCCTTTGTCCACCTGTTAAGCCACAGTTATCTTTTGATACACTCCACTATCACTTTATTAAACCTTCCAATCTGAGATTGGTGGGCTTGTCTAGTGTCTAGTGATCCAGGAAAGGCAGAGGTATCCTCATTCATCCCTTTCCACACTCAGCAAAACGTTTTCACAAACACTTTTGAGCTTTACAACAGACTGCTTTTTTGATTTCCAACAGATAATGTTTCCTTGAAACTTAACCACATAGCCCATTGTAGATTTCTTATCCGTGTTTGACATGGCATAGTCCGCATCCGCATAGCCAACCAGTTCTCTAGGTACGCTATGATTGCGAATTTCAATCCCAAACTCTATTGTCCCCTTGATATACCGCAACAGGTTTTTAAACAGGCTCCAATGATGTTGCGTGGGTTTTGACAAATATCAAGACAACAAATTTGTGGCAAACACAATGTCCGGGCGGGAGTGTATGGCCAAGTAATTAATATATCCCATCGCCTTCTGCATTATAGCTGCGTCAAACGGAGTCAATTAGAGTTCCACCTGATGAAGGGCGTTTGTTGGAAGCGGTGTGCAAACCGAATTGGATAATTTCGTATTGAAGGCACAAAAAATTTTCTCAACATAAGCCTGATGATGAAGAACAACTGAATTAGTTCCCCATTCCAGGGTATATCCAAGATGCTGTGTTGGTTTTTCTTTGACTTTTATCTTATAGGCCTTCTCAAGTTGAGACAGAAATGAAGTGATAATGGATTTGTTTTGACCTACAATAAGGCCATCATCCACATATATATGAAGGAAAAGTTTTTGTTCCAAGTTGAAGAATAACACGTCATCCATGATCGACGGAGTAAGACCAAGAGATTTGAGTGTTCCAGATAAGTGCTTCTTCCACATCCTCGGAGCCTGCTTCATTCCATAAAATGATTTATTCAATTTCCATACCCAGTTTTCTTTACCAGGGACTTCAAAACCAGAGACTTGACAAACATAAACATCCGCATCCATTTCACCATGCAAGAACACAGTTTCAACATTGAACTGAAAGACATCCCACTTACAAGTGACCACAATTGACAGCATCAACTTGAAGGTTTCAATTTGCCCAACCAATGCATACGTCATGTAATAGTGTTTGTTTGGTTCTTGATGATTTCCAAACTCAACCCACTGAGCCTGCAACCTAATGACTTCATTTGCCTCATTCAACTTCTGACACAAAACCCACATACCACAAATCACCTTTTCACCATTTGGCAGAGGACCCAGATCTCCAGTAATATGAGCTAATTGAGATGCATGCTCACTTGTCATGGCCTCCAAACACATTGGTTTTTCCTTCGGACTGGCCATAGCTTCCGCCATGGTGACCGGTTGAACCAAATTGACAATTTCTGGTTGTTGATCAATAGCCGACGTTATCTGAGTAGGTTGACAACATTTGGTAGAGACTATGTTTGAAGTATCAACGTCCCCACAAATTTCTTTAGAAGGACAATGATTCTCAACATATTCCCAGCTCGGCTTCAGGCGTCCCAGGGCCAACGTAGGTAACGTAAAGTGTCGTCCTTGATTTGGAGGAGCATCACAAGAATTGTCTACATTGATTGGTCGCTCTGACCCTCCAGTCTGAAGCTGTTGATGCGCACGCTCTTTCTTCTTTGTGGCACGCTGGAATACTCAAGCGGCATGCTCTTCTAACAAAAACTCAGAGTCGCCATTGCCAGATGATTCATTTTCAGACGGTACCTCACGTTCATTATCTTGACCATTTGTGAAACCCCCTCTCATTGCGGGTTTCACAAGATCTGTAAATACTTAAGATTACATAAGCGTGTGAGGGTACTTAGTCCCTTTCATCCCTCACAATCTAGACAGCAGATTTTCCTGCTCTCCCTTCTAGGTAATGTCCTTTTTTCCTTTTCATTTATCTTCTACTTGGTTCCCTTTCTCTCCAATGATTGTAGATACTGATTATGAGAGTTTCCCGCTCTCCCGTCTAGTTGAAATAAAAAATTGCCTTTTGTTCTAGAACGTCCGGCTTTTAGCCTTGAATCCTTTGCCTGTCGCCGTAATATCAGTGAAGAGATTGAACTCTTACACTTTTTTTTTCTCGAACCTCAAGAAAAACCAACGACTGACCTCTTTTTTTCTTCCGCCCAATACTGCCCGCCCGCCACGTCCCTCCTTCTGCCTGTGACTGGTGACATGGAGTTGTTGTAAGCGAAATGAGAGGGTGGCGAGAGTGATGAAGGGTCACTTATGACGCAAAATTTTGGGGGGGACCCAAAATATCGGATTTGGCAGGGAGATATATCTCGTTGGCCACTTTCGTCATATGTGAGTGGTTATGATGGGTCCTCCCAAACGCGTTCATGAGGCCCCGTCATAAGCTTCGATCCCCCGAAATATCTGCCATGATCGTTTATGACGATCATGAACAGCCAAACGAGGCCTTAATTGATTCATGTGCTGTTGATAACCATATGTAGATCTATGTAGATCTTGCATTTGGCAGTACCGCTTTTTGATCACCTGATACTGTGCTGGTGGTGTGCTCTTGGCTTTGGTTCCATCACCTGCTAGCCTGATCGACATTCAAATTCCTTACATGTAATCCTATAACCGCCATAAGTCCTTCATTCGCCAATTGGTATGCAGTTGAGTTGAATCAAACAAAGAATTCTTCCTGGATACGTATCCACCACCTCGCTTAATCATAACCTCCGTTGTTCCTTCTTCAGCCGGGATGAGCCAGGACCTTCCTTCGATCTTGAATCAAAAGTGTACATATGTATTAGTGTTCATTTGTAGATCCCGTACACATGACACCTGCCAGTGGCAGTGTCTATGGATCTAGGTAGTCCTCGGATTCCTGGTCCACCATCCACTCCTTGCGCGCTGGTGTGGTCACATCATTGTTTGATTACTCCGACTTTCGGAAATCGGTTGGCTTTCAGCTTAGTAGACTGCTGTGCACCTGCTACCCTCATGAATATAAAAGAAGGCTTTGTATCGCTCTCCTCCCCTTCTTTGACCATCAACCAATAAGTCACTTGAGACAACTGTGTTGCTGAGCTCGGTCCAAATTCCTAGTGTAGTCAGACCCAAGAGTAGCTTTTTGAATACAATTTGGCTATCTATTAATCACAATTGCTTCAGAGCTTGAGTTGAGCCTTGTAAATTGCCTAGACAGTGTTTCTGGACCAATGGAATTTAGTGCCTCCATGTTTTTTTTTATACCTTCTTGTGCGAGCTCTCCAAACATGTAAACTAAAGCTCCTGCCTGCTTGTCTGAACACCTTGCTTCTTGTCGGAAACTGTGCTAAGATTGAACCTGCTACAATGATTATGATAGCTTTCTCCAAGCTTATATCTTTCCACTTCGTTCTCAAAACTGATCGCTTGTTCACATCATAACAGATCGCTTCAGATTGTTGGTAACTTGAGAATACTTTGTATAGCTCGCTTAAGATTGTCAACACCTTGGATGTTAAAGCAATTTCTTCAAGCATCTTTCCATTGAATTTAAACCATAAACCTTGATGTCAAGCTCTGCTTGCTTGAGTGAACATCTATGATTGCGCTGAGCTTTCCTGATCGCTGTCTGTCAGACTTCAAACAGAGAGACAGATCTCTCCTTCCACTTGATCGCTTTCTCCAGTTAATCACTCTACGATTTGAACAGCGATAAAAGTTGTTTTCTCCTACGCGACTACTTGTTTGGTCCACTCCTTTTCTGCAGTTATTTTCTAGTTTTCTGGTCTGCTTGCTCCTAGGCCTTGTAAATATTAATTACACTAATCCCTTTTATCCCCAAGTCCTATATTACTATGCCAAAGCCTCTGAAAGAGAAAAGAAGATAGAAGAAAACCAAAAAAAAGACTGAAACAGCCGTTCTCCAAATAATTTTATATGCATTGACTTGCTTCTTATTGCTTGACCTTCCCCCCATATTCTCTTGTTTTGCTTGCACGACTATGATCTCTTATAAGTTACATTTATTCTTCTAAAAATACATTGAGCGTTGTTTTAAAAAAATTCAATCCTGAATTTGATTCCCCTCCTGAATGGGACCAAAAACAGGGTTCCTCTCTTTTGAAAAAGGTTTGTGTCTAGGTATGTTTATTCTAGCCTGTCTAAGTCCCTTTTTATCTTCATTATATATGCTGATTCTGAGTTTATATCCCAGTTGTCCATATCTATATTTCCAATCCCCTTCCTTCAATAATGCTTCTGTTCCAATTTTGCTGAGGATATGCATAAAATCCAAGTTGCTGGATCCTCCACCTGGTAGCTCCTTTCTAAAACGTTTGAGGTGTCTTTCATCTTTCCAGAATTTGTTTGAATATTTATGCAAAGATGAAAATTCTTTTTGAAAAGTATCTATCTGTTGAAATTCTAAATCTGGTTCTTGTTGAATGGTATCATCTAGGTTTGGAATTTGGGGAGTTTCTACTGAATTATGTTCTTTGTCTCTGATATTTTCCACTCTGTTCTCTCTGGATTCATAATATTGACTCCAATTCACTGCTTGTAGTGAATGAATACTGCCCAAAAGTAAGGTATACTGATCCAAAACTGGTGTTATTGAAGTGCAGGGTGACTCAAATCTTCCTTTATCTTTACAAATCTCCAGAATTTCATCCTTAAAAAGCTCTGGTGAATCTGATTGAACTAGCTGTGATGTCTGTATCTGCTTGAGTAACATACTGACTGACTCCTGCATACTCTGTATTGAGTCCTCCAGTTTTAATATTTGGGCAGCTTGGTGCTTTAGAATGATGGCTGATTGCTCCATACTAGATTCTTCCAGGGTAGACATTCTTGACTCTAGCTTAAGTTCTGGAAAATACTTCTTGAAGGCGGCGGATATTGCTTCCCTCTCCGTTGACTGTTGTTCAGTATTTGGCTGATGGTCCAACTTTCCCGCTTCTCTGTCCAATAATTCCCCAGGTTTACTATGTGATCCCTGATCCTCCACTTTAATTTAGTCTTCTGTTGCTGAGGGAGATTTACTGTTGATCTTCTGAAGGTTATTTTAGGCCACTGTTGGGACACCAGATGTGAGAACTCCTTTGGGATGGATGGCAGTCCTGTGAGGGGGAAATAGCAGATGAGATATATCACGTATGTAATGATCCACTACAACTGTTACGGCTGGTTTGAAAGACCTGCCCCTCTATTGTACTACACAAGAGTTAACACAACAATTTATTTATTGTTGTGGCAAAAACTGATGATAGAGAAAACTATGTGTAGTAGTCTCTTATCAAACCTAGATCAACGTGGATTCAGCAGACTATTTGAGTGGAAATGTTGAGTAAGAGATGATTTTTTTTTTCTGTTTATATGTTTATGTATTTTGGAAAATGATTGACGTATGTACTGATGATGAATGTGAATTTATGAGATGATATTGTGGAAAAAATGTGACTATTGAAAGTGTCTTTCCCTTCCTCCTTGAATCTTAGTCAAGAGCACAATGGTTTAAGATCACTGTCTCTTGTTTAAGATCACAAGTTGTACTGATTGCTACTTTCTTTTTCCTATGCTTCTCAAATGGCTGAATGATCTCAATGGAGCACTTGATTAAGATCACACTGGTTAATGTATGGATTGATTGCTCTGTTCTGTCTGGTTGATGATCAGATGAGATGATGAAAAATTGGAATGAGGGGGGGAAAGCCCCTCCTTAAATAGTCTATTTTACAACCCGGCTGACTTGTGGTTCTAGCCCTAACCTATAATCTATAAATGGCCAACTTGTGGTTCTAGCCCTAACCTATAACCTATAATTTATAAATGGCCAGCTTGTGGTTCTAACCCTAACCTATAACAAATATGCATAAAATCCGGCCAAATTGTGGTTTTGCCATCTATACAAGATTCTCTGTGTACCTACAAACAATGTGGCCAACTTGTGGTTACCCTATGCAATGAATATTGAATATGTAAACAAACTAAGGCCAACTTGTGGTTTGCATTATGCAATAAGCAATTTGTATGCAAATAAAACTTAAATCCCAAATAACTTTTGACTGAGTGGAGCTAGCCTAGTGGTTCCAGTGAGTGACTATAGGTTAAATGCCCCGTAGAATGTGATTATGCCATAATACGCCTGAGAATATATGCCCTTCTAAATATTGAACTGTGACTTTATGCAATTTGATACTTGAAACACAATTGGCATACTACACCGCCTGTTCTGTTGACCGTGTGGCCGTTCTGTCAATCGCCCACCTGTTCCATCAACTGACCATTGGCTGCCTTCCTGTACCACTTGCCCACTTTGGACCAACCTGGGCCCACTTTATTGTTTCTGTCTGCAACAAACCGGCCGTTCTCTGCATTCCTCTTGAATTCCTCCTCTCCGCCCGCTAGTCACCTCAACATCTTCGAACCCTTCAAACCTATCGGCTCCTCTGCCTTCTCCGACTCCGAATCTCGCGCTTCCCTAACCGCTTTGCTTTATAATCAGATCTCCCCACCCACCATTGCTACTTCTACAACCAGCAGGACAATCACGACAACTGAGGTCGGAGCTGAGAACTTGTCCGAGCGGGTCATTCAACTCGACCGTCGTTAAATTGCTTGATCTTGCTTCAGTTATTCCCCCTCTCTTCCAACTAAACAAATTCTTTTTGCGCGGAGTTCATGACAACTCAATCGGCTCAACAAGACCTCTTACCTGAAACTGACCCCAATCTTATCATCCGAGCCTCAAACGCTGAGAAATGGAAGGCCAAACTAATAGCTGAAAGAGAAGCTAGAATAGCGACAGCCAAGGCAAACACAGAGGCTTGCAAATCGCAGGGCAACCCCGCAGCGTCCAAACCCTCCCCACCTCCCAAGACCGAGGCTTCTCCACCTTCTAGCAAAGCAATGTCAACCCCACTGCCATCCTCGTCAAAACTGGGCGAAACAGCCAAGGAAGGAGGAAAGTCATCTACTACCAATCCGACTGCCAAGACAGAGACAATCTCATCCACGGGTCCCACTACGCTCACCTACGACAATGTCCCGTTGGACCAATTCATGAGATTTGTCATGAAAACTCAACATCAGTCTTTATTGAGTGCCGAAGCGGATCGCGTTGCGGCTTCCGAACGGATCAATGTCCTAGAACAAGCTGTCCTTAAAATGTCAACTGCGGCCGGGCAGCTGTCACAAGCTACAACACCAGGTCCTGGGAGAGTTGATCTCCAGAAATTCAGACTATCGGACGGACCTGTTTTTCGTGGGCCTTTTGGCAAAATCAAACCATTCTTGAAGTGGATACGAGGTATTCAGATCTTTTTCTCAACAAAGGAAGTGACCCACGCAGAGGACAAAGTCCGAATTGTGGGGAGCCTGATTGAGGAGACCAATTTACTGGCATTCTATCATAACGGATTGGAGACCTACATCGGCGGGACTTGGAAAGAATTCAAGACAGCTCTATTTGATTTTGCACTGCCTCCTCGCTGGCGCACCGACCTCAAAGAACAGATCCAACACCTACAGATGCTTGACTCGGAATCGTTCTTAGCTTATAGTACTCGAGCACGAACACTACAAAGTTACAAAGTCTACATAATTTTGATGAAGGGGGGATCACCGATCTTGAATTGGCCCAATTCGTGACCTTTGGGACAGCGGGTGCACTGCGTGGAAAAATTGATGACTTCAAATTACTAGAACGGGTATCTTTTGTGTATGCTACATTCGAAAAGAAAGCATCCGGTTATCACAAGAACTTGAAGGTACATCAAGCTACAAAAGATCTACCAGTCCCTCCAATTGGACATGTACAACAGACAAAACACCTCACTAAAGACAAATTCATCTGGACTCACAGGGGCTCTGCCACTTTTGCAAGAAGGCCTGTGGAAGCAATCCCGGTACCTGTCCTGGACCACTTGACAGATCAATTGTCCCCATACCACCATCCTTTGTTGCCCCACCCAAACCGCTAGACTACAAGCGCCCAAAACCTCGAAATGGTTCCCAATCTCAAGCTGGTAAGCCCACTCATCCACCAGCAGGCCGCCCTCCTACTAAAGTGGCAGCAGTTGCAGCACTAGCGGAAGACAAGATGTATGCTGCTCTTGACAAAGCAGCAGTGTCAGCAATTCAAGTATTGGATGACGAACTGGAGCTTGCAAGGACCGAGAAAACATTGGAAGCGGCGATCAATAAGGAGGCCAGAGTGGCAGCAGTTCAAGTGTCAGAAGAGAATTTTTTTCCTGAACTTGACCGGGCAGCGGTTGATGCACTCGAGGAACTGGACCAACACCTGGCGACTTTAAGGGGCAATGGGTATGTCCCTCCATTGTCATCTGCTCGACTTACCAGGAGTCGCAAGGACATTGGGAATTGCTTACATGGCCAATTTACTGCAGGTCTGGGGAAATCTTGGCGGATGAGGCCAGACTTCTGGCAAACTCCCCGCCCCTACCAGAACTATAGGACACGTTGGACAACACCAACCATCAAAAATTTCCCTCCTCCAAGGAGGCCACCTCTTCTACCACGACCAACAGCACGGGTCCACCTCACGTGTCCACAACCTCCAACTATCAGAGCCACTACCTTCCCTTCATTTTCTCCCTTGTCTCCCTCTTCATTAACTAAACACAAGCCTCTAGGAGGCCCTCGCCTTCTGAAAGATCACTTGGCTACTGTTTCATCTTCAAAAAAAAATTACTACTCTACTACTTCAGGCCTATTTTTTCTTTGATTTAAACTTTTTACTTCAATTCTTTTGTAGGAGGGGAGACTGTGAAACCCCCTCTCATTGCGGGTTTCACAAGATCTGTAAACACTTAAGATTACATAAGCATGTGAGGGTACTTAGTCCCTTTCATCCCTCACAATCTAGATGGTGTAAGACTCAAAAGTGGTTGTGAAACCCTTTTGCTGAATGGAGAAGGGGATGATGGAGTTGCAAGCTCTGCCCTTCTATGCTATCAGAAAAACAAGACCACAAACTCAGCTTGGCAGTTTATATATCGTGATAGAGGATAGTTTGAGATGAAGCTGTCAAATGATTCGTATAACGGTTAAAGGTGTTGATGGTGATTGTTGTTGATGATGTTGTTGTTGATGAAGTTGTTGATAAAGGTGTCAATGATTGTTGTCGAGGTTGAGGCTTGAACACAGGTCCTTGAGGTTGAGGGTATATAAAGTTAAAAAGAGGTGATTTGGAACCAAGGCGCTGGGCGCTGGGAGCACTATGCTTCAACCAGGAATGGAACAGGGGACTGGGCACTTGGTATGATGATGATGATATGAAAGAGTTATGAATATATTGCGATAAAATAAGGGTGGTTATATAACTGTGACTTGTAATATAATGGGTGGTGATTGTAAGGGTGGTTGAGATGATCTGGTCCACTGGTGGGATGATGGAAGGTACAACTGGCAGGCAGAGGCCTCCTTATATAGACAAAAGTGAGGGATTTTAGCTCCAGGGTACATGCAGGTGAGGGAATTTAGCTGGCCTGAAAATCCAATGAGGGAATTTAGCTAGTCTCATACATGCAGGTGAGGGAATTTGGCTGGTGAGAGCACTGCCTTGAGGGATTTTGGCTAGCCTACAAGGTCCTACTACAAAGGAATGCATGTGCACCTACAAAGGAATTCAATATGAAATATAAGCCAGTAAAGGAATTCAATATGATACAAAAGAATTCAATATGAAATATGCATCCAGTATTCAAAATGAGCTATAGTCAGAGTAATTAAGCCAAGAGATATCCTGTGATAGGTTCAAATAGGTGTAACTTCTGAACTAATAGAGATAAGGGGGTAGTTGTAGTGGGTGACTAGGGGTTATTTTACCTCAGGAATCCATTTTTGATGTTATTTTTACCCTATCTTCAATATTTAGAAAGATAACAATAAATTTTTATATTTTTGGCGTAGAAACACAGGAATAATTACCACAACAGCAGAGTTTCCTGCTCTCCCGTCTAGGTAATGTCCTTTTTTCCTTTTCATTTATCTTCTACTTGGTTCCCTTTCTCTCCAATGATTGTAGATACTGATTATGAGAGTTTCCTGCTCTCCCGTCTAGTTGAAATAAAAAATTGCCTTTGGTTCTAGAACGTCCGGCTTTTAGCCTTGAATCCTTTGCCTGTCGCCGTAAGATCAGTGAAGAGATTGAACTCTTACACCATTTGGTGAATTTACCATGTTGTATTCAGACAATGATTGCAAAGTTATTGAATCTGACTTGGACAATTTCCCTGGAAGACAAGCAGTCAAGCAAGGGATTTTACTGTCCAAGACCAAAACTACTTGAGGTAATGACTTCAAATCCTTCTTTATATATGGTTCAAAACCCAGGAACAGCAGTTCAACTCCTTTTGGAAGAATCTTCAAAGACTCCGGACAATGCACTACCACTCGAGCGCCAAACGGAACAAGAGGCATATTTGTGCAATCTGGTTCAATGAGAGAATTGTGCTTGACCAAGACTGACGTTGGTGAGACCCAGTTGATTGAGGAGTGTGGTAGTACATTTAACAGCGTGGACGCATGAAAAACCGCCTTGTGCCACATTGATTGGGGTACTTGTGACTGCAACAGCATACATTTGATCTTCTCAAGTAAGACACCATTAAATCGTTCAGAAACTCCATTAGTTTGAGGTGAGTCGGCCGGTCCACGCTCAATGGATATGCCAAATTCTCAGAGTTTTTCAAGAAAATTTGTTGAGCTGAATTCACCACCCCAATCACTGTGAAGGTATGCGGGCACACGTTGAAGTCGGACTTTGATTTAAGCAACACTGGGAGGTTACGTTTTCAGTAACAAAAAATAACAATAACGTAACTTAAAATTTTCCGTTTTTGTTGAAGTTTCTTGTAACGGTTTTCCGTTGCGTTACTAAGTTTTTTTGTTTTTTATTTTCCCTCATGCTACGTTACTCAGTGAGATTTTTTTTCTATTCATGGAACAGTTACGTTATCAAATATTTTCATAGATAACTAAAGAGATAACGGTATAGACAGTGTAATATTGATTTCAGGGCTTCACAAATGAATGCCTATAGATGTTGGCATTATCAGATATAAAAAATCAGTTTTTTTTTGGGACAACAAGCTTGGAAATCACCTCTCCAGCAGTATCAAATGCTCCCGTGAGAGGAACCCCCTCACGTAGCCACATCAAGCTGCTCACACTCTGTGACATTGTTTTAGGAAGCATGCTACCGCGGCTGTTGTTGCAAACATCAGAAGCTGCTGAGAGAAGTCGCTCCACAGAGCAAGAACTTGCTGAGGTGGCCAGGTAGCGTTGTGCCAAGGTTGCAACATTTGGATAAAGGTGGCAGTGTTTCTAGTAGAGATGGCATTTTACTATTAGTTCTGGCACTAGAAGGTTCAGCAAGGAAGATTCACATACCTTCCACCATTGCAGAGCAAATCCATGATGTGTAATGTCCTCGGGCTTAAACATCAAATTGGCAGATAGATACAACTGAAGTTCATGTTCTTGGGCTGATGGAGTCTTTTTGTTGAGTGATGCCAGGCGCGCCATTAGTCCTTTCGGGTCGGTGCTGCCACTGGTGGAGTCTTTTGGATTGGTGCTAGTTGTTGGTTTTTTTTGGAGGCTAGTAGCTTGTGTTGAACCCGTTTCCTTGATGCGAGTAAACTCTCCTTGAATAAATTTGTTATACCGATCCACTTCAATGCTATCTTGACCATAAACAAGAGTTAAAAGAGAAATTCTGTAGCAAGGATGGAGAATTGTGGCAAGAACAAGTGAATCACAAGCCATCGCTTCTTCAAGATACTTTTCGACCCGTTTCAACATTGCACAATACATTGGATAAAGTGCATCACTCTCCGTGGCTGCATTTTTTTTCTCTTCAAGGTCCTCCTTCAGCTCTAAGTACTTGGGGATGACATGCGCACCAGATGGATGATCACCCTCCATGTATTCAGTGAGCTTCACAAAAACCTAAGAAGATTTAAGGTCAGAAATCACATGTCTTAAATCATGAGGGTGGGTGAAATTACCTTGAGCTCAGAGTTAAGTTCCTCAATATCTTGCCAGTCAACAGGGGAAAAAGAAACATCATTGAAGATGCCAATGTTAGGATCGGTGGCTGAGTTGTTCTTGTTCCTCAATTTTCGTTGGGATTTCTCAACACTCTCTTGATCATCCTTCAAGATTTTGTCAATGACCTAAAAAATTATCAAATTAATATCGAATATAAAAATTCAAACCACGTTAAATCTGGAACTGACCTCTCAAGCTAATATAGCCCTCTTATGACTCTCATACTTGATGTTCCATCGTATGCCATAGCCAGCAATCAATGGTGAACATCTAATTCCAAGTGCATCAGCAGTTTGTTGGAAGAGACCCCGTGTAGCTGAGGATTGAGTAATTTGCCTGATGACAGTGTCAAGCTAAGAGTTACAAATCAAAGTGTGAACACAAAAAGTAAACAAAATCAAGTTGTGATCAAAAACATAAACGAAATTAATGTGAAGAATTATAACATACCTGAAGAGTTAAATCGCGCAGCTTTGCAGATCTGGAATGTTTATCTTTGGCCATCTGACCTTCACCGGTGTGGTAGTCAAAAGTGTGAAAATTCAAACTTTTTTCTTTTCTTTTCTTATATATATATTTTCTTCATATTATCACCTAATTTCTCTCAGAAATCACACCATACGGCTCAAGAACTGGACTCTACGGACAAATTCACCCTTGGTCACCTTGGAGGCGTCACTGGAACACACCTGGATCAACTCTTACCCAACAATGGACAACATATCACAAGGATTTCACCCATCATTACATATCACCAAACCCAATTACAACTCTCAAGCTACACAGACACCCTCAGTACAGTACACACTCATTTACATATACACTCATTTACATACATCTACACTCTTTACATTTCACTTCTACATATTACATCATACCTGCAGCCTAAATTAGTGTATTTTCCATGCATGACAGCTGCAGCTTACACCACCACACTCACTTGTAAACACAGCAGAACCTGACCAATCAGAATCACTCTTTCAACTGTTTGGATCACCACTTCAACTCTTGTACATGTCTGACCAATCACGTTCACTCATTCAACTTATGTATGTAGCTAAAACCCCTCATGTAATAGCCCAGGCCAGCCAAAATCACTCATTATTGGCTGCCCTGGAGCTAAATTCCCTCATTATTGTCTATATAAGGAGGCTCTCCTCCCAGTTGTTGTCTCCTCAGTGTATTATTCATCAGTCACAAGTTTAGTACCACTCAATCAAAGATACACCACCTTTACAGAACCTTACCAAACACCAATAACAACTAAACTCATTTCTCAGCATCACACAAACTCATTCCTGAACTTACCCTATCACTTGATTAAAACTTGCCAAGCTGAGCTTGGTGGGTCTTGTTATCTGATAGTATAGAAGGGCAGAGCTTGCACCTCCACCATCCCCTTCTCCATTCAGCAAAAAGGGTCTTACAACCACTTTTTGAGTCTTACACCGGACTTTTGACCATTTCTAGGCTCAGCATCTGGATTGTCATCCGATTCGGTCCCTTCACTAGATTCTTCATCATCTGCGTTACCATAATCACTTTCTTGTTTGTCTTTGATTTCATCAGGATTTTCTTCAGGCTGGCTGGCAACAGTGATCTCCTGCACATCAATTCCTAGATCGTGGTTTTTGTCTTCTTCAGGCAATTCAGCCAACTTTCCCAGAAATGGAAAAAAACCCAACACTGAATGTTTGGTTTTACCGGGAGGCAACATCTTGAGAGCCAAAGCCTGTAGGCCTGCATTCACGATTAAAGCAAGCTTATGGCAAAAGCATCGTATGTGCATTGATTCCAGATCCCAACTGGACGTCAAATTTCCAGATGATTCAAATATCTCATACATTTTCTTGGCCATGGTATTGTTGTTCGATCCAGAATCTGTGGTATGGGCTAGCATGTAAATGAGGATATGTAAATTAGTACCAATTGCCCATAACCATAAGATAAATCAATAACTCATCTTTTGGTGTAGATTGTTTTTTGTGAGGAGTTTGGCAATTTGTCGTGCCAAGAGCTCTCCCCTGTGCTTCCAGGGAATCATTTTGAGTGACATGGGCCTCACGATAAACTCCCAATTGGAGTTGATCAATTTCCTTTAGTCTTCCAAACATCATGGATGAGTGTAAAAGTGGTGTCAAGATTCTTGGTAATAGATATTGAATGAAATTCATCAGTATGGAATAAGAAAAAGAGTGGAATGATAGAACAGAGGAATTTATACTTTTAAAGAATCAAACACTTGTTTTCGAAGGCCAAAATATAATTGTTTGGCCTCATCAGCAGCCCATTTTCAAGAATATAAACGGGCATCATTATTTGCATAGAGAAAGGCGGCTTGTAGGTAGCAATCTTCAATGCGGGACCAAGGGAGTGCTTGCCGTACTTGCCATGCAACTATGATCTGGTTCAGGACTCGTCGTTCAAACTTCTTGGCCAATAAGAACCCATTGAGTGTGGTCTGTTTTGACTTTTTGATTTCTTTTGCCTTTCTAGCCTGATGCTCTGCAACACTTTCGGGTAATTGGTGGCTTTCGTTTTTGGCCTTCGCTTGCTGCTTGCATCCTTTTTTGTTTTTACAAAGTTGAGCCAATCCATCACAATGAGTTTTTAAGTTTGCCCGGGAGGTTCCATGGATTCGATAGGTGATGTGAAACCATTTGCACTTGTAATTCAACAACGTTCCAGGGACATCCTGTTTGATAGGAAATGAATCAGTCAATAGAAAGCTGGGTCAAAGTTAAACAAAGAGAAAAATATTTAATGACCCCTTCTTTCCAGAATGGAGGTTCAAAACATTCATCAACAAATGAGTAGTTGTCCTCTTCATCATCTGATTTTTCTGCATTTGTGTGGCCTTGGACTCGAGCTTTGTAATTGATTGCGTGTATTTCAATCTCTGAATCCTGGTTGTAGTCATAGTCGTCTTTGGCCTAAGATATTATTGTGTCAAACATATATATCTTATCAGCACATGATCTTATTTGAACGGTAGAGAAGATAAACTTACTTGTGATGCTAGGCTGTTGGTAGTTTGGGTAACTTTACTTGACAGAATTGCTGATCCAGGAGGCTGAGAATTGCCTTGGGTTGAATCTCTTGATGGAAGGTATGTTGGTCGCTTTGGCACCTTGGCTGGCCTTTTTGATGTTTTCTTTTGTTCAATTTATGTGTTTTTCCTTTGTTTGTTGATTGGTTGTTGTTTGTTCTGATTGTTTAGCGTTCCCTGGGAGCTGGTCACTACTGAGTCTTGAGGAGAAGCCGTAACTTGTCTGAGACGCTTGTTGGCACTGGCATTTGGAGCGCCTACCAAACTACGTCGGGAATCTGCTGGGGTGGATATAAGGGTTCGTGACTGAACTGGGGTGGTCACACGGCTTGAACGACGAGGTCCATTCTGACTTTGATTGGTAGCATAACCAGAGGCATCTTCATTGGAAGCAGAAGCGGTTGATTGGGGATCAGTACGCATCTTAAATAAATAGCTAGTTGATGGGTGGTGAATTTAAGTCGGGTTATGTGTTGAGTGTTGAGTTGATTTAAGATTACGATCTTTGGATGAGATAAGATGTTTCAGTACGAAATAAAGGCCAAAAGAAGCAGATGTTTCAGTACGAAATGAAGGCCAAAAGAAGCAGATGTTTCAGTACTAAATGAAGGCCAAAAGAAGTGGAATTTTTGTTTGGTTAGGACAACTTCCTCTGCATGGGAATTTGGATTTGAACCGACAACTTTCCAGGGGGTTCTTTGAGAATTGTTTCAGGCTGACCCAGGTCCTGCTTCAATTGAGGCTGGTTACTCTTCAGCTTGACAGTAAACTTGAAACCACTGGGCAAATGCACATGGATTGGCACAAAAAAAAATTCAGACCATAAGGGATGTCCAGTCTGATTCACTTTTGTGATGAAATATTTCCAAATAATGAATAAGAATCACATCAGTTCACCCAACGCTGTAAGTGGTACAATACATGTACTTGTAGTGTACTTGTAATGTATCAATTTTATCCAGATAAACTGTATCAGTATTGGATTGGGATCTAGGGAAGTACAAAATGTATCAGATACATTGTACTGCCTAAGAGACCCTATCCAGGCCTGTGTATCTTTGTTTTGATACAGTTCAGGGCAATAAGATTTGTATTGCAGAAGTTAGCCTACCTAGATGATGTCATGATACAAACATCAAAGTTCAAAGACTCAAATCCCTCATCCCCAGGTCACATCTCAAACCGATCCCTCATCCCCAGCTCACATCTCAAAACATGGCCCATTTCACTCCTCGTCATAGTCCAACTCGCAGTCGTACCCCTTCTGTTCCCCCATCACGACGTTCCACCCGCATAGTTACTCCTCTTTGCACCAACGCCAGATATGTCCGAACAAATAGTGACTGCCATAAATCGTTATCTCAAGATCCAAGAAGTTCCTCTGACTCTGAATCTAGTATCTCCGGGATTCCCAAGCCATCAAGATCCAATGCCAACCCTTGGCAACATCAAAAGAAAAAAAACCAATCCAACGAACAAACCAACACCAACCGGACTCAAAGTGCCATGGATCTGACACAGGATTCCGACAAAGAGAACTTCAAAGTCACCAAAAAGCAAAACAAACGTGCACGAAAGGACTCCAAATTTGGCTTAGATGAAATTGAGCTTTACTTTAATGAACCATTCTATGAGGAGGGGGAAGTAAGTACTAATTGTCTTTGAAATATTTTTTGTCTTGATCTTTGCTTACCGATTCAATGTTTTGCTTCTTTTTCAGACAAAGGAAGGGCCTCCAATGCATTACAAATGCAAATGGTGTGGCATTCCCTATAAGAAAGGTGATGGCTCCCGTGGAAATCTAGTTAAACATCGTGATGGTGCCACCAATCGATCTGCCTGTAATCAACGAGCCGAGGCAATCCTCTCAGGAGCTAAACTACCACTAACTGCAAAAGAGATTGCATCCAAAAAGCGCTCCGAAGAATCTGGCACCGCAAACTTCATACATTCAGGAAAATTTGATCCCAAGATACTCAACCAACTCATTGTTCTATGGATCGTACAAAGCTCGTTGCCATGGAGCCAAATCAAAGATAAACTTCAGCGTCTTGCCTTCCGTTACGCTTGACCAGGACTCAAGCTCAATTCTCATGTCTGGGCTGCAAGTGAAGCACACTCGCTGTACTGTAATTTACAGGAAAAGGTTGTCTTGATGCTCCAGGTAAGTCATCCTGCTCATTTCATTATCTCACTGTTACTCATACTCATAATTAGACTCCTATTTAATAGAATCTGGACTCGAAAATCAGTCTCATCCACAATGTTTGGACAACCAAAGGGAACCAACAGGCTTTTATGGGAATATCAGTCGCTTATGTTACCAATAAATGGGAATATAAGATCTTGCACCTTGGTCTCAAATATATCTCGTGGACCCACAAGGGGAAGTTCTTGGCTGTCCCCTTTGTGAACATACTCAAAAAGTTCTCGCTTCATACCAAGATAGGTGTTAATTCTGTTATACTTCTGATTTTCTTTTTATCAATCCAAATTTTTCTGACTTCTGTTTTTTTTTTTCAACACATCTTAGCACAAACCACTGACTCGGGATCAAACAATCACACCATGGCCGTTGAAGTGGATCGCTTAATCAAACAAGACACTGGATTCAATCTCGATCTTGCAAACAACCACATCCATTGCTTTTGCCACAAAGTGGCACTTATACTAAATGCTGGTCTCAAAGTGCTCGATGTCGGCACCATTGGGTTAACCAAGTCAAAAAAAGCGACTCTTGATTTTACTCCTGGCCTCGCGTGCATTGTCAAAGCAAACGAAGAAGATTCTGATCGATCGAGCTCGTTGGACGAGGCTGCTCACAGCCCTGCTGAGGATCGCGACTCCGCCAGTGAATCTGAGATGAGCGAAGACGGAAATGAGAGCACTGATTGTGCTACACAGTCGCAAGGCAACCACGTCGGACCGATCCTGAAAAAGATCAATTCAGTGATCCAGAAGATCACTGCCTCGGCAGCCAAACGATCTGAGTTTGAGACCTGGGCAAAAAAACTGGACTACTTGGGGCCAACCCTTATCGCAGGGTATGGAATTCGATGGAACATAAAATTTGAAAGCCGAGACCGAGGTTATCAGGGAAGAAGTATCATAAATCAGCTGCTTGTGAACGAAAAAGATCGACAGGAGCTGGAGGGAGGGAATAACTTTTACAACAACATTGAAATCTCGCGAAACGACTGGGACCTACTCAAAGAATTGAACGACATCCTTGGGGAGTTTTACTTCATCACCAAGAAGATGGAGGGAGACATCTCCTCAGCGGGGATGATGCTTGCTTTCAGCCACAGAGTACATGTCACAGTACCTTTCATGTACCAAGTAACTGCAACACCTGTACTTATGTACATAAGTACTTATCCATAATGTTGATTACCTTTACCTCTTGTTATCTTATCACTATCATTAACTTATCTTATTTATCTTACATTTATCTTATCTGTTAATTACTTATCTATTAAATACATACCTGTGTTCTACATAAGTAATTATACTCCTTTGTCCGTGAAATACCTGTACCACAAGTTATCCCTGTTCTACAGCATTTTCACGGTCAAATATTATTACAAATAAATATGTACATGTATTAAATAGGAAGTATTAAGTGTCAATAGAATTAATACATTCAATACATGCACTGATCACAATTATGACTACATTATTAGAGGATCTGTTAAGTACACGCATCAAGAGCTACTAGTACATTGATCAAATAGTACACAATTATGATGTCACTTACAGATCATGACAAATAATGATCAGTCACTCAATTGATGTGCTCATTCTCCTGGCCAAAGCTCCCTTGATTCTGAGCGCTCATTCTTTCCCCCCTTCAGTATTCTGGAACTTATAATCCGTACCTCTTTCACTGATTAATCCCCAGAATATTCAGACACCAGTTAAACCAGTTAACATTTATATTGATACAGTACACGTAACCAACATAAATCTTGTCTACATTTATTGTTCTTAAGCTTCAGTAATCTTACTCAACTTATCCACAGTATTCATAGCCTTACTGAATATTCCCATCAACAATACCTGTTAATCTTCAACTAATTTTGTTAAAGCTTAATAAGTATTGTTAGCCCATTCCCTTTTGGGAATAATCAAATCAATCCCAGGTGAGTCTTAGTACCCTGGATGCCTATTAATACCTTGTATTGATCCGGATGCGCTGTTGATAGCAAACCTCTCAGTAAAGACTATACTGATAGAGTGAAACCTCCTCTTTACAGGACTGGTATTATTCACCCACTACCTAACACTCACCACGCTCAAAAACTTCAGTCAACTCATAGTAACAACCTTCTTACTATTAAATACTCAGGTTAGTTACCCAGAGGCTGACACTTGCACAGTACCGATGGATTCGAGTCTTCCTGAACAAAAGAATGAATACCACCACCAGTGCAAAGGATGAGTTCAACGGTATGCTTCAAACAATGTTGCAAAAAACTGAAACTTACACAACTGAGGCCATTAGCTGCAATACAATCCTACTTGCAACAATCTTGAACCCTTGTTACCGACTTTCAATGATTAAAATGTGGTTTCCATCACACTTTACGGCCGCACAGTCCTTGATACAATTGGAGTACTCAAACAGGAAGAAAGCATCCGATTCTCAAACTTTGTCCAGAGAAAGCTCGCCCGTGAACCAAGACAAAAATCAAAGAAACTACAGAGACAATGAAAATGTTGATTTTTTTCCCGATTCAGTTGACTTGATACCTGAAGATGAGCTATCTGTCTATCTTGGCGGAAAATACAAATCACCAACTGAACAAGCTGCTGAACCTCTGTTGTGGTGGAGGGTAAGCAGGATCATAATTCATTGCATGTTATTTATTATTTTGTTAAAATTAACATACATATTGTGCTTGTTTTTCAGGACCATCATCAGGAATTCCCTATCCTGTCTCAACTGGCGAGAGACTACTTGTCCTGCTGTTCAACTTTAGCAAGCGTGGAGCGCTGTTTTTCCGGCTGCTGCAGATACCTGTGGGCATGACCGAGGTAGCTTGGGAGAACGCACGATTGAGAGATGTGTCAGCTCTCATCAATGGTTGCTTCAGGGAATGAAGCCCGATGGTAATTTTGAGACGGTATGCCAGATCATTGATCAGTTTACGGCAGATGAGGATAACCAGAGAACAAAACATGTCCCAACAATTTCAACATCATTGTAGTTTTCTGAGCAGAACTTTTTTTTACAAATTTTACAATAAAATTATGAGTTTACAAAAATTTAGAAAAAAAAGTTACAGATGTATCCAAAAAAACTTGTATTGGATTGCTCAATCAATACAATACAGGTTTTTTACCATGCTTGTATTGAAAATTTGATCCAATACAAGTTTTTTGTAGTTTCACCATGCTTGTATTGAAAATTTGATCCATTACAAGTTTTTTGTATTGAGTAAGCAATACAATACAGGATGTATCTAGAGAAATGTTTTTTTACAGATACAATACAGGTATATGTCCAGTACAGGACTGTATTGTACCACTTACAGCGTTGGTTCACCTTCTTGCAATTTCTCATCCATTCATACATCACCTCTTGTGCATTTGGTTTTAACTTATCAAATGTGTTTGGAAATTTCTCAGCAGTGATGTATTTGATGTTCTTTTTATGAATGTATTAAAAATAGAACCAATGATACTTTGATATAAATTAAACTTAAAGCACTTAGACCCATTTCAAATAAATGTCTGATGTCTCTCCAAGACGCTAGAGATCCTGACTGAAGCTGATACATGATTATAATGTATTATAATTTGAAACTGAGGCACAAAAACTTTCTTTTGATCTGTTTGATGACTTTGGGAAATGATCCCTGCATTCAACAAATTTATGGATTAACCACAAGCAAAAAGATGTGGCTTATGAGTTATAGTAGCAGGAGCATTTGAGAACATGAAAAGCAATGAGTTGAAGTTGAGAACCTTTCAAAGAGATACTAGGTCTGAGTCTGAGTTGCATTATTATAAACCAAAAAATTAATATTGTCTGATTTATGTGGAAAGGTTTTGCATGTAACATATTGATAAACTTATTTCCCAAATAACACAGACCAGAAACAAATTTCCACCAGTTATTGAGGAGTTTTCTGCTGTGCTACATCCAGGACCAGAGGAATCAGTATCTCCAGAGCAAAATTGGTGACTTAGATTTAAACAATCAACAGTTGGGAATTTATCTGATTTAACAGACCTTATATTTTGTGCCTGTCAGCAATATGATTAGTTCAATCTATTTGAAAAACCAATTATTGAGACATCATCTGGTGTGCCACAAAGACCATTCATTCTTCAAATATATAATTTTGATCAAAGACCTAGGTTGCATTTCCAATTTCCTCTAAACATTACCACTTGAGAAAACCAAACACTCATGTTGATAAATATAATTGAACAAAGTTGGCTCAGATCAGGATGAAAGCTCAACCATTCATTGGAGAACTTCCCATTGATTTGAAAACCTTTATCAAAAATTGTAAAGTTCTAATGTTTTCAATACAATTTAGAAATAATCTGATTGCAAAATGATTCAAAAAAATTATTGAAATCTATACCTGTTCCTCAAAGATTCTATATCAAAGCTATGGAAATTTAAATATATACCACCATGATTTTGAATGGTTTTTACTTCAATTTCAATTCATTCTCACGAGATTTATTACCAGTTTGACTTGATGATTATCCTTATATTCACCACTATTCATTTAAATTCTTAGTGGTATGGTATCCTTTTATCAGTGCAATGAGATACCCCAAAAAAACTTAGAAAATGTTAAATTTGAAATAAAGATTCAAAAAGATCCTATCCAATCCAGCAACTAGGACTTCCGAAAGATCAATTCTGCATTTTGGGCATACATAGAGACACTGAAATAAACAATAAAATGTTCCATATGCATAATGCATACCTCATGTGCAGGCATTTTCCCATTTTCATTCATGAAATCGACTCACAACCACATGACACATCAGACTTTGTTCCTGGATTTCACTTTGACAGAAGCAACTCACAATCTGCAAACCATCCGACTTAGTTCCCAATTTTCACCAACACTGGGTGAGTCATACAATCACTATTCTTTCTCATCCAATCATTTCAGATTTGCAATCTCTTGCTGTTTGCTGCTTGCATTGAATCCACCGCTCACATCCCTTCAATTGAGTATGATCAAAGAACTTGGTTGTGCCTTTTGGAGGTAAATCAATGGGCCATCATGTGGAGGAAAATGTGATGTAGCTCAAGAAAGCCATCCCTTCTCTTCTTGAAATACTCTTTTCAACTTTCATTTGTTACTTGTCCTATATTCATGCTAATCGTATCCTCTTGCTTTTATCAACAGTCTTCATGAATATTTGACCAGAGCTCTACCCTACTATCAACTGCTACACAGTAAGTTTATTTTTGGTCTCAATCATTTTCCAAAGTAACGCCCCAACCAAGTGAAAAGCCAGACCCAAACGGCTTGGAAAGCGAGATCAATTTTTTTCATCAGGGAGTTGTCTTATCTGATATCGACTTTGCTTCGACTATGATCAAGTTTTTCTTGCTTTTTCTGGCAAGTTTTGTGTTTCAACTTGACAGCCAACCAAATTCTTTTTATTGGTATGTTACTGATTCCAATTAAGACTAGCTATACTAACAATCGAGTCTTTCTCAGAATAATGTGAATAATATTTTGCTGACTGTTTTAATGAAACATTGATACCAAAGAATCACATCCAATATCAAACTTGGTTCTAAAAAGCTATCAGTAAGTCTTTTTCTTGATGGACTGCTGATTGCAATTGAAAATTGCAATAAAGATACTGATTGTTGCAATTATACATTGATAGAACCAGCTATCTTATTATCAATCAATCTTGATTAAACATATTGGCTATCAGTTATTTTTGATCATTCAACTTGGATTGAAGTTCTCTCTTATTTAACCTGGTTTGTTTTTGATTGCATCTGGTTACAGATCCTATAAAGCAACTGATTGTTACCTTTTTGAACTTGGATTTGGCTGATGCTTACAACCAATCAAATTTCATCAGGGTTAGCTGCTACTCTCAGCTGATTGAATTTCACCAAGGCTAGCTGATACTCTCAACCAATTGAATCACATCAAGGTGAGTTGAGCCTCTTAGCCAAGTGATTTCCATCAAGGTTGGCTGATACTTTAAGCGAATTGAACTCCATCAAGAAACAGATCAAGAAGAATCAATCACTGTCAGCCTCTATGCTACTAACCTGTAAGGGTTGTGCTCTGAGTGTTAACAAGAAGAGTAAGTGAGAAGGTTTATTCAAGTTTAAATTACTCAACCTGTGAAAGAAACAGGGAGGAGTCAGTGAGGAATGGTACTTCTACTGCTGACTCATCCAATTATTCAATTGGGCATCCAGATCAATCCTGTTACGTGGATTAATAGGCTTCCAATGTGAGGAATTCTTCTACTCACATGGGATAAAGTCTTTTAACAACAATCCAGATGAATAAGTGTATGTACACTTAAGGACCAGAATAGTTTAACCAGGGGGATAATTCTTTATGCAATAGAGATAAGTAGAAATGCCTTGAATCTGAGCAAAGTAAATCTATTTAGGTCTAAGGTAGCTGGATTGCAATGTTATTGGTGGGTTGAATCACTAATAATCACGGTACAAGTGTTGGTTTGATGCTACTAGAATTTCCTGGGGGGAAAAGGTAGGAATCTGAGCTCCTTAAATATTCTACAGGGGGCTCAGGGGAAGAGGAGAGGCCCTCAGGGCACTAGGGAGCTTCTTAGCAGCTTTACAACTTCGTGTAAGGATGGGAGCTGCAGCTGTGCAGTGCTGTGCATGGGTGGAAGGTCCTAGGACATGATGTAAAACCCCTCCCATGTTGGGTTTCACAAGGCTGTCATGTACATGTCTTCTTGTCTCTATCTTACTTCTAGCTCTCCCTTCTCTTCCTGGCTCAGCAGAGAACTGACCCCGCACTCTCTCTGAGCCAGGTGAGCCTTTGATTTCTTTTCATTTCATTCTCTTTTTTTTCTCTTCATTTCTAAAGTTGTATCACAGAGAGAACTGACCCCGCACTCTCTCTGAGCCAGGAAATACAAACCCCCCAGTTTGGTCTTAGAATTCTTCAGCTCATTAGCCCGTCTCCGCGCCTTTCCCCTTCACCCAGTGAAGGACTAATAGAGTCCTTACACTTTTTTTTTCTCACACCAAACAAACAAACACCTTATCGACGACTGTTTGGAATAACTTTTCCGCTTTGCACTGACTGTCCCGTTTTGCACTGACTGTTCCTACTGTACCGTTTGGCTTCCTTTATCTGTTCCGTTTACTTCAACTGCTCCGCCCCGGCTTATCGTTTCACATCGCTCCGGACTACTCAGATCGATCCTTTGCTTCATTCACGCCACCCCCTTTTCTCCTCAGCCTTCTTTTACTCCGCACTCGGTGTGGTAAGCCAATCTTGAATAAGAGGCCCACAAAATCAAAGCTTCAAGTACAATATCAAGCCCTCTGGATGACAAGACCCTCAAGCATCAAGACCAGCCCCCTCTGGAATATTCAGCCAACCTGCAATACCATGGATGTCACAAGACCAAGCCCCCTGGACAGAAGATACTCTGGATTCTCATTTCATTTCATTATTACATAATCAGCTCATGCAGTCTTACATCATCAATCCCCATTCAGCCTTCCACATTTGGCCTCTGCATGTGTTTCACTCTAATCCACTTTCACTCTAGTCTCATTTCCACTTTGGGCCACATTCTATTGTTTCACACTATTCCTCTTGGGTTATTTTCATGTCTCACACTAGTACACATCTGGCTAGTTCATTTATCTCTTTGGTATATTCTTCCTCCCTCATTGGTTGTGGCAAATTTCATCCCTGCATGTCTCTGATGTCATTTTTCCCATTTATCTTAGTGCCTACCAATTGGGCCACATGTTTCAGTTTGATAATTTTCTCTTGTTCCATTTTGTTCCATGGTGTTTCCAACCACAAGCTGGCCACTCCCCAGATTTTGTATATAAGGAGCCTTGTTTTTCCCTCTTCATTTGTTCCTCATCAGATCCTGCCCCAGCAATCCAGATAACTGATCACCCTTCATTAGCCTAGTAGTTGCCCATCAACATTTGGGATACTAGTATTATTCAGACAGAAGACATACCCATCGCAAGAATTCTCCAAAGCCACACCTTTCCTTAAGAGTCCACACTCTTATCTTTTTCTTGTTATCTTACTCAACCCAGTTTACCAGAGAGGCAGCCCATTGAAGCATCTTTCCCTCTCCAGCTCTATTCATCCCAAATAGTAGTTCCACATCGTCCTGGGCTTGAGTGATAGCAGAGTGTTGGATCTTGAGCACGGCCTTGAACCATTCCTTAGCCGTACTAATGTCGGATCCATCGGCTGTACGACTGGAGTCGCGAGTGGAGTTGGCTGGTGGTTCTTGGCCTCCGGGTGGGATGATTGTTTCCAACATGATCGTAGGAGCCAAAATCGACAATGAGGGGAGCGGAGTGACCGGGCGGTTTGATTTCTGTTTATTGCATCTTTTCTCAGCGTTCCCAGCTTTGAGTATTGCCTCCGGATCAGATAAGGGATGGATGTTACCAGAAGTCGCGTTGGTCCTCTTTATCATCAACTCAGCCAAGCGCAAATGGGAAACTTGAGGTGATAAGTAAAAAAAACGGAATTGTGTTGCGATGAAGTTGCGGGATAATTTGAGCCCATAAATTGGTAGATCAATTGTTTCTAAGACCAAACAGGATAGTTTTTATTACTGGCTCAGAGAGAAGTAGGGATCAGTTCTCTCTTGTACAATCTGAATGGAAGAAACACAAAAGAAGGAAAATGAGGATAGAAAAGGAAAACTCACCTGGCTCAGAGAGAAGTAGGGATCAGTTCTCTGCTGAGCCAGGAAGGAAACCCTGAGACGGAAAACTAGAGATATTGTGACATCTAGCTTCTAATCTTGTGAAACCCTGACAAAGGAGGGAGGCCGGGGTTTACACCACCATCAGAAACCAGTCACTTTTCCAAAAACTTTTTTTTGCATAAATGGGCCCCAAAAGGGTTTAAATGGATAACCAACATGTTTAAAAAAAGGTGGATTTTTTCAAACCAGTCAATTAAATAATGGTGGATTTGGTTATATTTGATACCCCCTATTGTCTGGTTTTCCGTTGGACAATTGCCCAACTTTAAATCCGGACACTCAAATTAACCCGGCTCCAAGTTCAGACAAGAGTCCTGCGGCCCCAAATTCTCGACTTGGCTCCTCTTGACCCCGCCGTACTATGGCATCTATGCTTGGAGACCTTCAAGCAAGCATTGCAAGGGACAAAGATGATGAATCTGATGATGACCAACCATCTGGTTCAGCTGCACCACGTGGCCAATTTGTCAATCAAGCCAATCGATTGATCCCCGCCCCAAGGAGGGAAACAAACAACCAAAAGGGAAAATCGACTGTTGCGGCTGCCTTTGGATCTTTGTCTGATAAGAAGTTTGCTTACCTCGATAAAAATATGGAGATTGAGAAACAGAAGTTCCAGTGGGAAAAAAAAAGCACCGAGACAAACAAACTACGGTAGTTGACCGAGAAAAAGCTAAACTAAAAGCAGCTGAAAAATGGATGGGTGAGGGGAAAATTCCGGCAGAGATTGAGATCCTCATGAGATGTATCTTCTGATCTTTGGTTTGTCTTTCATCTAATTAAATGTATTTTATTTTTTATAGCGCTTTTATTTCTGCATGCCTCAATCAATTCAATCCAAGTCTATCTCAATCAACCCTTCTATGTATCAAGCTCAATTCAGCATTATTCACCGTGTAAGAATACAAAACACTAGTTTTAATTTCTACATTGATAGTTTTGTCTTATGTACACATTGAGATCAGTCACAATAACTAGCTCAACAATGATGATGTTTACTCAAATATCAAATAAAACTTTCAGTTTGAAGGGATAGGTAATGTACCGTTGAGGTAATTAAAATACAAGCACTTATTTTGAATCTCTTCGCGGTGGACAGTGTCATCATCCTCATCATTTAATTGAGGTCCTACTGGGCCATCATTATCATTTGAGACTGCAAGGTCATCCCAAGAGTCGCCGAGGTGAGCCAGCATGTTGTGTAGAGCCACACAACAGTTTATCCAGCGGATGATCTCAAGCATGTGTTGGGGTGTATACAAAGATAAGCAAAGCTGTTGGAGTGATGCCCAGCGGCCCTTGAGAATTCTGATTGTATGCTCATTACGTACCCATGATTTAGCTAAGCAGTAGTTGAATTCGGTATTTCTAGTTATCTTTGAGAGGGGTGATTTGTATGCTGGGATAGTTGTCATTTATAATCTGTAAGCTGAATCTGCAATAAGATATTGACCTGAAAGAAGAGAAGCAAATCAATCAGCCAACGATATTTGTAACCAACTCAAGATCAGGCATGCATACATACCAGAATCAAAAAACCGATTTGGTTCCAAATGAACCTTCATGTTACTGAAAACCAAGCTGTTGCCACATGTTCCTGGCCACCCCGTCATGAAGGAAGTGATGAATCTATCACAATCACATATCACCTGGCAGTTTATTGAATACTGCTTTTTACAATCCCAATATACCTTGCCAACAAGACCAGGGCACTGGTGTAAAGGGATTGTCGTGCCGTCCACAAAACCGACACATCCCTCAAATCCTTCCTCTTTCATCACCTCCGATATCTCAGCCCGTCAATCCTTATTTGGCCAGGCAATGAAGTTGGTCAAAACTTCATTGATCGCTTGAATAACCCGCCGGCTGACTTTGATTAGTGTTCCCCGCCCAACACTGAGATTACGTGAGAAACGTCCGACCGAGGCACCGTTACCGTTGGACCCAAGTCGCTCGAGTGTGAGAGCCAATTGATGGGGAATCGGGAGTTGAGGTCGGGCGCTGTTACTATAGAATATTGCATGTGTACGGATTTGATCGAGAAGCCAAAGAAACCCATCCTTGGTGGTTCAAACGGCTTGTTTGAAATCGTCATTGCGCATGTCGAAAAGTTTGGCCAGGTCGTAATCATCATGAGTTGTTGGTGCGGTACGCAAGCTCAAATACCGATGTGAAAGCAATTCCTCCAGAATGTCGGCACATTCTGCCTCGTCATCAAAAAACATCTCCCAAACAAACTGTAAGCTTGGGTTGCTTGGAAAAAGGATCATACCAAATTTGGGGATTGATGGAAGGTTCATGACACCATCGTGAATTTCTTCAGTCGCCTTGTGGTGATGGTACGCCATGATGAGAAAAACCTCCCTGATGATTTGTTGGCGTTCACTGAGCCCTCGCATATTGTTTGAGTGATGAGTTGATTATGAGAGGCAGGATGGATGGATATCCCGGTAGGCTTTAGGCTCATTTGAACATTTTAACTGCTTGATTTTATTCCTGAAAAAATCTTATTGTGAACCCGCTAATAGCGCGGGACCCTTAATTTTCCTGGATCTGTTAATTATTAAGCTTAATTTTGATTACAAATTAAGCCCAGGTTTGAGCGCTCCCAAATCCTGAGTTGATTAATTTTTTTCCTGACAAAATTTATCTTGAACCCCGCTATTGCAAACTTTGTTTTTTTGGTATCTTGAATCCAGCTAATGTTTGATTTTGTGGAATATTCCGGAGTATTTTCTAATTTTTCTGAAAGTGGAAATCTTTATTCACAAAATCCTGGTTGCAAAATTTTTTTGATTGCTCCTCCAGTTCTGGTATATCCTTATAGCCCCGTTGTTTCCGTGGTTTGGGATCAATGGTTGGAGATGAAGATGGTTGGAATCTATTGGATTTTGTAAGAGTTGACTTTGGTGAGTCTTGAAGTGGGTTTTGAATGAGTTGATGTATTTGTTTTCCTCCTGATTTGCAAATTCTCAAAATGACAAGAAAAATTATCAGAATGTTCTTTTTTAACAGCATTTGTTTTGGTAGTTTTCTAAATAGATCCAGAAGAAAAATTTTGAGCCAGTCTAGGAAGCCCGGTGTTCTGAATATAACTCTCTTGACTAGCTTAAGTGAGTAATTCCGTAGTTGAACACCGCAATTCATAAAAAAGACTGTTTCAAAGCATTTTTGAACATCCGATGATCCTTGTTTGGCCCTATATTGTTGCCCTTCATCTTCACGCTGTTGGTACTGAGATCATTCTTATTATTCCAGCCCCTTCCTTGGCCCTTTCTTGCTAATGGTACTGAAACCATTTGTCCCTTCGTTCCTTGAAAAGAAAGAGTTTCACCATTCTCATGATATTCCAGAGTGCATCCATAGTCAAATAGAAATGGCCGTCCTAAAATAAAGTCCTGAGCCTTGGGTGAAACAAATAAATGTGTGGGTCCGGAGAATCTTCCAATTCCAACTGGGCAATTTTCAACTACTCCATTTGAGTCACATCTTGCTCCCCCAACTCCTTTCATTGGTATATTATTTACTTTAATTAGTTCCAAATCCAGGTCTTCTGCTACTGATCAAGGCGTGAAATTTACCATGGATCCTGAATCGACCATAAATTCCACACTAGCTCCCCCAACTTTGGCTGTTACATATCCTAGGGCACAGCTATAGTAGCACGGGTCTGAGGGATCTTCTATTTCCGGAGTGGTCATGGCTGCCAAGACTTTTGTGGCTTCTGTAGTTATATAGGTTGAACTACTCTGTTCTGGGAGTCGGTTCTGAAGTTTTGAAATTATTTGTTCTGTGTAGGTTGGTAAGATAGCCGTAAGTTGAGCAAATGTTGTGGGAATTTTTAAATGATCCAACTCTTTCAGCAGAGCTTCAAGTTCTGGCATTGCAGCCTTGTTTTTATTGACTGGCTTTTCTTTACTCCACACTTTCTCTACCACAGGAGTTTTAGGTGTTTCTTCCATAATCTTGGCAAGCTTGTCTTCTTGATTGACGTCCATGTTGTCTTTTTCTGGTTCTTGAATTTGAACACTGTGTCTTACTTGTTGGCCCTCAGATTGGGTAACTGTGTGGTTGGCTAGAAAATTTCTGAATAAAGCAGTGGTTATTTTTTTATAATTTAAAATAGGGAATTTGTATGAACCAGAAAATAACATGATAAGGCGGATGGTAAATAAAGAACACATTAAGTGACAAAGGTAACTATCAATGAATCAGGATGTATATTTTTGGGATTTACATAAAGTCTTTTTATATATCTCTTCAGGAGTAGCATCTTTTAATCTTTTAGCAGCAGCGGCAAGGCTCCTGTTGATTTGAAAAGAATAACCTTGGTGAGTCCAGCTGCGTTGTGGATCATTTTGAGAAGAAAGGGAAGGAGGATGAGGAGTTGTACAATCTTCCAAACAAGCTCAACAATACTATTAGATTTTAAGTCAATCAGATAAGCATGCCTTGGAAATAAAAATCCATGACCTAATTTGGAGGAAGGAGGAGGAATGGGCCTCCCAGATCAATATAAGCAAATATACCATAGTTCCATCCATTTAAGTTGTTTTTGATGGGCTTTGTTGTAGAAATTGTTATATGTGACGGAAACATTTGCCGCAAATTTGAGGTGTTCATGATCCTCATTCTTTATTTCAGTCCACTCCTCCTGAGACCAATTAGGGATTCTGTATTCTTGCATCAGCGCTTGATTTTCCTGGTAGGGGGTTTGAGAGATTGCTTCCATCCTGCCAGAAAGGAAGTTGTGAAGCATGGCCCAGTTTAAGCAGGGGTGAGTTTGTCGCGTGCATAAGTACCTAAGAAAGTAATTAACAAATAATCATGAGTACAGTATATGGGATTACTTAGGGCATCATTGGGAAAAAAAGGCAATTCAGACAAACCTCTGGACTTGTCTTTGTCATTTCCTGGGTGGAATCCTATCAGATGCATTTTTCCATTGAGTCAATTGGTATTTTGTTTGTTATTTCATGGATTGTTTGGACCACATCACAGAGTTTGTTGAATATTGGGGTAGAAGGGGATTTTTGGAAGGAATGATACTCCAGGATGAAATGAGGTGCAAGGCCAGAAGATAGTGCAATTTGAAGGCAAGGTTTGTCAGGCTCTGGGTAACTAACCTGAGTATTTAATAGTAAAAAGGTTGTTACTATGAGTTGACTGAAGTTTTTGAGCGTGGTGAGTGTTAGGTAGTGGGTGATTAATACCAGTCCTGTAAAGAGGAGGTTTCACTCTATCAGTATGGTCTTTACTGAGAGGCTTGCTATCAACAGCGCATCCGGATCAATACAAGGTATTAATAGGCATCCAGGGTACTAAGACTCACCTGGGATTGATTTGGTTATTCCCAAAAGGGAATGGGCTAACAATACTTATTAAGCTTTAACAAAATTAGTTGAAGATTAACAGGTATTGTTGATGGGAATATTCAGCAAGGCTATGAATACTGTGGAGAAGTTGAGTAAGAGTACTGAAGCTTAAGAACAATAAATGTAGACAAGATTTATGTTGGTTACGTGTACTGTATCAATATAAATGTTAACTGGTTTAACTGGTGTCTGAATATTCTGGGGATTAATCAGTGAAAGAGGCACGGATTATAAGTTCCAGAATACTGAAGGGGGGAAAGAATGAGCGCTCAGAATCAAGGGAGCTTTGGCCAGGAGAATGAGCACATCAATTGAGTGACTGATCATTATTTGTCATGATCTGTAAATGACATCATAATTGTGTACTAGTTGATCAATGTACTAGTTGCTCTTGATGCGTGTACTTAACAGATCCTCTAATAATGTAGTCATAATTGTGATCAGTGCATGTATTGAATGTATTAATTCTATTGACACTTAATACTTACTATTTAATGCATGTACATATTTATTTGTAATAATATTTGACCGTGAAAATACTGTGGAACAGGGATAACTTGTGGTACAGGTATTTCACGGGCAAAGGATTGAAAGGTAAGTTATAATTACTTATGTAGAACACAGGTATGTATTTAATAGATAAGTAATTAACAGATGAGATAAAGATAAATAATATAAGTTAATAATAATGATAAGATAACAAGAGGTGAAGGTAATCAACATTATGGATAAGTACTTATGTACATAAGTACAGGTGTTGCAGTTACTTGGTACATGAAAGGTACTGTGGCATGTACTCTGTGGCTGACAAGGTTTATCTGTTTTAGGCAAGTATTGAATAGGTTTCTTGGAAACTTCTTCTTCAGAAGGGGAACAGATAAAGAAATATGTATGCTCTGTAGAGCCAAATTTTCTTTCAACACTAGCAATCTTGCCCTTTTGGAGGCTGGGGTTGGCATTGAGGAGCTGCCTGCGGGCATTCCTTGTCTTATTCTCTGGACCGTGTGTCTGAAGATGGAGGCATAAGGGGCTAGGTGAGTTCAAGGCTGAAAGGTCAGGCCACCTGCCAAGATCTTCAAGTTCACATACTGGCGTGAAGCTTTGGATTATTCAGTTCTTTGGACCTGATCTGCAGTGTTGCACTACCCTACTATCAAAAGAGGTGAGTGGTGGGGTGCTATGTATAGAAAAGAAAGGGGGGGTCAGTATGACCACCCTCTTCCTCCTTGATGGTAGTGGCTGCAAAGGCCAATTAGATAAGAAAAGAACTTTTGTGGTCAAAAAATCTTCTGGGCAAGGAAGTGTTGCCATTGGCTCCACCTTTACCCAGCAATTGTTGCCAAAAAACAAAAGCAATCTCGTAAACCAAAGGAAGACAAGATCCAGGCAGCTGAGAAGGTAGTCGATGGTTTTGATTCATATGAACATGGCAAGGTTGTCCTACTCAATATATCCAATAGCAATGAGGTGATTGCCGTCATCAAATTCACCCCGATCGAAAACCTCACCCCAGCCGAAAAGGAAGGTATCAACTTCGTAACCAAATTCCTCCACCAATCTAAGAAATTTGTGAATCCCGTTGGTCCCTCTCGATCTTGGGCCGGGAGGATGTGGGCGGTTGGCTGGCGTAAGTGTATGAAAGCACTCGAGGTACTTGGACGTTACATGAAGCTTCCAGCGGTCCACAAATCACCGATAGAGTATTCTTCTGTCGTCAAGACATCCACAAAGGTTTCCAATATCCTTGGAGGCCTGTTCAGTGCCTTTGCTAATATCCCCTTCAACGCCAACCGAGTAATGATGCAAAACAACAAAATTCCATCTTTCGATTCGCCCGAGTTCAATGATGAACTCTTGGAGTTTCAATGTGCACCACACATTACTTTTACAAGCCATGGCTTCTTCAACCATTCTCACGCTGACAAGAATGATGCATCAGAGTATGCTTTTGCAATGTTTGTTCCAACAAAGAAGAAGGACAGCACTTTAGCGGATCCATCAACTGGTTACGATGTATCGGGTGGACGGTTAGTTTTCCCTGATTACTGCCTCTGTATCAATTTCAAGCAGAGGGGTATAGTTAAATTGGTGTGGGCTGCAAAGGCTGTAAGACATTGCACAATGCCAGCTATCGAGTCAAAGCTGTTCACCCGGATGGAAATGTCTTTGCAAATTCCAAAGAAAACCTCACGTATTTGCCGCGACATCAAGAACGGGTTAATCTACATCAGGAAGGCTGGTATATCAAAGAAGCACGTTCACTTTGGTGGTCACCGTTTCTACATGAAAAACACAAAGATTGCAAAGAAAAAATCTAATAGATAGTCTTTCTCTTTTGTGGTCAAGAGTTAAAATTAAAATGTTTCATTTTGATGAGATTACCTTGTTTCTTCCTTCCCACATTCTCACTCTTCTGCCTTCCCACCTCTAAAGGTCAAACAGAAATCTGGGGGTGCGGCTAATACTGGCTTTCTGACCAAATTGCAATTAATAAGCCAAAAAAAATAAGAATCCCATTTGAAAAGTCTTTAAAGCCTCCCCAGAAAACTGCTTTTTGCTCAAAGACAAAAGTTTTTACCATGAGGTCTCACTGCAATCTTTCCTACATATGATATTTTTCTTCTCCCACAGAATTCCACTCTGCAGCAATGAAGATACAAGGAATGATAATTGGCCCTAAAATGACCAGAATGAGGGGGAGGAAACCTCCCCAGAAAACTGCTTGGGCAGTTTGAGAACCTCCCCATAAAAACTGCTTGGGCATTTTGAGGAGGAGGAAACCTCCCCAGAAAACTGCTTGGGCAGTTTATTGGGGGAGGAAACCTCCCCAGAAAAACTGCTTGGGCAGTTTATTGGGGGAGGAAACCTCCCCAGAAAAACTGCTTGGACAGTTTATTGGGGGAGGAAACCTCCCCAGAAAAACTGCTTGGACAGTTTATTGGGGGAGGAAACCTCCCCAGAAAAACTGCTTGGACAGTTTATTGGGGGAGGAAACCTCCCCAGAAAAACTGCTTGGGCAGTTTATTGGGGGAGGTTTCCTCCCCAGAAAAACTTCTTGTACAGTTTAATGGGGGAGGAAACCTCCAGCAGCAAGTGTCCAGGAAATTTTTGCTGAAGAAACCTCCCTGGCACATTGCTGGACAGTTTCCCCTGGAAAATTGCTGCAAAGCCTTTTTTTTGGGGGGGACACCAAGATTTCTTTGGAAACAGCAGGTTAGATTTCTGACCAATTTGGCAATTTGCAGATTGAACTTTAATAATGTCTGACAGTAGTAGTTAAAGAACAATCTAGAAAGAAATTTTACCACAGATCATAACATAAACACGGAATTGCACCTCCAGAAGTACAGTTGTAGACAAGCCACATAGATATACCATTTAAATATTTTGTCAATATAGCACCAGTATGTGTAGAATACTTGAATAAGGTAGCACATTGAGAGAAAATTAAGAAATCAAGCAGCATATTCAAAAAGGCACATTCCAGTTGGAGATAGCAAACCTGGAAATTCTGCAAATAAATCTTATCTGAGGCGTGAGCATGTGGACAGGTAGATCTAGAATTCATTGCTGTTGTCAGATTCGTTTGCTAATTCATCTTCTTCCATCTCAAAGTCAGTGTTTAATCAATCCTCTTCACCACTTTCTTCAGTATCTTCATCTTCGGTTGTGAGAGTATCCTCGCTTCCCAGAGTAACGCCCCCTTCACTTCCAACCAACCCTTCTTCTTCTCCGCCATGGACACTTTCATTGCTTTCCATGTCGTTGTCGTCAGTTTCTACCGTATCTTGACTTCCCAGTGTAACTTCTCTGTTGCTGCCGAGCGATCCCGTTGCCTCGTTGTTGGTAGAGTCCTCTGCTTCTCTGCCATGGGAGCTAGTATTGCTTTCCATCTCGTCGTCGTCATTATCCACCGTATCTTGACTACCTAGTGTGACTTCTCCGTTGCTTCCGATCAATCTCACTGCCTTGTTGTCGGTAGCGTCCTTGCGGCTGAACATCTCGCCGTTGCTACCAAGCAATCCAATGTCCTTGTCTTCAATTTCATAATCACCGCGTAAAGTTGTGTCGTTGTCGCTTCCAATACATCCAAGTTCATCTTTGGTAGCATCCTCACCACGTAGCGCCACGTCTTGGGCATACAATTCCGGTTTGCTTTTGAGCTCGTCATGTTTGTCTTGGTCAGAAACCCTGCCTTGTCCAGCGACGGTGATCACAGATCCTTCGCGAGCCACGTGGCTCAGTTGCTTGTTGGTGCTAGCTTGGGGATTTTTGTTGGATACCTGCAAAGGAGCTACACATGTGTGATTTTTATCCCACTATGATTCATGAGATGAAAAAACCATTTCGATGAGGTTTGACCGTTGTAGTTGGCCGTCTGGAAGAAGAAGAGGCCCAATGTTTGGGAGGAGGGATGAGAATGGAAAAAGTTTGGGTTCAGAATTCAGAAGTTGGGGAGGCAGGGGGAAATTCGGGAGGAGTAGTTGGAAAAAGTTTGATCATGCTGTCTGAGAGCGAGAATTGCGGGAAGAGGGGCAACACGGTGATATTTATCCTGGAAGGGTGGGTTGGTTTAATCAAAATGGAGCCGTCCAGGAGGAGGAATGAGATAGTTGACTAAGGTTTTGATCAAGCTGTTTGGGAGTGAGAATTCAATCAATTTTGATCACTGGCCGTTTGGAAGAGGGAATCTGATGGGATTGCTAGTTGCTTCGGGGGAGGTATGAAGCTTTGATAATAAATCTGATATGAGCAGGTGGGTAAATGGATATGAGGCCGTTTGGAAAAAATTGCAGCCAGCTTGTTCAACAAATGAAAAATCTTCACGCAATATCGAGACAAAGTTAACCTGGATAAAATCAAACTTAGCGGTTGAGGGCGGATAAGGTTTGCTCAGCATTTACTTTTTTGAGATCAAATCGGAAACTTTTCGAATAAACAAGCTCACTAGTCAGATCCAAAGTTGTGACAAAGCCCAGGACGGAAGCAATACCAAATTGATTCTGTGACAAAATTAGCAAACAGGTTTGAGAGCTACTGGATGGCCAAAACCACCAAATCAATAGTTTCTATATTAAAACTCACAAGAATTGTGAGTGGTTGTTGCGATGAACGAGAAGAGCGGGACCTTCAAAAAAAGCCTGACCTTGAGCGAGCTCCAGCAAGGCTTGTTGTGATGGTCTGATGATGATAGATGTGGAAAATGATTTTGAATCCAGTTGGATATGTTCATGCAGACAGATTTGTGCTCATCATGAAAGAATCGAGCCCTAAGTGATAAGACCTGAGGATTAATCCGGAACATCAAGTTTCTGCAATTCAACCAGAAGCTGACCAGAAGACATGATTGGGTATCTTTTGCTACATGAGTTGGGAACTGCAGCAGTATTGCGTACTTTTGGCTCCATGCATTGAAGGCTGAAGGTATTGAGGGGATTGCACAAATAGTAAGTCAGAAGACTGTGGTCCATCTTCAGCCGTTGGGGAAGTGACCAGAGTGTGAATTCAGCCATGACCTTGAGTACATCAACAGGTGATTAGGTTTTGCCTGGGGACAGAAAATGTAGAAACGGGTCATGTGTAAGCCCCAAGGAGGATGAACAGAAAGCAATGAGGTTGGTTCTGATGAGACATTGAGCTTCACTTATCTGCAGATGGTTCCTAGTGTTCCTCAATTGTCCATAGGGAAAGTGGCCGTTGCTGGAGGCGGATGGTTTGAGGTCAGAGTGGCTGGGAGGAGTGCCGTCCTGTGGTGAATGAGTTGGGATCTCCGTTGGGCGTTGGGGGGGGGGGGCACAGGGTTTGTCTCAAACATTCACAGTCAAAATTGGAGACTGCTGATTATGTAATCACATCTACTCACTTGTTTTACTCAGCTTATTCCCACAAATGTTGAGATAATGAGAGATAGCCCATACTAATCCCTTAAAATTTATTGACTGTCATGTCAAAGCCCAGCACTCCTGAAAATTCAACAAATGTGGCTTGGCAACAAGTGGTATGACTGTGAAGCTCCAAAAAGAGCCACCCAGCCCCAAACAGGTAGATTTTTTGATGCAGATGAAGTTGTAGCTGCTTTGGTGATTTATCTTCCAATTTTGCAGTATCTAGTAAATAAGATGGGAATAAGTTTAGGGAGGCATGAAATTCTTGCAGTCTTTCTATGGGCGCATGAGCTAACATTCATGACTGGATTCAAATTGGCCTACATCCATAGCAATTTTTTTTTTCTGTGCTTACCAAGTTGGAGGGCAGAGGATATTTTACTGGATACACTTGTTTATGCACTATTGACCTGCAGAACAAATCTGAACTTTTGAAAGCTTGAATTCTTCACATATTGGAATTACACATTATATACAATGACAGATTGAGGCTGTGTTTGGGAATGTGATCTTACACAATTCCAAAAATGGCTTTGAATTACATAAATCCTATAACCGGACCCCTAGTAAGACAGAAGAGGTGACAATAACATTTTCATCAAATTTTCCCAAGCAGGATAGATCTGAGGTAATAATTCAGTAGTTATTTTTCAGTTGCCTACAGCTTTCTGATCCAAATAAGGCAATGTATCTTGGAGACAATAAGAGCAACTTTAAATTGAAAAAAAAAACTCAGGACAGACAGGCAGTCAATCAAAGGTTAATATCAATATAAATTTCAAAAGTACTAGTACATGTAAATAATTTGAAGTCAGTCTAAAGGACTCAAATGATGCCTTGAAAGTCCTATTAATATCAATGTTGGCTTCTCAATACCAAATGTTTGAGAAGGAGCTTCCAGACAGGCCATATGGCCCAAGATCTTGTCAGGCTTGATGATATCAACAGTAATGTCAGATGACCGTTCATTTGATTCTGGTGGTGTTAGAGAATACACAACCGTTGTTTTGATTTGAGGCCACCCAGAGTAGGGATGCTTTGAATTGTCAGATTCACCGAGTTTTTTGAATCTTTCTACTTCAACCCACATGTCTGTGATGCTTGCATTTTTGGGTCCGAGACCACACCTGATAGTGAAGATGTTGCATATTCTGCCGCAGCATCTTTCTGTCATATCGTTTGCCTCGTATTCAACCGTACAGTTGACTGCATGCCGATTGTGTATGCTGTAAGTAGTGTTACGATGCTTGAAAAGTTTCAGAAGATGTCCCCAGCCCAGTGCTATCTTCGAGCAAACGATTTCCTGGTCAATGGTTTTTGAGAGTTGTTTTACGAGCCGCAAAACTGTTTCTTGACTGAGCTTGACAAGGTTTTCTTTTGACCATGGGACCTCAAAGGTTTTGGGATCATCAAGCATTGTGGAACCAGACTTTCGAGTGGAGCGCAGGTGACGTAGTATGGAGGAAGATTTTTGGAGAGCACGGGCAGAGAAGCTTTCAAGTTGGCTGCAGCCACATATTTTTTGAGAAGAGTTGAGTCTAAAGTACCTGCGGAAGCAATACACAGGGTAAGTGCGGGTGAAGCTGTTGAGCAGGAATGGGAAAGGTTACTGACACATTTGGTTATTTGTTGGTATATTTCAAAGATCACCATTGAGTCGCTCAAACACCCATCCAGTCCATGTGGAGGCAGGGCCTCCACGAGCCATGCTGTAAGGATCGGATTTGATCCTTCACCGTCAGACAAGCATATTCTAGAAACAAAGCCAATGCCTTGTGGAGACCAATTCTGGAACCGCTGTGTGTGGAGAAGACCTTCCCAGTTGCAACTGTCCGGACCAACTCGTCAACATTAGGCAATGGGGACCAATTGCGTACTGTTAAGCTATTCAGGGTCCGGTAGTCGCAAACCCAGTGTGGTAGTGCTGATGGATCTTTCTTTGGTATTATCTTGGTGGGTGACGTATATTGGCTAGATGATCGTCTGATCATTCCTGCCTCCAAGTGTTGATCCAGGAGCGTACGCCATGCAACAAGATGTTTGTGGGGGTAGGGGTAAGATTTCTCATTCACCACTGCATCGGGGTTAGTCAAAACAATTTTGTGTCGGACTTTAGAGCTTTCTAGTTGTAGTTTCTCTGGGAATGTGTTGTCTGCTGGATGGTCGTCTAGGGCGGTGGTATCAGATACAGCCGGAATGTCTGCAGGGAACAAGTCTTCAAACTCTTGGAGAATCTTCTTTTCAGAAGTCTCGCAGGGATAAGTCAATGCATCTGTGCTGGTGGTTGTGGGAGGAGGTGGTGAAGTCTGTTGATGTATTGCAGTAGGATGGCGGTAATCAACTATGGTACAACCAGAACGTCCACATTGTAGAGCATGATTGGAAATTGAGATGGATAGACAAAATTGAGAAAGAAATTGTATTCCTAAAATCATCTCGTAGTCCCCTTTGATCTGACCCACCTTGAGATTAACGTCGTTGAATGTGAGTGCGGAATGTGGGTCGGATAGTGACACTACCACAAATTGCTTGAGTATGATGGGGACTGATGTTGAGTCATCTAAAGCTAAACTGACCACTGTTGGTGTCAACAACTCTTGAATCCTTGCGCATGTCAATTTAGCTGCCTTGTCCGTGATTAGATTCAGTTCCAAGCTAGTGAAATTGATAATTAGCCGCTGTGGTCTTGTCTTGGGTACGTACGTTTCCTCTCTAGCCAGACGGAGTTCTTCTTCCATGTCGGTTATTGCCGAGATGGAGGCTTGATCCAGGGGGGGCAATGTTTTCCTCTGAGATTGCTGCCACTGTGGCTGCTTGTCCTGCTGGTCGTCCCACCGGGGGTTGTGTTGGTCTTCCTGCAGTATGGTTGGGAGCAAGATTGGCCGCCGGAGGTGTGTAGTTGGCCGGTTTGGGAGGAGCCGTGAATGATGCAGTTGCAATCTATGGGACCCGGGCAAGCTCCAGCAGCACTGCCGCAGTTTTTCTTACAGTAGTGACAGTGCCCTGTTGAATCAAGGAAGGAATAAACTCGCCATAGGGTTTCCTCTCTCGACAGTCGTTCCAAGGGTTGATCTTGATTCTGAGTAGCTGGTTGATGAATTGGCATAGGTCTAGCCGTTGAGCGTTTGGCAATCCAATCCCAGAATCCGCTGACTCGACTGTCGAAGGTGCTGAAATTGAATGGAGAGGCTAAAAGAAGTTGGTGGTTATGTACCTCTGCTTGCAAGTCATCCTTCATTCCCAATGTCATCGACTCCGCTAGATCAAAGTCAGAGATTGTTTCTTTATCAAAATTCAGCATGCTCTGCTGAGTGCGAGAGCGTGTGCTGTAGTCCTCAGTATTGGACATGGGAAGGCATTTGAGTTCTGCTCAGAGGTTGGTGTGCCACATTGGTGGGAGGGCAAAGGCAATCAGTTTCTCTTTGAAACCTGTCCAGCCTTGTCCGATGAACTTCTCAACACTGGCCGCATAGAACGCCTGGGTGTTTGTTTCGCAAATAAGAGTGCCGACAATGCGGATCTTGTCATCGTCGTGGGTGGCCCCTTTTGTGGCAAAAAAAATCTGAACGCCTCGGAGCCACAAAAGGAAGGGCCCAACAAAGCTGCGTCCATTGGACGATCTGAACCGCTGCAGATCGACTCTGGTGTTTGTCGGAGGCGGGGTCGCATGCTCTGGCTCTATTTTGACCAACATGAGCATGAGCGCATCCTCTAGTTGCGCTATCCTCTTGGCATCCAGTCGTTGGTTTGCTTCTGCCGCCGCTCGATCCATGTCAGCTTGATCGATGCTGCGGTGCTGGAGCTGAATGACTCCTTTGAGGTAGTCTGCCATTGACATCAGAGGGGTTGTATCGCCTCCCGCCGCTGTCTTATCATTTGGAGGATGTTTGGAGATTGATTTTTAGGGATCCTCGTTCAACATATTGAATGGATGAAGAGGAGATTGATTTGGTGCAAGTAGAGAATCTAGCGCGTTATTCCGTATTGCTGCTTCGAGTTTCTCTGGCCGTTTTCGAGCGTTTGACGCTTTGATGATGGCTTCTGGATCTGTTAGTGGGATGAGGGTGTCGGTTTTTGACCGAGTGCTCATGAATTGATGTTGGGTTTGACAGTAGTTCGAGAAAAAATAAGTGTAAGGATCCAATTTGATCATTCACCGTTGGACGAGTATATTCTAGAAAAAAAGCCAATGCCTTGTAGAGACCAATTCTAGAACCCCTGTGTGTTTTATTTCTAGCTCAGTAGTAAGAAGTCAGTGGGTCTCTACTGACAATAATAATAAACAAACAAGAATAATAATAAGAAAGAAATATGAAATGAAATCACTCACCTAGCTCAGTAGTAAGAAGTCAGTGGGTCTCTACTGAGCTAGGAGGTGTCAGCCTGGGTGATGCCAAGAGCTTGACTCTTCTAGCTACACCAGGTGCAAAGCTAAGAAAAAAGGTGTACAAGTGTGGGTAACACTTGGAAGGGGGAGGTGTTTGATATTAAGAAAAGAAATAATAAAAACTACTAAGTTTTTATGAAGGGAGGGGCCTGAGTTACAGGGGTTTTTATGGTGCCCTCCAATGAATCAGGATCTGTTAAACAGGGGTATTTTTGATGTACCTGATGATCTGGTCCCAAAATGCCTACAACTGAAGTATCAAGGAAATATCACCTACTTAGTACTATTTCCAAGCCAAGGGGACTTCAGGTGGGTGAAAACTGGTCTGGGAGCGCTCAGAAAACTGGGTAACAGGTGTTGGAAGAGTGCTGGGGAACAGTTGATGGTTGGGTTGGTGATATCCAAGACAGAAACAGCAGGAACTGGGCCAAAAACAGGGGAAAAACTGGTTGTTGGAGGTGGTTATTGCTGGTAAGTGGTAATGAAGATGGGGAATTTGAGTTTGTGGTCAAGAAGGTCTCTTTATATACTCATTCTGGGCCCTTGGAGGCGAACTCAGAACTCTGTTTAGCTGGTGCAAGCCTCCTACTAGGCATTGGTGACCTGTAGCACTGCCTAGACACCTCTAGTCCTTGGTTACAGGTGTCAGAGGGCTGAAGTGAGGCTTGTGACACACACTAGGGGGTTCTGTGACAAACCTGCAGCCATGGTTTGGTCACTGAGACCCTTTAATGACCAGTGGGCTGGTCTTAACCAGGCGTAGTTAGCCAAATTGGGCCAAAAAGGGCCACAAATGGCTTTTGACCAGCCAGTTACAGTTGTTGTGACAATGTAGTTAAGGTTTCAATGATGTCAACCTTATTTGTGGATTTTTCCCGAACTGCATGAACCTTAATTACATGTTTAGACCTGTCACAACATGTAGTATGATGTAACTGGGAGGGTTTCTAGCAAAATGAACAAGTGTCACCCAGAGTACACAGAAGTACATGAAGGAGTAATAATTAAGGGGTACCTTTGGTGAGGTACCCTAGGTTATTTTGCATGAAAATTGAGAATCTGAAATAATATTCTACCTTTTGCTTAATGTTTAGAAGTTATTTGCAGATTCATGTTAAAAATGTTTATTTATAAATGTTTTTGGTTTATTTTTATGTTTTCTTTCATGACTAGTAAAACTTAATGTAATGATTAATAATGTCTCTATTATAGTGATTCCACTTACTTAAATATTAATGTTTTTATATGTACAAATGTAATAATGTCTCTATATTATGTACATATAAAATAGACATTAATTACATATGCTATGGGGGTAGTATATGTAATAACGTCTCTAAATATTTATTATGCTATGGTCAGGTTGTCTCTGAATAGTAGCAGGCTGACAGGAGGGGAATGGGGAGAAAGGAACTAAGTACCGTAGAATTTATGATTATGTAATAATATGTGAACCTCTTGTGAAACCTGTACTGGGTGTAGGTTTCACACATGCATTCGGTTATGTGTAGTAAGAGATGGTGATTGGGTACTGCTTTGAATTGTGGGAATATCTTGCTGGCACTTTGTCGATACTTCTGCAGGTACCCCCTGAGAGTAGCTACATCTGATTTGTGGATTTCTGTCTGTTGAACAATTGTCACAGCACTGATGAGTTCGAAGAAGTTATTCAATATCTCGACATTGACATCTGCTTGAGTATGGTATATAATACCAATGGCCGGAAGGAGAATGATTGTAAAAAGCACAATCCACTCATCAGCTTTGAGCTTTCCCCCAGAAACTTCACCAATGGTGACTGGTACGTGATTGATCCACAAGGGTAGGTGAATTGTTTCAATAACTGAACGGAGGATTTCCATAGATACCGAGTTGTTGAATATGGTATTTGAATTGATCGCATTGCACCCCTTGAGACAATCATCAAAATCTGAAGCAAGATCGCCCGAATCAGAGTCGCTACTAGAATTGATTCCCTCTGGGCAGAAGTCAAGATTGGACTCTGCATCGGAGCCCTCTGAGCTTTCAAACAAGAACCGATATAGATGAGCCAATTCAGCTCTCCACTGCTGTAGTTTGGTGTCCAGTTGAAGTGTGGTTTTTGGTTGGAATTTTGCTTTTTTCTCTAGGGGATATTTGATATTTTTTTTGTATGAGTCATCAGGGGATTGTTTGAATACAAAGAGGGTCTACCCATGATACTTCAAGACCCCAAGGAATACGTTGTGCATCGGCTCTACTACCGTATGAGTAACAGGAAGTAGATAAGGTAACTTTAGCAAAGGGGTGTAGCAGACGCCCCACTCCTTGAAAATCTCTTTCTGTAGCACTTTCGTCTTGGCGGATCCCCACTGCACATCCGCTTCCCTCAATTCTTGATTCCCTCGAGGAGCCATAGCTGTTGAGTCAATTGAGTCAAGATTTCCCTTGTGGATCTTGCAAAACAAGCAAGGATGGTTCAAAGACGCGTGTCCACATTGGGGAAAACGCAAGGTGCTTGAGAAGTTGACCCCATGCCAGAGGTCCAAAAAGTCGCTAACAAGGGGCTCTAGAACTTTTCCGATTTGAAAGACTGTTGGCTCCTTGGGACCTGGGGTTATACCCGCAAGATAGATATTCTCAGGACGATAGTGGTGTGAAAGTGGAAGATTCAGGCAAACTAAAACGAGGGCACTGAGTGAAGCGACTTTGCCTGCAGCCTTGTTCCCCCACGGGTTTAACTAAGGATGGTAATTGGGCCGGGTGTCCAACGGGCCGCCCGAACCCGACCGGGTTTGGGCCAAGCTTTTCATGGAATTTTTGACTTGGGCCCGGCCCGAGATGACCCGATTAAAGGTTGGGTCTACTTGGGCTGCCCGTCGGGCCAGTGCAGTAGTGGGGGGTCCTGACTCCTGGCACTTGGTCAGGTCTGATTGGACCTGACTGAGTGCCAGGACCCCCCCAGAGCTTAGCTTATCCCGAGGTCCAAACCGACCCCAGTTCCTACTCCGTCTGCGACCCCGCCACCGCAAGTGCTAGCGCCTGAATCTCAACTTCTCAGTGACCAAGCCCGCAGGCAGCCCGCTAACAGCCCACTATATAGGCCCGCGGGCTGCCCATGGGCGGCCTGTGGGCATACCAATTTGTAAACGGGTTCAGGTCGGGCTGTCAATTTCCTGAATGCAGCCCGGCCCGACCGGCCCGCCTCGGGCCGGCCCACGGGCGGCCTGATCCCACCCGATTATCATCCTTAGGTTTAACCAATTGATGCCTAGGGAGAATGCCAGATGGCCCATTGTAGAGGTGAAAGGGCTTCCATCGGGATTTTGTTGCTTAGACCAGATCGGAGAATCCCAAACATTTTGCATAAAACCATTTGCCAGGTTTTTTTTATTAATTGAAGTATCAAGAAGATCTTCAATGTCGGGTCTGTGTAAGAAACGCCCTAGCCATTCTACAGCAGTTCCCAGAAAGCTTGCACTCGCAAGCTCCTGGGATCCCAATTTTTTTTTTATTTGTGCCACTCTTTTTCTTTTCTTTTTTGTCCTGTACGTGGCCTCGTACAGCCGCAATCTTGCAGGCATCATGGCCCAACTCCCCCGTTTTTCAAGTTGAAGATATGGGAGTTGGACCATTGGATTCCTCTCATTTTTTTGAGTTGGAACCGATCATCACATCGAGCATTGCCCAGCTCCCACCAGGCAACCGGACTGGTGCCCGGAGGCCTAGTGGGGCATCGGAAGCAGATTCGCGACCTGTACAGTCATGTGTACAGGTTACGAGGCACAAAAAAAGTGAGAAGAAAATAAAAAAAAAATGGATCCCAGGAGCTCGCGAGCGCAAGCTTTCTGGGAACTGCTGTAGGAGAGAGTACGTTGTGTAAAATCGGCGGGGTTTCATGACTTGCTGTGTTTGATTAGGTGGATCAAAGAACAAGGGTTCTGGAAAAATTCGACTGCGAGGGGTAGTGCGGTAAGAGCATGTCTGTTCCTTTGATTCAAGAGGGTACATCGAGTAACATTTCATGCAGCATATACTTTTTGATAGTTTGGGTTCAATATTTAATTTTTTTCAAAATGGTAGCTATATTTGCTGGAAGTGAATCGATGCGTCTGCTTGAACTTGATTTGATATCGAGGATACCCTGTTGAACTCGAAGATCAAGGTCAGAAGATTCAACACTAGTGTGTTTGAGCAGATATTGACAGGCCGATCGAAGCATGGAAGCCAGCTTTTTGCTTGGAATATTTAAAGACGTAAATTGATTGTGATGAAGAAGACCTGTGTGTAAAAATAATGACAACAGACGTGGTTAAAACAGATTAGTGACATGCAGAGAAAGATCACATACTGGTATCATACGGCGTTGGACCAATGTCGTTGAGATTGTCAGAATTTTGGAACGGAAGTGCGTCTGCTTGATTGGGTTTGGATGAATCTAACGGCTCCACTTCGGATGAAGTCCCTGGCAGATGGTTGCATCAGTATCAAGATGAAGGAAATTTAATCTGCGAGCTTGAGACACACACGTACCCGTCTCCATCTGTGAAATATTTTCAGACAAGTCCTGGACATTCATGTGGTTGGAAAGGCAGCTCGGATTTGTTCGGGTTTTATTTGACTGCGCGGCAGGCATACCGTAATGGCAAGATGGAGATGTAGTCGCCTCTGGAGATAAATCTGTGGGTGTTGGTTGCAAGGATAATTGAGATTGCAGGGTGCGTGGATTGGGATTATTAATTTGTTGGTGTTTTAGGTAAAGTGGCTGTGGCCACAAGTGCCCAGGACGTTATTTGCCATTTTGATCACGGTATGTTGAGGACCTCTTACAATCCTCACATGTGCATGGGAGAAGTGCAGGTTTTGGCATGATGGGATGGGTAAAGGTTTGTTGGGGATGGTACATATTCGCAATCGTGGGCGCTTTCCTCAGCGACTTGAGGAACTGAAACGGGGTGCATGGTGAGTTAAGCGGCACTGTCCGCCATGGGTATTTGCTGGAGCCGTCGTCACCGTCACTATTGAATTGGGCCTGGTCAGGTGATTGGAAGGATTGATCAATTTCAGCCTTTTATCTGGGAAATGGGATGAAGGAAGAGAAAAAAAACATTACTGTGATTTCCAAGAGGACCGATCAAGTTTGGGACAACAATTGCGCCCACGGGCGGCATGTCAATTTCAATTGCTCCTTTGGGGAGGCGGAGCAGGGCCCCTCACACAAAGCGCAAGCCTCTCCGCGGTGCCCTCTCACCCAAAACAATTCAACAAACCAGAACTCCCCTTTTTTGCTATTTTCTCCACAGTTTCCCGTAGCTTACAATCACATCTCAAGTAGCAGTATATTCAAAAGAAACTATTTCTTATTTTGTCCACCAGCGCCCTTATGTTCATATCTTCTCAGTATCCATAGAAAACACCCGGTAAAAATCATCTCAAATTTGTATCCAATGTAAGATCTAATCACAAAAAATGAAGATGCTGAAGGCTTTGATGAGAAAACGAAACAGTTTCCCTTAGCTCTGGAATGCTGCGGCAGACTGGAAGATCTCATATGTGCACTTAGACTATTGAGGACGGTTGTGGTGAGGAACAAAAAATGACTAGGTCACCGACACAAGAGTTGTGGTCTAATTAACTTGGAAGTGTAGCGAGGACAGCAGGACACAAAAAAACCCCTTGGGTGTTGCTGAATCTCGTGCAGAAGTCATCTTGGTTGTCTAGTTTTCCTACATCCAATCCGCTAATCTGTAAGTATCATAAATCGACATTAACTCTGGATTCTTTGTCTTGGGAGTTTCTCTTAGCCAATGAGATAGTCCCCCGAAGTTGATTGATAGTTGATTTCATAGAGTCAAGCTCATCTTCAGCGGAAAGACCGTGATCAGCTAGATGCCATCCTGAAATCACAGCCTTTGGCAAGTTAAAACAAAACAATGACAAAACATCAATTTTTATTATTTGCATCCATTCACTTTTTGAAGAAACAAAGTACTAACCTTGAAGTGTGAAACATGGTTTTGATAAGATACCAAATCACTCCTGACTTCCTCGTGACCGGTGGGTAGAGCCCTTGCGGTTTGAATGCTTCTTGCTGTCAGTTGAAGATCTCTATGCAGTCGTCTGCCACGTTTACTTGTCTGATCTAATAATTTCCTCCAGAGCGGCTGTTCGTCTTGAAAGACTTGAAGTCTATAGTGTTCTTTATGAATCCTCTCGGAAACTTGAAGGCCTAGACTCGCGGCTCTTGAGGCAAGAGGAATCGAATCGTCAATCGAGTCGATTAACCTCTTCAGCTCCCAGTCGAAGTTGCCGAATGCTATCTCCAGGTTTTTTTTTATTGTATCAATTGAATAAGCTTTTTTGCCGTTGCCGACCAGTTGGATAACCTGCCCAACACGTGCGAACTTCCAAGTGGGGAATAAGCATTGAGTGGCCACTGTGGACTCACGAAATCAAATAAACATACTTCGTGTTGCCATTCAAGTCAATCACCTTATCTTTCAGTTGGCCTGCGATTTCTCCTAAGTCCCAGAGATCTTCGGCCATTGCGTCTTTTTCTTCAAGATTGCTGGAATATCGAATCGCAAAGGTAAGCTCCCATATTTCTGTCTGGTAGATTTCTAAGTTTCTAGGATTGCTCAAATGAGCAATAGAATCGAAGACATTGGATGCTTTGGTGGTTGTACTAGAAAGTGTGTTGGCAATCCGTCCGAGTTTGTCCTTCGAGTCAAAGGTTGGTGAATATTGTACTTGACAGAATTTACTGGGAAAGACTGAGCAGTATAAACCACTGAGTGATGGGAATAGACTGGCAAGAAATCTAGATCCAGCGGTCAATTCAAGCCAACTGTAGTTTGCGTCAAACATAGAACCAAAGCCGTAAAGTATTAGAGCAATAAAGAGAATCGCGAGAAATGAACCCAGTATGCGTGCAAGGATGAAGTTGAATGGAAACAATGTGATTCTTAACAGCAGCTTGAAACAGGATTCAAAAGAGGACTTGGTCCTTTGGATAAAAGACGGGTTTTGAGTGTTAGGAGAACCATCGTTGTGTGATGACATGGTGATTGACTCAAGATAATTCGATCTCTCATTGAAACACTGCAGGCTGAAGGACTGCTGAACCAAGGATCTGAGAAAAGTAGTGATTTAACAGGAGCTTAACATGAGCAGACCCCCCAAAGCGAACGCTGCCATCAATTTCCGGTGTACATATCTTGGGCAAGTCACAAACAGCATGTAGAGACGTGTAGTCAGTAGTGTCTGCGTAGTCTCTTTGGAGCTATCATCACATACTCCAAAAAAACTACATATTTAGAAGTTTGTGACTTGGGACATAGTTGTCGATCTTTTCATTTCATCAAACTGCAGGAGCTAGCGTAGTCCATGTTACTATGGGTCACTGTACAAACAACATGAATTTTTGTTTTTTTGCTGTGTTGGCGGCGAGTAAGCAACTCCTGATCCCTGCCGGAGCGAGAGCGAGGGTAACTGGCTGAAGCGGAGTGACTCCAGACTGGTGGCACTTCACCGACCAAAGGTCTGTGAGACAGAGAAGCCTGTGCTTTGCAGGCTTGCGATCAACCCTCCTTGGGTTCAAATGGTGGCAAGTAAAGTTGCAGAATCAGAAAAAAGGAGCGGACTCTTGACTTGTAGGAAAGTCTGAGATTGCTCCCAGCAGATACCTCTCTGCCACTTCAGTCATTAAGAACGACTTGTCCCTCAGCGGTGCGCTAGTTGGTCACGGGCTTCAGGTATGACTTTCGACATAACACTCTCTCTTTCAGATTTCAGAGTCCCCCTACCTGATGGTGGGCGTCAATCCCCTCAGAAAAGCCCAACCAACTCATACTCGTGGGTCCCCTGTGGTGCAATTTGAGGTCAAAGACCCGCTACACAAAACAAATTTTCTGCAGGGACATGATATCGGAGCAACCTTCCAATTTCATGTCAGGCTATCTCCACCGATGCTACATCAGACAAACACTCCAGATGGTTTTCTTTTGGTGGTGAGGCTGCCTTTATTTCACCAATCATTGGAAAGCTTTACAGTACACGTGAATCTCACAATTTGTTGGTGTGGCAATACCTCCACAGAGCTTTACTTGTGGCTCAATGAAGAATTATATTGGATGTGTTGATGTGGATCAACAAGGACATCCCGAGCGTAATTAAGCTGGAACAATGAAGTATTAGTCGTTTCCAAAGATGAAGGTCAATTCTGTCAATAGATGGATAGAAACCTACAGCCGACATCATTTGATTGTTCGCATTTGGTGTTTTGTCAGGGTGAAATTTCAATGCCAGAGTCCTGTATGCAATCTGGATTTGCCTGGTGGTGGCTGTTTCCTTCACTCCTAGGACCTGTGGAATATGTATGGGATCTATGGGATCAGCAAGGCAAAAGTCAGAATGCAATGGAAAGTCAATACCTTGTAAAGGGTCTGCGTATCGGGTTGATAATCAAGTTGTATTTTATGTAGGAGTTGTCTAGAGCCAAATCTCCCGTTATTTTCTCATTTGTGACGCGCAGTGAACAAATGACCAACTCCAATTTTTGATTACCAAATTCCATGCCCATACCACGCTTTGCAAGGTAGTATGCTTTTGGGAAATCTTCCTCAATGTAAGCAATTAAAGCCTCAGTCCATAAATGTCTCCACGGTTCATTTATGTGTGAACACCACGAGCTTTTTTGGCTGAAGCAAATGCAACTTTGTCTTTGTCAGTGTTGTTTTGTTCTTGGTTCTGTAACGATCTACTAACCTGGTCTTTTTCCTAGCTGAAGTCTTCTGTCCCAGCCACATCAACGCTCCGGCATTTGAAACTGACCAAAATCCTGTTAGCTCAGTGGTTGATTTGGGGAATTTGATGCTGTGATCCTTTACTACTTGTCAGCCTCTGGGTAACTAACCTGAGTATTTAATAGTAAAAAGGTTGTTACTATGAGTTGACTGAAGTTTTTGAGCGTGGTGAGTGTTAGGTAGTGGGTGATTAATACCAGTCCTGTAAAGAGGAGGTTTCACTCTATCAGTATGGTCTTTACTGAGAGGCTTGCTATCAACAGCGCATCCGGATCAATACAAGGTATTAATAGGCATCCAGAGTACTAAGACTCACCTGGGATTGATTTGGTTATTCCCAAAAGGGAATGGGCTAACAATACTTATTAAGGTTTAACAAAATTAGTTGAAGATTAACAGGTATTGTTGATGGGAATATTCAGCAAGGCTATGAATACTGTGGATAAGTTGAGTAAGAGTACTGAAGCTTAAGAACAATAAATGTAGACAAGATCTATGTTGGTTACTTGTACTGTATCAATATAAATGTTAACTGGTTTAACTGGTGTCTGAATATTCTGGGGATTAATCAGTGAAAGAGGCACGGATTATAAGTTCCAGAATACTGAAGGGGGGAAAGAATGAGCGCTCAGAATCAAGGGAGCTTTGGCCAGGAGAATGAGCACATCAATTGAGTGACTGATCCTTATTTGTCATGATCTGTAAGTGACATCATAATTGTGTACTAGTTGATCAATGTACTAGTAGCTCTTGATGCCTGTACTTAACAGATCCTCTAATAATGTAGTCATAATTGTGATCAGTGCATGTATTGAATGTATTAATTCTATTGACACTTAATACTTACTATTTAATACATGTACATATTTATTTGTAATAATATTTGACCGTGAAAATACTGTAGAACAGGGATAACTTGTGGTACAGGTATTTCACGGGCAAAGGAGTGAAAGGTAAGTGATAATTACTTATGTAGAACACAGGTATGTATTTAATAGATAAGTAATTAACAGATAAGATAGATGTAAGATAATTAAGATAAGATAAGTTAATGATAATAATAAGATAACAAGAGGTAAAGGTAATCAACATTATGGATAAGTACTTATGTACATAAGTACAGGTGTTGCAGTTACTTGGTACATGAAAGGTACTGTGACATGTACTCTGTGGCTGACACTACTTCAGATATACCCTCGTTCACCTCCTTCCATTGTTGATTTTCGAGCATAGTTTTGATTTGTTCCTCTTGTCGAATAAGCATTTGGGATGATGCAATCAAAGATGAGACCTCACTCCACAAAGGATTTGACCAAGAAATACTCGTTTGATGGCCCCATTGATAACATGGCGAGAGAACTTTGAGGGCTTCGGGACCTTGAAGTAGGGCTAAATGACATTGAGATACATCCAAACGGATGTGAAGGAAGAAGGAATGTCTTCGAGGTGAATCGTGAGAAGAATTGTGGCAAATGGTCTGGTAGATACAACGAAAAGCTTTGAGTGCGACTTTGAACCTCCCGAGATTGAATTCATGCCTAGCGTTTTGAGCTTGCATATCCAGATCCTGCGATTCAGATTTGCAATGGTAGTCGGCAGATGGATCGGAGAGTCTGCCCTTCTTGCGCGTTGGAGCCTGTGAAACATCGGTTTTTTTAGAGATTGTCCGTCGGTACCCTTTTCTAGGTACCAGTACCGCTTGGGGGGTACTGCCCGCACCCGCCTCGCACCCGCCAGGCGGTGCCGGGTGCCAGTTTTTTGGCTAAAAAAGGGGCGGTACCCGGGTACCGCTATGAGTACCGCCCCCACAAGGACCAGTTTAACTGGTCCTTGGTGGGAGTAAACACCCCATCGATGACCTTTTGACCGGCCATCGATGGGAGGAACCACCCCCATCAAGGACCGGTCAAAACCGGTCCTTGATGGGGGTCAGCATCCCCATTGATGACCGTTTGAACGGTCATCAATGGGAGGAACCACCCCCATCAAGGACCGGTAAAAACCGGTCCTTGATGGGGGTCAACATCCCCATTGATGACCGTTTGACCGGTCATCAATGGGAGGAACCACCCCCATCAAGGACCGGTTTTGACCGGTCCTTGATGGGGGTCAACATCCCCATTGATCACCGGTCAAACGGTCATTGATGGGAGGAAACACCCCATCAAGGACCGGTCAAAACTGGTCCTTGATGGGGATCAACATTCCCATTGATGACCATTCAACTCCAATAACCAACCTCACTGTGAGTGTTGCCCACATTGCTTCACTTGAATTTCCATCTTTTCATATTTACTGTAAAATATTTTTATTTAAAGTCCCTCTAAACCCAAATCACCAAACGCATTGTTAGTGTTGCCCACATTGCTTCACTTTTATTTTTATTTTCATTTTTTATTTTCATATTTCTTGTAAAATAATCTTACAATAATTGTGAAAAAATAAAAAAAGTGACTCGGGACTGATATTTTACAATAAATATGAAATAATAATAATAATAATAAAGTGACCTGGGACTCTGGGAGTGAAACTAGGTGAGAAATAGAGGGGAGGTACCCACGGTACCTGCCAAAAGTACCGCCGGTACCCGCCGGGAGGTGCCAGGTGCGTTACATGGTATCTATTTTCTTGAAAAATTGAACAGGTACCCGAGTACGAACGAACGATCTCTAGGGTTTTTGCTTCATGTCTTCCGCTTGATAGAGACTGAATCCAGCTAAAATTCCTGCCCGAGTCAAATACAAATATGTCGGCGTAAGAGTAGGCTGTATTGCAGGAGCAGATGGAAAACTCACGAGGCAAAATAGTTGGGACAATGTATGTATTGGACTGTGTGGCTCCGGCTTGACCCCTTCATGCACATGGCGAGACAATGCTTTACCGTGATAAGAAGCGCGGGCAGGCGCACACAAGAGTCATGGGCGGGCAGGTCTGGGCCCAGTCTTGTATGATCTTCCTCAACCCAATTCCCAAGTGGTTTTATCATGATAAAGCTGAAGCTGAGGCCTCCTCCCCACAAAACTGCCCATACAGTTTCCTGGGGAGATTTACTCCCCATCATTTGAGATTATCTTTGTGATGAATCTCCAACATTGCCTTACCAGCTCTTTATCTGACAGTATGTATGAATTTTAGATCACATATTTAGATGCAGATGAGGAAAACAACAAGTACATTCAGACCATGTACAAGCAGCTAATTAATGATTCACTGAGTTGGAAAGAAAAAAGGTTCCAGATCAGTGCTTCAACGCTCAGGATGGATTTTGGAAGCCTGTCTCTTATCCAGAGCTAGCGGTGTTATCACTCGAACGACGCGTCCTTCCTTGACCTCTAGTATGAGAGCGTAATTTTCACCATAAAATATCAAAGCATATCCTGGATTGATCCTCACCGCACAAGGAAATCACAGTACAAATAATGAATAGCCCATGAAAAACCAGACGTATACATCAATGATCAATCATCAAAGCGTTTCTTTTGATCCTTGCGCATCACAACTAATGGTCCCTCTTTTTTTAATTTGAATTCTAGAACAGAATCCAAGGCCTGTGCAACCATATCTTTTAGGTAACTGCGCACCATCACACCAGATTGATCAAATATCTACACCCGGGCATAAATCAGTAACAACATACAGCAAAATACGATCTGCCAAGAATCTTCAAACAAACCTGGGTGCTGCGAACGTTGATGCCGTACAATTTCAACTGCCTGCGCCAACGCTCCAACCCCGACTGGACAACAAACGCAAGATCCACTGATTGTTGGAGCTGCGCGAGTAAACATTGTTGCTGCTGGCTTGCTTCGGTCCCGGTTTGTTTGATTTTTTCTATGCTCTGGTTGAAACTCTTGATGAGCTCATCATGATGGCCCAATGCTGAGTCGGTCAACAAGCTTGTAACTTCAATCATCTGTGTAAGAGCCGTCAGGTTCCTTTGATTGCGGGTTGGTGTCCTTGTCTCGTTTGTTGTGCCATGTAGCAAAGCTTCAGTTGAACTGTGAATTCCCTCCCCATCCTGAAGTAAATTATCTTTCAGGATTTTAGTACTTATATCTTGCAGATATATAATCATCTAACCACTCACCTGTAAGGGTTGGGAATCCCTTCACTGTTCTTGATGGAATGCTTGCAGGGACAGGACACGAAATCAGGAATTTCTAAGACCAAACAATGGGGGAGCTTTATATTTCTGGCTCAGAGAGATATGGGATCAGTTCTCTCTCTACATACAACTTAGATCAGAATAAAGGTGATGAAAGAAATGAGAAAGAAAGACTTACCTGGCTCAGAGAGATATGGGATCAGTTCTCTGTGGAGCCAGGTACGGATCACAAGCCGATGAGAATGTAACTACAAGAATTCTTGTCTGTGATACTTCTTGTGAAACCCAACAGAGGAGGGGGTTTTACATCACCTGAAACACAAAGACCAGCATGGCATTGAAGCCATTGATGCCAAACATATGAAGGTGATCATTCAAGCTGCGGATCACTCGGCCGGTTTGTTTCAATGACGAGATCAAGCGAACATCAATTATGGTAGAGAATTTTGGAGAGCTGTAAGTTTGGGCCATACAATCGTAATCTGTGAACTCCAAGTCATTGGGGCCGTATTGACTGAACGTGATGATTGAATCAAATATGCCTAGATTCTTTGAACCGTTGCAAAACTGGATTGGGGGAAAGTAGTCTGGTGGAAGAAAGTTTGGTACAACTTTGCTTTTGGCTGCGAGCACTTTCTTCTGATGAGGAGACAAGACGTAACGGCTGATGTAAAGCAATGCAATGAGAAACAAGCCTAATAGCATGCCCACAACAAATCCATGCTGAAGAGGGGAGCCGGAGACAATGGTTAGGAGAGCAGTACGAGAGAAGAACATTGGTATATTAGGGGGTATCAAATATAGGAAATCCACCATCAGAAACCAGTCACTTTCCCAGAAACTTTTTTTTGCATAAATGGGCCCCAAAAGGGGTTAAATGGATAACTAACATGTTTAAAAAAGGGTGGATTTTTTCAAACCAGTCAATTAATTAATGGTGGATTTGGTTATATTTGATACCCCCTATTGAGCTTGCCGGCTTGTGTGTTCTGATGAGTGTTGTAGACAGTCAGTCCTCCACTCAATATTATAAGGAGCAATGCAACTAATTTTCTTATCCAACCTTGGAAAACTCGCGAACTTTTTCCAAAAAATTATGAGAAGTGGGTAAGTACATACCGTAATTCTACTTGGTGCCCCTATTCATGGCCCGGAAGCTAAAATTCAACCATAGTTGCCTGTGGTCGTGTATTATTGACAGGCCATTTTAACCTACGTGCTCCAAGCCCCTATCAATGGGTTTTCAGATTTCTTGTCACGTTCACTAGAACAAAGACGCAATGGATTGCTAGGGCAGGACCCCGGGTGATACCCAGGTGCTCCTGGGACTGGTAATATTCAGCCTGGGCCTCAAAATCCTCCAGAGCCCCAATTCATCAGGTTGACCCTTTCTTCCGGTGCTTCTCTGGGATTCTGTGTTCAGTTGGAAGTTTGCTACTTCATAAGCATGATCTCAAATATTTCAGCCATGTCCAAAAAGACACAAGCATCAAATCCAAGTGAAGTGAGTATGAGAGTACCAGAAACTACATATAAAGTAACGCTATGAAAACCCTATGTGGCCTATCAACGTCAAGATAACCCAGACATTTTTGAAGCCCAGAAGCATCAGTCCAAATCACAACTGATTTGGCAATTTCACATGATTGAAGGTAGATATGGGAATTAAACGGGACGAAATTCAAGTCTTTGAAACAACTCATCAATCCTTCGATGAACTTGTTCGATTTCATAGCCAATATTATGCTCCAAGTTTTGCAATCATTGTATGATCATGTCAAGTTCTCTCTTGGCATCAGCTACATATACAGAATCAGAGGGTCATTGTTAGTTCTGGAAAATCTTCAAAAAATATTGATCAACTGACGTGGAGGCATTGCGCGTGGGAAAACATGTGAATTTAAAAGATCCAAGCTTTCATGTAACCCATTCACTTTTTGGTCTAAGCTATCCAAGCGAGAGGAGATTGCCACGAGGGGTCCTACGAGTTGTTTGTAAACCCCAGAAGCAGACCCACTAATCAATGTTAGTGCACTCGGAGGTAAATTGTTCTCAAATTGACACTCACCTTGCCAACCGTCCTCCATCCTTGTGTGAATCTCGCTGACCAGTTTTTTGAGGCTCAAAGAAATGCTGCTGAGATTCTTCTTCAAATCGCCTATGGGGCATGAAATTTCTAAGTTCGTATGGCGAGCTTCCAAGTTATGTTTTCCATCTAAATTGAATGTTGTTTACCTTTAAAGTTTTGGAGGCAAGTGCAAGGGAAGTGAAATTCCATCTCCTGTGCTGTGTTTTTGAGTCATGAAGACAAAGCAACAAGTTGAGTTAATGCTCATCTTTGAGATTTTTGACTCTTCTGATTTTGCATACTGACGAGTTTTGGATGATGTGGAAGGGGACAATTCCGCAGGTTGATCAGAGCTAAGTTCAGCTAATGGGGGTCCGAAATGTCAGACATGAATCGGGCAATAGCATTGATGCTACGACAGCTTACATTCACATTTTTTGCTCGTATGAATCGCTAGACAGATTGCAAATCAGATGTTGGTTCAGTTAGTATGTGCTGGCAGGGATGTGATAACAAGACAACTGACATGGTCGAATAGAATGAGCATCAGTTGCTTCGACTGAGGTTTTGGGGGCTTCATCATCCATTGTTTCAGCGGTTATCTGAAAGAAAGCTTGATGGACTGGCAATGCTAAGTTGTCACCGCAGTAAGAGTAGACCAAATTTAATCGTGGAGTCTACCTTAAAAAGATCTTTTACTTCCCTGAGGACCCAGCCACACTGCTTCAGGAGTCGGGCCACATTGTTCCAGCCTTGGCGCTTTCTCCACGGCCATTGTCGACTTCGGCTTGCAAAGTAATAGGAGATTCAGCTTGGGGTTTGTAGCACTATAAATTAAGTGAAAGTTCTAAGTATAGTCCAGAAATCAGATGAATTTACCTCACCGCTGTCAGATCGGATTGGGAAAGTGTATGGTGACTGGCGCAACTTTCTGCTCCTGTATATGTAGCTACCACAAAAAATATCTACGTATTCATTAGTTTTGAGTGTGCATCCTGCAATCACCTGGATCACTTGCCTGAGACAGTGCGGTGGCCCCAGAATTGCACACAGCTGCAAGCAACAAACTGGTTCACCAGTGGGAAATTGGAATGTATTGAGGCAGCTTTCTTCTCTGGCCACCGGATCTTGGGGGTTGTATGGTGATGTATCAAATGAAGTTGGAGCAGTGGCAAGGAAAGATTTAACAAGTATTCAGACTCCGGAGGGTGGCTCTCAACGCAAAGTACATAATGCATTAAATTGATATTTGACAGTCAGGTAGGTACTCACCGTTACAGTAGTCACTGGTTACATACTTTGTTTTCTTGTTCAAGATCGCAGACTACATGAATGTACGCTGAGCTGGGTAGTTTCTGACAATTGACCGGCGATAAACCTCACTGGGCCCTGTTGTATGTCCATACCAGTGAATTATCATTGATCAAATGTTTCAGAAAGATGTGTCTATGCCTGTTTTTTTTTTCAAGACTTGCTCAACAGTGCCATCCATTCTTTGCCCTTTGTTCCTGTTTTGGCCCAATGTAATGACACTGGGTAGGAGCCTTTGTTTTACACATTACTTTATAGGCGGTTTTAATTAATTACAAAGAATGTGGAGTTCAAGAAGAGGGTTGGAGATGGAGCCGTGGAGGCAACAATGATCAGAACACAGCAATAGAATCAATGATACGAGATCACGTCAAGGGCTAGTTCGGAGATCACGTCAAGGGCTAGTTCATTCATCTTGTAGGGTTTGCAACTGAAAGGATTCATGTATTAGCCAGTCAATTCTGAATAACACTCTTCTTATGGGTGTCAGCTATGTCGGCGGAAAAGGATGGCTTGACAGAAAATTAGTTTCCAAATGAAGAGCTGGTACGTGATGATGGAATTGAGAGGAGCAGTATCTGGTGAAGGCATTCCCCATATATGAAACTGAGAGTCAAGTCCCACCTTGATGCCTGAAGTGTATACTCAAGGATGTTCCAACCAAGTAAATCATGAGATTGGAATCACCCAGGAGATACCAGTAACAAGACTGGGGTGGCATCAAGGCTGGGACATCTCAGGAGAATGAGGGGGAGCAGGACAAATGAGGGGGGAGGGAAGTGCGAGCCGAGCAGGTTGTGGTCAATGTGATGCTTGCCGCGAGGACTGGGACTCGTACAAACCAGCGGAATCCTGTTAGGTTTCTTGCGGCACAGCGGAGGCCCTGGCTCCTCACTATTGGACAATAAACTCAAGCGTAAAGGGGGTTCCTGTCAGATTTGAGGATCTTGTTTTGCAATTACATGCAGGGCGCAGCCAGCGTTCACGAAAAGAGGGAATTGGCTGCGGCGCATCTTGAGCACTTTGAGGTGGAAACACCCCCCCCCCCCCCCAGAAAACTGCTTGGGCAGTTTGACCCAGAAAACTGCCTGGGCAGTTTGAGGGGAAAACAGCCTGGGCAGCAGTTTGAGGAGAAATCTGCTTGGGCAATTTGAGGGGAAAACAGCCTCCCCAGAAAATTGCTTGGGCAGTCTGAGGGGAAAACAGCCTCCCCAGAAAATTGCTTGGGCAGTTTGAGGGGAAAAACCCAGAAAACTGCTTGGGAAGTCTGAGGGGGAAAAAACCTCCCCAGAAAACTGCTTGGGCAGTCTGAGGGGGAAAAAACCTCCCCAGAAAACTGCTTGGGCAGTCTGAGGGGGAAAAAACCTCCCCAGAAAATTGCTTGGGCAGTTTGAGGGGAAAACAGCCTCCCCAGAAAATTGCTTGGGCAGTTTGAGGGGAAAACAGCCTCCCCAGAAAACTGCTTGGGCAGTCTGAGGGGGAAAAAACCTCCCCAGAAAATTGCTTGGGCAGTTTGAGGGGAAAACATCCTCCCCAGAAAACTGCTTGGGCAGTTTGAGGGGAAAACTGCTTTGTCAGTTGCCGCCGTATGATGGGAAGCAATCTTCCCCCAGTGTGATGCGGTTCTTTTCTATGTAGTTTGTTGAGGCTTACAGTGGTTTTAGATTCTTGGCCCTCCAGGTGATTCCTGGTGATTCTAGCTGTGTACGTACATACGGGAGCGGTAATTCAGGCCAGTGAACACATATTTATGTATGTTGGGGGCTGGTGTGAATTAAGCCTGGAACTTCAGACGACTCTCAGCATCCCTCGACCAGGCAGTGCATCAGGTTCAGGACATAAAGGATCAATCCGCCGGCGATTTGTGGAACCCAAGGATCAGCTCAGGTATGTCTTCTTTCTCAAATCCCCGGCCAGTTGCTGGTGAGGCACACCTGCGGTCTGCCCTCTGGGGTTCAACCAACTTTCCCCTATCCAAGCAAGGAATTGGTTTGCTAACATGTTGCTATTTGTTTTGGGTCTACTACCATCAATACCTCGCATCTCTTGAAAACCCCCGATCATCCCACCCAACCTCGTCCTCTCCGGCCTGAACAAAGCTGGTCCAAACGTCTAACATGTCCGGAGGGTCCAAACGTCTGTCGCAGCAGGAACTGAAGAAACACTCGTTAATCACGGCCGGTGTCAAAAACAACCTTTTGGATGGTAGACTTCACAAGCTCAGTTCTATAGGCCAACTCTCGTTTTTGCATCTGGTGACGTCTGAGCTGCTTTTTGAAACTTCTCAAACTCCCTCGGTATGTTATGGGGTTAGCTCCCTGTTTTCTTCTCATGTGACCCACGGTGACATCCCACAAGACCAGCAAACTTCTTTGGTCATCTCTTTGTCCTACTCCAACAAAAACGTCATATTCATCATCTCAGGGGTCCCTCACATTGCTCAATCTTGTTGGGTGATTGGGGAGGTCTTCAAGGGTCAGAATTTTTATCAATCTTGTTGCGATCCTAGATCTTTTTTGTTTGTATTAACAACTCTGTCAATATCAAAAACATCATCATCGATAATCTTACAATGTTGAGATCAATCATGGATCAGTAAATTTTTCTAATCAGGACCTAATTGAGATGATTGAGAAGAACGCAGATAAACAAAAGAGCAGAAGTATCGCTATCCGTTCTCAAGTTTGAGATGACTAGAGATAAGTGGCCGATCATTGGAAATTAGCTGACTGCAAAAAGCATTGATTTACAAAAACAGATGAAAACGTTTGATTACTCACAAATACTATTCTTGAAGTTCAGTCCAAAATGACTTGAGCTCTGCCTCGACACATGCCCAAGTGCAACGGAAGACAAACACCACTGCCATCAGTACATATATCTAAATGCTCCACTTGAGACATGCATCATAAAATCCATCCATCGCTTCTAAGCTCAATGGCCTTAAGACAAGATTCTCAAGCAGAGAGCATATCTTTTTGCTGATATTTCCGGTTGACAAGTTCATGTAGGTTTGACAGAAGAAAAACCATGTCGCTACCAGAATTGCGAGTCGAGAAATTCTAGATGCAAGCAGATGTGAGAGGATCTTGAAAGCTGTGAAACCAGTTTGTTTTCAACCATTAATACTGAGGATGAATTTCAGGACACAACAACACACCCTTCATTCTTGCTCCAAGGAAAAAAAAGCGGATGAGTTGAGCTCAAGATGACCAACAACTGCCAACAATATCTTGGCGTCATTTGGCGTCTAATGAATGGTAATTACAGTCTGAATGCATTTAAATGTTATTTATATATGTATGCTGGTGATGCTACATATTTACATATCACGACACCAAGAAATGAGATTACATAAATATGTACAAGCTGGTGCAGCCGTGATGGAGATGATTAGGGTACAGCCATGCAACACACATGAAATACTGACATGGAGGAGTGTCACCGTCACTTCATTTGTTATTGATTCTTTTATTTTCTGAATAAAATCAACAAAATATGCATCTGACAGAGTTGCCCACAGCCCTAATAACTACGGCTGACTTGAGTTTATTAAGGACCTTGACACACAAGGTGTGGTGTGGTCAAAGGCTTGCACTGTTGACTTTCCAACGAAATCACCAAATTTGCTCTCCCCATCTCAGTACTACTTTTCTTGGTTTTTGATTGTATGATGGTTAAGAAACTTCCTAACTCCCAGAAACCAGTGCGAACCTCCGCAAGGCTAGGAGGACCTCAACTTCAGATTGAAGCACCATCTATCAACAGGGTTCAAGAGTTCAAAACAAACTTGGAAAGATGTGAAACTCAAATGCAAGAAAAAGTCAATCAGATCGCCGCCAGAATGGTAAGTTTCCTTTCCCATTATGGCTTGTCTGCAAGGAATGCTGACTCACACAACTCTACAGGAATTATTTGACAAGTTCAAGGTGTGAGACAACCCACCAAACAATAGTTGCAAGTTTTTTTACTAATGTCAAAATAATTTCTAGAATAAAGGGGAAGCCATCTTTCTACAATTTGACCATTGGTTTTCCACTTGTAACAAGACGCATTCCACAACTGAAAAAAAATTGATGAGTTGAACGTATGCTATTCCTGAATACTCTTTGAAGTTTGATGCCCGTTCTTGATTTAGAGCACTCTAACACTTCTCTCTCCTTCCCACAGGCCTCACTTGAGAAATGGAAACGCGAATCTTATCAAGTTCAAACAATTAATTCTCAGCATGAACCTTCCAACGAGGTGAGAAGAAGAAAACTCCGTAGAAAGAATTGCACTGACATTACCCATATCCTCAGGAGGCGTTACCGCTTGTTCATTTCAATAGTCAATCTCAGTTGGTGACTCTCAAAGCTAATTTGGAGGTAGGCCCTCAGAGATTCAGTTGGACTTGCAAAGAAACTCATGTGATGGTTTTGATTTTAGGGGATTGAAAAGGCCCAAGGTGAACTTTTTAACTTACGGTCCGAGTTTGACACCTTTGGGAGAGAATTAGCGACCCAATTCAATGAGTTACCCGAGCAAATCAGAAACCAATACACGGAACACGTTACAAATAGCTTACTTGCTTTCAAGACCAAGCTTGAACTCAAACTTAATTCCAATGTCCAGCAAGCAATTCACGAGGCTCAGGATGCATTTCGGCTTGAACTTGATGAAGCTGTTGCAAAGAAGAATTATGTCACCAATGGCGGACTTCAGCACAAAATCAATCGCTTGTTGCAAACCAGTCAGGCCAGGATTGCAGAACTGACATCTATGTGGGAAACCAAATGCTCAAAACTACAAAGGAATCTTGATGGACTAGCTACGGAAACTCGGGATAAAATTGTTAATGACCTAGAAAATGCTGAGAAAAACTTCCGCGATCTTGAAGCAGAGCTTCGCATTTAGAAAATCATATGAAAAACTCTCCTCAAGTCAACTCGACAGAAGAAACCCAGATGGTCTTGGCTGAACCGATTGATCACGAACAAATCATGCGAGCCAACGCTCAACAGATTGAAACCGATGCATCGACTGTCAAACAGCTGAAAGCGAACTATGAAGGACAGCTAAATAAGTGGTCTTTTGACGCAAACAATGACCTACGCGCATTCCAGATGAAGATCGACCTGTCAGATGAAGCTAAAACGTCCAAGTTACAAGACATCAAAGACAAGTTTCAGGATGCCTTGAGAAGGATTTCCGACCTTGAGAAGAAGGCTGAGGTGGATGAGTCTGCCCAAACACGTCTACAGATACAGGACGCTAACAAAATCCACAAGGTATTTGTCCTCTTTGGATAGCTGAAAGATAATGTGCTAAAATTTTAATTATCAGCTTTCCTCTTTAGATCCAGAAAATATCGGCAAAGATCTGCAGTTGCAACAAGAAGAGCTAGACGGCATCAAAAACGTACTCGATTTCTTTGAAAAAGTGGAGGTGCTAATTCACCATCTCAAGTCTGGCGTAGATCAAAGTCTTGAGAGAACCGGTAGTTTCGACCAGCGTTTAAGAAATCTTGAGGTTGGTTCATCACAGTAACTGTCAGTGATAACCCCACACCAGATTTTTCTGATCACGTTCCTATTGTTTGTCCCGCAAAACCTTGAACATGAGGCAGGAACAACTGGTTCAAGCTTCTGAACAAAAGGCCGCCGCTGGCACCACCAATAACATGAAGGATCTCGAGACGGCAATAACCGCTCTCCAGGTGTGTTGTTTTGTTTAAGTTACACATCTTTTTATTACTGACGCCTTTTTTTCAGCGCGATATTTCAACTCTTCAAACAACAGGACATCAACTTGCCATGGAAGAATTGAAAAATGTTAGGGATAAGCTTGATTTGGTAGAGGTACGCAAGTTACTCAAAAGATTTCCGGGTGGCAAGAGTATTAATGGATTTATATTCAGCAAACACAACGAGATCTTGAATCAAGCATAAAAACTTGGAGGGTTAAAACAACTCGCTGTGGAAACTCAGAGGTATGTACACTGCAGTAGCTTAATAATTTGGGAGAACTACATGTGGGCTAACGCAGTGATGTCTTAAATAAAGTAAAAAGGAGACGGGGCTATTCTCATTGATTCCGAAACCATTGCACCATCTTCTCCAGGAACATCGATTAGTCTAAATCAACCCAAGGATATGGACGTTGATGTTGAGGGTATGTGTATACACCAATCAGAGTTAGGTTATTGACATCCGCTAATAACCTTCTAAAAACAGCATTAAACAATGGAAAATCAGGAATTGTGGAGATTCCAGAGACAAGCACATCAATACCTACCTCTGAAGCCATAGAAAAAAAACATGAACCTCCGCACCCTCAGCTACCGTCCGCAATCCCAAAATTGCCCCCACAGAATCAGCAACAGGCAAACTGCATTTCTTCTACTCCTACCCATTCTCGCCCAAGGAAAAATGCAACACCATCATCAACAAAGCATAAGGTTCAGATAGAAAACCTATCACAGAAGTGACAACAGCCCGACCTTTGTACTGTGGCAGAGAGGCATGACAGCCTTGTACTTGTACGTTTTTTGCACTTCAAGCTTGCTTGAAAAGAGATTTGACATCTTTCCTCTACAGAACCGGGCCATGCAATCGTTTATTTACTATCTCGCACAACAAAAGCAAAGGAAAGACCCTCCGCTCCCCCATCCAACTGAGGATGAAATGTCTCTTTTGAAACCTTTAAAATTGATTGACGAGCTTCTCCAGAACGACACGTATACTTTAAATGAGTATACCAGTCTAGGCCCCAAAGCTCCACGTTTGTTATCAACCGAAGAAGTTCAAAGAATGGGATGGAATCCAGATCCAAAATCACCGTCCATCAAGTTTGCAGAGACGATTGACACAAGCCCATCGGACCCAGACCTGCCGACCTCTTTTGACTTGCTTTTGTACGTCCAAGAACAGGCCAGACAGTACGGAATCCCAAACTTCTCTTGGGCAAGCTGTTGAGTTTTCAACTTCTCTGGCTACTCTTCCCCAAATCACTCCCTCATTTCCTCTCTTCTTCTACTTATTTTCTTTCTTGAATCATCTTGTTCCGGACTGAATTATACTCAACCATAGCTGTTTTCTGCGTTGAATCTTCTGTTCTTGTGTAGTCTAATTAGAACTCATCAAGACAATTTTCTTCTAGCAACTCATGTCTTATTGTTGATTTCTTTATTTTTCTGGTCATTATTTGATTCCTTAAAACTGATTGATAAGAATTAACGCCTCTTATTCATTTGTGGTTGTGTGCTTGTTTTTTTCATGATTAATTTGCTAGCTTTTCTAAAAGAGACTGAGAAGAATTGTCCGGCTGTTTCTTCCATGAACTCATTCATTCCTTCCTCTCAGTTTTTATTCAAAATACTCTTTTATTCAATTTCTATCAAACCACATTTTTAACCTTTTGTATTTAGTCTATTTAAGACAGGCTAGTTACAAGAAATAAAACTTATTGGTTCTTTCATTCTTTTTCCGTGAACCATTCCCAAAAAGGTCCTTAACCTTTTTGTGCCCTTTCCTCAAAAAATCACAATTCCTTCAGTCGTAGGTTCAAAAATTCAACACAAGCCCTACAGAGCACAAGTGTCGATTGTGGAACCTTAGAGTGTCAGCATATGTGGTGAACATCTTTATCACTGCTTGCCAGAAGAATTGCTTCATCAACGTATATGCTCAACAACTTGACCCTCCAACGGTCCCAGAAGCGCAAAAACTGCTGATACATGCTTTGGAGCATTGGATTGCTACCCGAAATCGTGAGGAGTCGCATCTGGGTGCTGTGACTCGTAACCAAAAGATTGACCTTCAATTTCAAAAGAGAAAAAGAGTAAGTCAAGATTAAATATTCTGGTGAACATGTAGAGCTGGTATTAATTATTAACATCATTTATTAACACACCTCCAGTTGGCAAAGCGACGAAAAGAGACTTGTGATTCTTTTGCCGAATTGGAGCAATTTGCTTTCTTGTTTGAGGATGGACGGCTTTGCTCCGATGATGAAAGTGATGTCAAAAATCTGAAGATCAAAACCCGGATTCCTCTGCCTTTTCGTAGCGCAAAAGCCACCAAGCTGATTGAGCACATTGATTGTCGTACAATGGATCTGTACAAGGATCCCACAACAAGGAAGCCAGGCCCGCTTCCAGCAACTAGAGCACCACCATCCGATAAAACTAAGCCTCTTGCCTTCCATACGCACGTCTCACTTGGGCTTCCTCGAGATTGCTACAAGGAGAATGTTCTTCATCATCTGAACCAAGACCAATTGGAAGGATTGAAAGCAATGCCGGATTGCCTCATCAACATGGACAATATCCAAGGCTGGCATAGCAGCTCACTTGATTCTAATTAGATACCATAAAATGATAGTGGCTCAGTTATTTTCGATTGGATCTATTCTCTTGATATGTTGGTTTTCTTACAGGTTCTGGAAACCAAAACATCCTCCTTGTATACTTGAATTCCTGCCTCCTGTTTTCCTTTTTTTAGCTGAAATTCAACACACCTTTGTCAATTTTTGTCAGCTTGCTATTATGGCAGAGACAACCTGTCATAGAAAATAAAAATAATAAATTACATAAAAAATCTAATTATAAATTAAAAATATTACATAAGTAAAAGAAACAATATTACTTATGTAAATAAGATAAAAAATACATAAAATAAATGAATAACTTAAAAAGTATAAACAAAACCTTAAATATTATTTCAGATTCTGAATCAGCATACAATTTAACCTAGGGTACCTCAGCCAAAGGTATCCCAAATTCCAACTCCTTCACCCTGTAATACATGCATGAATAATTAACAGGTACCCCCAGATCACGGGTACGGTGACACTTCTGCATAATTCATAATGCATATACTCCAAATCCAGTCTCAGAATTGGAGTATTGTGCACGGTTTAGAAGATAGAGCAGTGTGGAGTCCTGTCTCCAAGCCCACGCGCCATGTAGTCATGCTGCGCACCAGTATCCAAGGATTGGGCCACAAAAGCCCCAGAATCCCCATTCACATCATCCCTGACATGATTTCCCAGATGGGAAATCATGTAAATTTTAGGGAAATCCTGTAAAAAAAATAAAGATTTTTCCAGATTTTTAGAGTTTTCTAAATTCTTTTAGACTTTTCCAGATTTTTTATATTTTTTTGGATTTTTTACAGGGAGTTGATCAACCAACTCCCAAATATTGGAGAGTTGACTCCCAAACCCGGGTTTCCCCAAAATTTGGGAGTCGATTCCTCAAACCCATCAGTGGGTTTGGGAGTCAGCCCTCAAAAAAATTTAAATAAAAAAAAGAAAAACCCCGGGGGCCGGAGGGGTTGGGTGTCAATGCCCCAAAACCAAGTGGTTTTGGGGGGTCGGTGATAAAAAAAATAAAACCAGCGCCCAGGAGGATTCTTCCGGGAAGAGTGCTCTATGGAAATTTCTCTCGGGTGTTAAGGGTATAACCCTCAGAGCATCCACCGTTGTTGCAATAAATCTTTAGGTAGCCAGCAAGTCCCGCACGGCTCAGTTGCTTACCTAATGATAAAAACCCCCACTCGTTGCTTGGAATTGGCTTGTTAGGGAACTCAGATTTACATACCAATCCCAGTGCCATCCTTGTATCCATTTTATGATTTGAAACAACCCGGCAACTAACAACTCACAACTGGTACATCGGCATCTATTTCCTTCACAATGGATCCCGATACCCTCCACTTCAAATATTTCCTCTGGGATCTTGAAGAGGAAGTTCTTATTCGACGCCTCCTGGCAGCAGCAGCCCAGCCCATCCCCAGAATGATCCAAATCGGAGATAGAGAAATCATACTCCAGAATCGCATTGCAGGCAACAAATGTTTGATGGCCAATTACTTTGTCAAACGTCCAGTGTATCCCAATCAAATCTTTGAGCGGCACTTCCAGATGAGCAAGAATTTGTTCAATCAGATATGCAGAGATCTCCAGCAACACGATCGATTCTGGATTCTCAAAGCAGTGGGTAATAAATTGCCCTCTTGTTGATAGATTCTTTGGCTCATTAATTATCTTCAATTTTACACATGTTCTAGGACTGCTGTGGCCAGATGGGCCTGTCAACCCATCAAAAGGTTACAGTGGCACTCCGACTATTGGCATATGGGTCTAGCGCCAACTCTGTGGATGAATATGTTTGAATTAGCAAAACGACCGCAATCCAAACAATCAAGCTGTTTTCCAAACACATCATTGCAATCTACGGCCCTGAATATCTGCGACCTCCAAACCGCGAAGAACTCCAAGTGATCCTCAGCAAGAATGAAGAGCGGGGTTTTCCAGGGTGTATTGGGAGCATCGACGGCATGCATTGGGCATGGAAGAATTGTCCATTGGGGTTTGCAGGCCAGTATAAAGGGAAGGAAAAAAAGCCGACCATGGTTCTAGAAGCAGTTGCAAGCAAGAACTTTTTGATCTGGCACACTTTTTTTGGTACTCCAGGCGCCCTCAACGACATCAATGTTCTTCATTGCAGTCATCTCTTTGACTCCTTACTTTCTGGGGCTTCGGAATCGATCAGATACACAATCAACGGACATCAATACCACACTGGTTACTATCTCTGTGACTCAATCTACCCACCCTGGTCAACTTTGGTTGCTTCAATCAAGAACCCATAGGGTGGGGCCTCCAAACACTTCACCAAACTTCAGGAATCTGCCTGAAAAGACATCAAGCAAACCTTTGGTGTCCTTCAAGCACGCTGGCATTGCTTAACCAGGGGCTGTCGCTTGTGGGAGAAGACAGATTTTATGGAAATGATGATGTGTTGCATCATTCTACACAACATGATTGTGGAAGAATGATTGCCAGCTGATCCTTTTCTGACCCTTCCTTTGGCCAACATCATAGCAAATCATTGAGACCCAAACCTCACACATACCTGGGCCAATTACCTTCAGAACAACTTCAACTTGCACAACCCTGAGACTCATGCATGCGCAAGGACCTCAAAACTTACAATTGGTTGCTTGTGGGTGACGAGAGGGCCTAGGTCTTGGGATGTACTTTCTATTTAATTTATTGATATTGTTTTGTTTTATCTATCAAATGAATCAACAGTTTATCAACTTCAACTCCATTTCTTACTTTCTACTCATTGCAACTCAACATAACAAACAATCAGTGAGAAAGAAATGTGATCAATAAATTTTTTTGAATGCAAGCAAAGAGTCACAAGATCAAGAGGCAAGAGTGGGAAAACAAAACACAAGCGAGAGGTGATAAAAGACAAGGAGAAGCTTATGAGGCAGCTCTTGCATGCCACTTGTTCTTAATTTGATCCTTGATTATCTTGAGGGCATCCTTTGCCTCCTCTTCCCCAAGGTCCTCGACATCACGGAGAATCTTGAAGTTGTTCATCTCGGTTTCACTTTGACAATAATCCTTCTCAATGGCAATCTTCTCTTCTTCTAGCTGGAGTTTTTTCCGTTCTATTTCAAGCTTTGGCTGAGAGAAATTCTCTCAGCCGTCAAGAGCACGCTCCGCGGCCGGTGTGGAACTACTCAACCAGGGAGATAGAGCTTGGAGGGGATATAGACAACTACACTAGTAATAATGTAAGTTGAGACTACAGGTGCTGATGAGGCTGCCCTCCTGTACAATGCTAATGGGAAGAGTGTAACACTAAGAAAAAGAAGAATAGAGGTGTGGCTGATTTCTACTTTATCTTAGACGACTATTACTGATGAGCTTGTGTATGTAGTACCTACAGAGGTGTGAGGAGGAGGAGAAATGAGGTGTGATGGGATAATACTGGCAAGGGTGTAACACTGGCAATGAGGAATGACACTGGCAAAGGGAATAATCTGGCAAATGAGGATTTATAACTGGCAAGGGGGGATGTATAACTGGCAAATATAACTGGCAATGATATCTGGTAAAGATATAAGGATGATACTAGTATTTCTGATTTCTAAGACTATGGTTAGAAGATAATTCAGGCAAGGTACATAGCATGAGGGGGAAAATACATGAGAGGGAAGAAAGAGTATATATGTGTACAACATGTACATACAACAGCAAAGCCCTATGTCTGGGGAAATCCTGGCTATGGGTAATGTAAATCTTAAACAGTAGTGAGTGATGAGAAATAATGTAGCTAAGTGACAGATGTTCTGTGTATACAAGTGTTAATCAGGTATGGAAAGTCAAAGCAGTGTGAAAGGAAATATGTACATGATGTAATGTAGTTAAGGTTATCCTGATTGCTGTATGTAGTTATGGTTATGCTGAATATGTAGTGTAGTATGTAGTAATGGTGATGTACCATGATGAATGAGTGATTCTACATAGAGACTGTAACTATATAATGTGTAATGTATATGTACTGTATGTATAAAGTAATGTGCTGTTCTGTAACTATGAATATACTGAAGAGATGATAACTAGAGAACTATAAGAGATACTGAAAAGCTGTAAGAGGTGACTAGGGGTGAAATAATGTGTAGAATCTGAATATGAAATAATACTGGGAAGAATATATGTAAATGATGAAGAAAAATGAGGATACATGGAAAGTTATGGACATACCACACCGGGAGGAATCCTCCCAGCTGTCGTTTTTTTTTCTGGTTCTGGCATTGACACCCAAACCCCGCCGGGGGTTTTCTGTCTTTTTTAGTTAAATTTTTTTGGAGGCTGACTCCCAAACCCACTGACGGGTTTGGGGAATTGACCCCCAAATTTTGGGGAAACTTGGGTTTGGGAGTCGACTCTCCAATATTTGGGAGTTGGTTGATCAGCTCCCTTTTTATATTTTTCTAAATTTTTTAGATTTTTCCCGATTTGTTTTGCAAGAGACATCTATAAAGTTGAGAAAAATTAACAAATCCAAACAATCTGAAAAAATCTGAAAAAAATCTAAAAACCTGGAAAAATTAGAAAAATCTTAAAAAAGGGCCATAATAAAAAAACCCGCATTTTCCGTGTTTTGACGCGCTTTTGCTGCGGCACAGCACACGCGCATTCCGTGTTTAAACCCGCATTTTTAATTAATTTATTTTTGCCATTAATTTTAATTTTTTTTTAATTTTTTAAAATTGTTTCCTAGGTGAAAAAGTGCGTAGAATTTAATGGTGAAGTCCATTTTCCAATAAAATGACTTTTGATCATTAATTTTTTTTCCACTTATTTTTCAATTAATTGTTTACATACATGTTTCTACCTCATTTTTTATTCTTTTTTGAAATTTCAAATTTATTTCCTAGGTTTCAATGTGTGAAAAATTTAATGGTGTAGTCCAAATTTTTCAAAACTCAACGGTTCATTTTTAATACTGAAATTTGACATTTTTTTCACTTAAATTTCTACAGGTTAATTTTCATTCTTTTTTGACGTTTTAAAATTTTCTCCTGCACTTTGAGACATGTGAAAAATTATGGTAAAAACCATTTTTCCCCAAAATGAAAACTATACCTTGAATGCAGCATTTGACACATTTTTTTTTAATTAATCCTTCACGTTTTCACTTAATTGTTTGCATACATGTGTGTACCTTATTTTCTATGCTTTTTTGAAATTTTAAAGTTTTTTCCTACATTTAAAAGTGTATAGAATTTAATGGTAATATTCAATTTCCATAAAGCTCAATGGTTCATTCTGAATGCTGTAATTAGTCATATTTTTCAATTGATTTTTAACAGCTTAATTTTCATTATTTTTTGACATTTTAAATTTGTTTCCTACGCTTTCAGACATGGTAAACATGATGGAAACAATCAATTTGCATCAAAATAAAAACTGTATCTTGAATAATGCCTTTGACGTATTTTTTGAATTAATTCTTACACACTTAATTACCCTTATTTTTTCAAATTTTAAGCTCATTTCCTACACTTTGAAAGGTTTCAAAATTGATGGCTGTATCCATTCTGCATTCAAATACAATTTGTATACAGTACAAATTATGCGAGAAACGGGGTACACTCACGTATTATAATTGAAGCTTGTATTTTTATGGAAATTGAAATTCACCATTCAATTCTACACATCTTTAAATGTAGGAAATGAATTTAAAATTTTGAAAAATGATTAAAATCCAGCCGGTAAAAACCAATCAAAAAAACATTAAAAAAAACATGTCCAACACAGTATTCAATAACAGTCTTTGGTTTTTATGCAAAATGGTTATTACCATCATTTTACTCATGTCTTAAAGTGTGGGAAATAAATTTAAAATGTCAAAAAATAATGAAAATTAAGCTGTAGAAATTTAAGTGAAAAAAATGTCAAATTTCAGTATTAAAAATGAACCGTTGAGTTTTAAAAAATTTGGATTACACCATTGAATTCTACACACATTGAAACATAGGAAATAAATTTAAAATTTCAAAAAAGCATAAAAAATGAGGTAGAAACATGTATGTAAACAATTAATTGAAAAATAAGTGGAAAAACAAAATTAATAATCAAAAGTCATTTTATTGGAAAATGGACTCCACCATTAAATTCTACGCACTTTTTCACCTAGGAAACAATTTTAAAAACTAAAAAAAAATTAAAATTAATGGCAAAAATAAATTAATTAAAAATGCGGGTTTAAACACGGAATGCGCGTGTGCTGTGCCGCAGCAAAACCGCGTCAAAACGCGGAAAATGCGTGTTTTTTTATTAAGGCCCCTTAAAAAATTGGAAAAATCTAAAAAATCTGAAAAATCCCAAAAATCTGGAAAAATCTAAAAAATTTAGAAAAATCTAAAAAATTTGGAACAATCTAAAAACATCTGGAAAAATTTAAAAAAAATCAGAAAAAACTAAAAAATATGGAAAAATCTTCAATTTTTTACAGGACTTCCCTAAAATTTACAAGATTTCCCATCTGGGAAATCATGTCAGGGATAATGTGATTACACGTGAAAACAAAGCCCCCACACGTGTAATAAGAATGTGAACAAGCTAGAATATTCATGAAAATACTACAGTAACCATATTCCAGTGGGTAACACGTGTAGCAAGCCTCAGAAGGCATCTCTGGAATATTCTGTGGCCCATTTCCAAGGAACCTGCTCCACGTAACAGAGTAGCCCCTATCCACAATCCTCTTCTTTTTGCACGATACCTTAGAGGGATTAAACCACCCCTGATTTATCAGGCCCCTCTGGTTTTATTTATATTAATTTTATTAATATAAATTGGCCATTTTCTGGATTTAATCCATAAATTCCACGTAATTCTTTTCAAATTACTTGTACCAGTTCTATCCCAGAGTTTTTACCATAAAAACTCTGACTTTTTGCACCTTGTGTAGCTAGAGAACACGTGTCTTGGCATCACATAGGCTGACAGTTTTTGAGTTACTCAAGCTTTTTCAAAAGCTCCATGTTCTATATTTCATGTTTCATAGACACTCCCGAGAGCACCTCCAACGGTCCAGCTGCTGCGGGACTTGTGACCAACTTCTGTCAGTATGAACTTGCTTTGCTGCAAAAAATTGTGATACTATTATTAGTGGTTCCATAATTTGTTTTGGAACTTGAAAATCCCAAAGTTTCCAGCTTATCAGCGGCCTGGCAATGAAAAGAATTTGCACTGTATTGAGCGTTGGGGTCTGATCACCTGCTGCAGCGAGTCTCAGGCATGTAACGCACGTGTTACGGCAGATTTGGCTTTGGTCAGGGGCAGTTGCTGCGTCTCCCCTGACAACCTTTAACCGCTCCAATACATACACAAGGCAAGATGCCTCGACGACTCTCACACGTTTGGAGGGAAACCCATCCAAAATCTGTCGGAAATTTTGGAAGGAAAGCTGCGATTGGATGGAAATGCCTCAAGAAATGGTTCAGTGCCTTGACATTAGTATTTGTGTCAACCGTATTAATAAGTTTGGTGGTTCATTTAACGCAGCTAGTACCATGTGATTCTTTACAAAAGATTTTGAACTAACAGTGGTTTTTTCGGTCGGATAGTTGTCACCCAGAAGCAATCATCTCTTAACAGTAAGATTATCCTTCTCGATGAGCACTTAAGAGATCTACAAGAACAAGCCCTGAAAACGTCCGAGCATGTTGCAAGTCTCATCGGTTCAGCTATGGAAGGAGTCAAAAGGTCCGAATTCGAGGAGGGCCTTTTCCAGATTGAGAAACGCTGGAAGATGACATGTCCTCGGGAAAACTCCAGCCACAAATTTCCAATAGAAAAAGAAGGGAAAAGATTAATCCACTACACAAAGAAAGACTTCGCTACCTTCTCTGCCGGCGCATCCATAGTTGAATCCCTGACGTCCCCGACCTGGAATTACTATCGCAAAATACAAACACCTAGATTTCCTTTTTACCAAAAATTCCAGAAAATATCCGGCAGTCCTTCACTTACCGTACTTCTTTCAAATCTAAGCCTGGGGACATGCTGGCCTTTCCACGGAACGACTGGTCAGATTGGAATTCAACTCTCCCAAGCAATCAGAGTCGAAGGAATTACAATTCGGCATGTTTCCCGTTCTTTGGCATATGATATTTGAACTGCACCCAAATAATTCGAGCTTTGGGGATTGGATCACGGCAGCCAGGAGGGAGATTTATTGGTCGATGGTACTTACAGAATAGACGGTTTGACGAACGTTCAAGAATTCACGGTCCCCAACACAAAATTACAGCCCTATTCGCAAGTGCTCTTGAAAATCAAATCAAATCATGGAAACACGTATCTCACATGTATCTATTGGGTTCATTTTCACGGTGAAGAGGAGGATCGGCCGGAGAGGTATAATTTAGATCATGTAACACCAACGTAATAACAGTTACTTTTGCTCAAATTGCTGATAGAGCCAAACAGTGATGGATTTATTCATAATCAAATCGACATCACTGTATCTATTCTAAAATATATTATAATTGAACTGAAAGGAAACTGATACCAACCAAAGAAACCTCCTTAGGAAAGTGCTCGGCCATTTTGGTGAGGAGGAAAACTCCTCAGAAAAGTGCATGGCCAGTTTGGTGAGAAGGAAAACTAGGGAGAACTATTCCTGAAGCCTCATTGCTCAACATAATTGCAACTCCGGTTGGATGGATCTCTTCCCCCACCCCATCACTTCCGCTGTCCTCGTCATTCACATTACTAGCAAAAACCAAGGATGCTCGGTTTGGGTAGCTACCCCATGTATAAACAGTGTAGAACAACTTGGCAAAAACCTTTTTGCTGGTGGTCAATCTTTTTCCCGTTCTGTTGGTGTCTTTGAGGCCGACTGCTTACATTGAAGCGCAAGTCATTCAACTTAGTTGGCCCTCAGGAAGATGAATGAAGCTTTTCGCTGTCGATCTAGCATGACCTGTAAGATATTCTAGTGGCATACTCATCTTTGCTATACTTTAGCCAGTGATTCCAACAATCCTCTTGCCTCTGGTCATCTATGTACACTATATCCCAAATCCATCCTATTTAAACATATTGACACCATACAATTACATCAACCTCACATCAATCCGAAGTTTATTCTTAAATCTCCTCCCTTCAAAAACTTCCTGAAAATGGGTTTGATTTAAACTCAATAGCAAAATTGATATTTGAATTTGGTCCTTCCTCTTCTTACTTTCAACCTCCATGGGAACAACAATCTGCTGGATGTTTTTCATATTGACAGAGTTGTTAATACAAGCAAAAAAGAAGAAACATGCATCAAATAAGTATGGGGGGCGTTATGTTGTAATGAGATGCTCAACAGAGTTGTTAATACAAGCAAAAAAGAAGAAACATGCATCAATGAAGTAGGGGGGGGGGCATTAAGTTGTAATGAGATGCTCAATGCAACACTTAAGACTACAAATATTCCAGCGAATGGGAATCAAGTGATTATGATTGAGTTCAATCTTTTGATCAGGAGTATGAGGTTGGGGCTGGGGCTGGGGTTGAGGTTGGGGGAAGGGCGCAAGACCGACAAAGCCAAGGGTTCTGAAATGGAAAGCGTGCCGAGAATAGGGAGAGGTTTGAGCCAAAGTGGGATGGGGGAGCACGCCGGGTTTCAAGACCAACTTGGTGGTGCACAGGTTGCAGCGATAGAAGTATGAGGTAGGGTGCTTGATAATTTTCTGGATTTGGCCAGGCAATACGGCGGCAAGTTCTGTAGACGGATGAGGTGACTTGGTGGATGAAGAAGGGGGATACAAGTAATTATGGTCAAGATCATGATCATTATCGTGTGCAATGAGTGTCTCCTTCTCGCTGCTGAGATCCTTGGTTATGCACATCTTTCGGATACAGGTTTCGAGTAAGCTTGGCAGCGGAGGTGACAGCGAATCGTCAATGGGCACAAGCGTCTTTGCGGGTGGAGAAAAGTAAAAAAACCCCTGGGATTCTGAGAGCCATTTGAACTTCTGGACTGTCTGGTTCCCCAAAGTAGTCACGGGAGGGGAAGAGCTGTCGAGAGGAAGGGGAGGCCTAAGCCAGGGATTGCCGTTAAGAAGCAGCTTGCAATCGGTTAGCTTGAGGATCAAGGAGGGCAGGAACTCGAGCTTGTTGAAGGCAAAATTCAAAAGCTTCAAGTTCTTCAGCTGTCCAATCTGTTCCGGGATTTCGGTCAGTTGATTGGAGCGTAGACTGAGCTGTCCAAGTCCTTGGAAGTAGCAGATCCGTTTGAGTTGACAAAACGGACTTGAGGTCAACTGGTTGTTTGACAGGAACAGACAGGAAGTCGGGCATGGTGAAAACTCCTCGACCAGTTTCTGAAGGTCTGGAATTGTACGAAGATCTTGATTGCTACAAATTGAGTTTATTAATAAACAGATAAGAGAAGAGAAATTAGTGGATTGAAGAATCAGTAAATAGTGATTTGCAATTTAAGCATTTACTTACTCAAGATCGAGATAAATAGCACCACCAACAATTGCACGTGAGAAGGCAGAAGGAAAGCGACGGTAACTCTCCGATCTGATCATTGCTTCGGTCTCTTCCTTGGAGGGTTGAAGGCGATGGGTACTTCTGGTGAAGTTTTCAGATCTGATTAGCTCTGAAGTGAGAGTGTCCAAGCTCCTTGGTGGAGATAAGAAGATCCCACAGTGGCAGGGTGGGGTAAACTGATACTCATTTTTCCGATCAACTTCTTCTTGTGTATCTTGATTGGTAGAAGTTGATGGTTTTGATGATGGCTTTATTGAGCCAATGGTGATTATTGAGGGTGAAGGTAGCAGACTCTCCTGGTGAATGAGCACCCGTTTGCGTACCACCCTATCCCTCTTGCCAGCAAGGGAGGGACAGAAGACATTCTGTGCCCGCTTCGATTGAGAATGTTCGCATTCAAGGGCATCCTGTTGTCCGACTCGTTTGTGGCGATAGCTTTTGATCGATAGGGATGATGGCAGTTCACCTGTCTGAGCCTTGCAGATAGCGGAGAAAGGATCGATTACCAAGTTGGAGTAAGTGGATGGATTCATGACTGGTGATTCCTGATAATAGGTCCATCCATTCAGAGGTTGGTCGTTGTCACTCGACTGGCCGGGATATGTTTAATGCCGGGTAAGGGCATCGATTGTCGGATGCCAAGAATAGATAGAGTTGATGATGGAGAATATTGTGGACCATATCAATCGCCTTTGTACACTCCATAACTTTCTGGTTGCAACAAGGCAAAAGGTTCTCTCAAACAGCGCGGGCCATAGCCCTCGGCGTCTTGTTTGCTCAGATGTTTGTAAACTCTGTAATCTCAAATCCCTCAATATAACAAGGGTGTTTTGAGTGGCGCAAAATATTTTGAGCTGTTGTAATCAAAGGATGGATTACTGCTTCTGCCAGATATAATTATTATTGCGCAAATTTTAATTATCGTTAATTTGAAGCCTCACTTAATTGCAGTCAGGTAAAATTTTGCAGTTGTCTCAGGAGGCATAAGATAACAGGTTATGACCGACAGAGACGCTTGCAGCTTCTCACTCAAGATCAAGACGGAAGAGGGTATTATTGATTCACAACACTCAAAAAGAAAATTTAAATTCAGAACACTAGACTACAAAAGTGCTTGCAGAACCTGTTTAGCTGTCATTTGTCGATCTTCAAGACATAGCATTTTTAGGATAAAAGAATATTCAAAGGATTTGCCAATTGGATTGAAGAACGTGGTATCTTGGGCAACAAATGTGCGGAAATGCGGATCGTCGCTTCTTGCTTCACGCCATGGTCGAGCGGAGCCTAGCAAGTTCATGAGTACAAAACCGAGAGACCAGATGTTGTTTGCAAAAGTATTGTAAAAGCAAAGTGAGGTATCAAGACTGCCAAGACATTCTGGGTTGTAATTGCATCACAATCAATAAAACAATTTGATTCAGGAAAATCCAATCATTTTTGCGCGCATACCTGGACTCATGTATGCTCGTGTGCCACACTTGTTTGTGCTGTGACGGAGGTCAGTTGCAAGTCCAAAATCAGTGAGATAAACCTGATCAAAACCGCAAAGTATATTTTCTGGTTTGATGTTGCAATGTGCCACACCTTGGGCATGGCAGAATCGTACAGTGTGGTAAGCCAATCCTGAAAATCGAAGCACATCAAGAGTACAATTCACAGATGAATCACAGGATCAAGACACCCCAGAAAGCTCTCCAGACCCCCAAAACCAATCATGAATCCCCTCAAGCACAGACCACATGGATAATAATATTTCCCAGCAGAAACTCCACAGCCCTGAAACTCATTCCCCTCCAAACATATTCTATTCTTCTTACCCCTTGTGTTCCACACTAGTAGCAATCCCCCTGAACCATGAAACAGTTATTTCCTCCTATCTTCTTCCATGGAATTTTCCACCCCTCAGTTGTTCCATACTAGTAACCTTGGGAGCATTTTCCCACTGCTTGTTTCCCCTGTTTTCTCTGGATAAATATTTTCCCTTGTTTCATACTCTTCATAGAATTTTCCATTTATCTTCCAACCACAAGCTGGCCACTCCCCAGAATTTTGTATATAAGGAGCTTTGTTTTTCCTCTTCATTTGTTCCTCATCAGATCCTGCCCCAGCAATTCAGATAACTGATCACCCACTATTAGCCAGGTATTTGCCCATCAACAATTGGGATACCTTGATTTGTGAACAAGTATATTTAGACTAGTAAACATAAGAAACATTAGACATACCATCCTCAAGAAATCTCCACAGCCACACCTTTTTCCTTAAGAGTCCATACTCTTATATTTTCTTGTTATCAGAGAGGCAGCCCAATAAAGCACTCATCCCTCTCAAGCTCTATTCCTCCCAAGAGTAGTTCCACAACGGCGGAGGTGATTTGTGAAAAGATTGGCTTTATATGCGCCGGGTGCGAGAGGAAGTGACTACAATTGAAAATTTGATGTGCGAGAGTCCCTCATGACATGTAAGGCATGACAAGGATGCTGTGGGTCGGAGTCTTGAGTGTCTGAAGAAGTGATAGTATGTTGGGGTGATTGTGAGCGGAAAGTGCGGAATGAAACCAGATTTTGTCGGCAATGGCTGTCGAGACTCGGCCATCAGTCTTATGGATGACCTTTACGGCGCAGGTGGTTGATTCTCCGGGTACGACTGAGGAACATCTAGACATGAGTAAAGATTAGTGGTCATCATAATATGAATGAATGACTTACTCGATTGAGCAAGGTATACTATTCCAAAACCTCCTTGACCAAGAACCGAGTCAGTTTGGATACGCAACCCAGGTATGATGTTGACATTGACCGGGTGAATTTGAGACATCGCGAATGATCTGCGAGAGAAAGAAGTTGTTTGATTGACGTATGGATGGCGGTATTTTCAATAAAGTAGTGGAAATCCGGAGAAATTTTTGAAGGATAGAATGCCAAGTTCAGTCAGTAATCACTCCAAGTTGTTTTGGAGATAAAGTAAAAGCGCAAAGATGTGAAGGTTTCGTAGTGCTGGAGAGATGGATAGAACAGCGTGTTAAGGTGTCAATGTTGGAAAAGTGCACCATAAAAATTGATCCAAAGCTAGGTTTTATGGATAAGTGAGTGACGTATTGCGTTATGTCAGTTCCTCAATGGTAGCCTTGGTTTGATTGGTAACGCTGAAGGAAACACTTTTGCCTATGCGGATAGGTCCATGATTGGACTGACTGAGATAAAACTTGAAATCGTGTGATGAACTTACTGGTGGTAGTGCTGAAATCAGCAATGAAGCACCAGCAGGAAAGTGGCAGTGATCAATGAGATCTGCAATTACTTGGCCTACGCGGGACACAAACCAGCCACAATCTTCTGAATTTGTCTGTTTTGAGGGAACAGATGGATGCCATATACGAGTGGGGGTTGAGAGAGGGCACCTGGGTTTTCATCTGAGATTGGAGACAAGAAGGGGTTCAATCTTTCAGAATCTTAAGAAAAATGAAGATGGTGATGAACTCACGTTGTACATTGGAGTACTCCATTTTCGTTGGCCGCTGTCCTCAGTGGAAATCCAGAGGCCACATGATGTAGAAAAGCCTGACCAAGGTTCCATGATTGTTGGGTGCATAATGCATTTGTTCCGGGGGATGTTGGAAGTGGTAGTGTGGATGATGGAGCACTTGGATGTGTGCATTGGGATCTTGAGAATAAGTACGGATGGGGTAACCCCTGTGGTGGGTACGGCCTACCTGTTGCGCCACACAGCTTACCCAAAATTTTCATGTAATAATAATCAACAATTACAGAATCCTGTGATTTTACATGCCTACAGGCAGGCAGGCCACCAAAGCTGAACATAAGGTTGGCTCCCCATCCAATGGGCCACCCCCTTGACCATCTCTCATTGATATTGAGTTTCCAGTCAGTTGTTTCATTGGGAACAGCTTTAAGTCGCCTTTTTAATGAAGGCCAGGGATGCAAGCAATTTACCACTAGTGCAATTGAAAAGCTACATGAAATCTGTTTAGTAGGATTAAAAAAAGGATTAAATCAAGTGTTGTCATGATTGAAACAAGGTTGGACTTCTGAGGTTTCCCAGGGGGTCTCCAGTCTTGGGAAGTGTTTACGCACAAACCTGGGAGGTTGTGCTTTGGTTCTGATGATATGTTATAACTTTGCTTTTCAGACAATCTTTATTTGAGTAAAGGGAATCAATTCATATTCTACAAATACATTGTAAACAAGATGTAAGGTCTAAATGAAAGCACTGGGGGAATCATTTTTTGTTGACAAAGGGGGTGGTGTAAAACTGAGATAACTGCATTTTTCAAGCATCCACAAAGAAGTTTTTCAAGGCCAGCTAAAGCAAAATCCAAATCGTAACTCCCACCGCTTGACGTGCAAACCACAACTCAAAACAAAAACACGGCACAGAAGCCTAACTGTAGAGAAGTCAAGCAGAAACATTCAGGCGCCAACACTTGAAAGAAATCCATCAGGAAGGAGCAATATTTCACACATGCGAGCTGACAGATGGATCCGCATTGTTGTCCTGGGTTGTCCGGGGTTGTGAAAAGCGGGCTTTGCGACCAGATCCCAACCAACATGCCATACGCCATTGCTCTCAACGTGATTTGAATTCCCCGCAGGATCCCTGTACAGGTTGGCACAATACGTCAGTGAGGTTTTTAAGGGTGACCATAAGCACTGAAACGGTTGACTGACAGGATCTATCAGCCGTTTCCAATGCCAAGCTGCATCGGGTCTCCGTTCCTTCGCATATTGCAGATTGGTGGGGACCGCGCTCAAAAATTTGAAACTGAAAATTTTGAACTGAGCGGGCTAAGACAAAAAATTCCAGATATCAGCTCAGTAAACTTTGGTAGTTTCAATTACCCTTACCATCGAGTCCGTATGCAGGACAATCGGGTCCACAGTTTCCATGAATTTTTTCATTCAAGGTATGTCTTTTTACTGCAGTAGCGCTGAGACGAGAATGACTGTGACAGGCCTTCTTGTTGTATTTGACATCACCACAAGTATTGAGGTGAGGACAGGCGTACATCGGCATTTCAAAGTTTGATACTATTACTGGGACGGTTTGCAAAGCTGAGAGATGCAGATGTGTGTATTTACATATTTAGGTGGATGTGAAGATGACGACAGTCACCCCCCGGGGGGTACATACTGTGCGCAACAGGGCACACCGCGCGCATCTGCTATGTACATACATAGGGCCCTCCGCCTGTCAGCTTCAGATGCATGCCCAAGACTAGAAGACGACCGTTCGTAATTCACAATTGTCCGAAGTCTATTGCCCCGTCATGCGTAGTTTGGTGAGTGATTTGGCGTGCTTCTATAAGTGCGTCACCCGGGTGTCTGAATGCTGCTCTCTCGGTAGATGGGAGAGTATTAGACGAGCTCCATAAACTCTGAATTGGCCCAAAACGTGGTTGGGATGGCAGAGGGTGAACCTTTGATACTTATGCGCCTACGGCTATGGCAAGAACGCGAGAGAGGGGACCTTGATGAAGGCAAACTTTTGGCGGAGAACAAGAAACTCAAAGAAGATGTGAAGGAGCTCGAGCATTCAAAACAAAAGTTGTTGCAAGTGGAACAGGTTCTTCAAAATCAATTATCATACAGCAAAGACAAAAGGTACAAGTTAGAGGCCAAAGTGGCTGAAGCCACTGATGAGTGCTGTGTTAAAGCCAAGCTGTTGCGTAAGACTTCAGGTGAGTCTTGAGCTGAAGGGAGAACCCCAATTATAAAATTTTCAAATTTTTTTCAAATAGAAAACCCAAAAATTCAAAATTTTGGTTTATAATTGGGGCCTTACTTCTATTCTTGTTTTGCAGAAGAGCTACGTTTGGCAAGACTCAAATTAGACTCGATGGACTCGAGAGTGTATTTGCCCCATGAAGTACAAAAAAGTGCGACCCAGGATGAGAAGAAGAGCCAGGTAAGCCTGCCACCAGCCATCGAGGGTGAAGCTCTGTGTTGATATTGCAACTGCATACTAGGAGATTGAGTATGCCAAATGCGCCAAAGAGATTTCAAACACTGCCAAAATGATTGTATCAGATTGCTAAATCTGGCATTACATTAGATAAAAATATCTGATATTACATCAGGAAAGACTGGGATTGTTTCTACCAGAATTGATATTATATCTACCTAAAATGATATTGTGTCTATCATGAAAGATATTAAATCAGACCAACCTATTCAATTTCAACATAACTGAATTCATATTGGATTTTTCCATCTGATGTAATGCCCACGGGCTAAAAATTTGTATCAGATATAAAAATCTGATATAAAATCAGTTATGTTGATATTAAATAGGTTGGGCTGATGCAATATCTCTTGAGATAGATATAACATAATTTTGGGTAGATATAATATCACTCCTGATAGATATAATACCAGTTTTGCCTGATTTAAAATCAGGTTTTTCATCTGATGTAATGCCAGATGTGGGAATCTGATATAATCACATTTGCAGTGAAACAGCCTCCAGGACCTTTGACTCAAAAATCGCGCACTCCATACGCTGGTCGAAGGACAAGAAACCATGATCGCAGGCCTGCACAAAACAATTCGAGAACTATCTTCGTTGAACGAGCTCCATGGAGGTGTAGAACTCTCCGGTGAACGTAATCAGGTGCTTTCCGAAGAAATTCACTGTCCAGCAAACCACGCTCTCATTGCAGGTGCTCAAGAAACTGAGATAGACACACTTCTCAAGATTTCGCATACGCATCATTGTTTAAAAGGTTTGGGGGAATGATACTGAAGAACATTTGGTTGACTACCATGTACATGTCAGGCTTTCGCGGCCGTTATTGCTTCATTTGGCTTATTTCCTGGCTAACTATCATTCCTTGTATCTTCATTGCTGCAAGGGGGAATTCTGTGGGAGATGATGTAACGGTACATGCATGGTGGTACCTGAGAGAAAAACATCATCTGAAGCAAAAGTTGCAGTGAGAACTCATTATAATAACTTCAACTGTCCACACAGTTAACAGAACAAAAAGGGCCACCTGGAGTCAGTATGAGAGATGATCCCATCAACAGGTTGGTTTGAGAGATGATCCCATCAACAGGTTGGTTGGTACAATTTAATGGTTGAAGAAAACAGATTGAAAGTTGCTCTCTGCATTGCCTCCAAGATAGCCTTAGTGACAAAGAATGGATCAGAAAGCTGTAGGCAACTGAAAAATAACTACTGAATTATTATCCTGCAAGCAGTTTGGTGAGGAGTAAAACTCCCCAGAAAGCTTCTTCAAGCCCAAGCAGTAGTTTCCTGAGGAGGGTGTCTTCCGCAGTTTTTAGCATAGCTGGAAACTGTACCCAAGTAGTTTTTAACATAGCTGGAAACTACCCGAGCAGTTACACTTCCAAGGAAAAATGTGCTGCAGTGATTTTTTGATGAAAATGTTATTGTCACCTCTTTAGTGTTGCTAAGGGTCAGGTTATAAGATTTATGTAATCCAAAGCCATTTTATGGAATTGTAACAACCTAAAGGTGACAGTACATGTTGGTGTTACAAGATCACATTCCCAAACAAAGCCTCAATCTGTCATTGTATACAATGTGTAATTCAAATATCTGAAGAATTCAAGCTTTCAAAAGTTCAGATTTGTTCTGCAGGTCAATAGTGCATAAACAAGTGTATCCAGTAAAATATCCTCTGCCCTCCAACTTGGTAAGCACAGAAAAAAAAATTGCTATGGATGTAGGCCAATTTGAATCCAGTCATGAATGTTAGCTCATGAGCCCATAGAAAGACTGCAAGAATTTCATGCCTCCCTAAACTTATTCCCATCTTATTTACTAGATACTGCAAAATTGGAAGATAAATCACCAAAGCAGCTACAACTTCATCTGCATCAAAAAATCTACCTGTTTGGGGCTGGGTGGCTCTTTTTGGAGCTTCACAGTCATACCACTTGTTGCCAAGCCACATTTGTTGAATTTTCAGGAGTGCTGGGCTTTGACATGACAGTCAATCAATTTTAAGGGATTAGTATGGGCTATCTCTCATTATCTCAACATTTGTGGGAATAAGCTGAGTAAAACAAGTGAGTAGATGTGATTGCATAATCAGCAGTCTCCAATTTTGACTGTGAATGTTTGAGACAAACCCCGTGCCCCCCCCCGACGCCCGACGGGGATCCCAACTCATTCACCACAGGACGGCACTCCTCCCAGCCACTCTGACCTCAAACCATCCGCCTCCAGCAACGGCCACTTTCCCCATGGACAATCGAGGAACACTAGGAACCATCTGCAGATAAGTGAAGCTCAATGTCTCATCAGAACCAACCTCATTGCTTTCTGTTCATCCTCCTTGGGGCTTACACATGACCCGTTTCTACATTTTCTGTCCCCAGGCAAAACCTAATCACCTGTTGATGTACTCAAGGTCATGGCTGAATTCACACTCTGGTCACTTCCCCAATGGCTGAAGATGGACCAGTCTTCTGCCTTACTATTTGTACAATCCCCTCAATACCTTCAGCCTTCAACGCACGGAGCCAAAAGTACGCAATACTGCTGCAGTTCCCAACTCATGTAGCAAAAGATACCCAATCATGTCTTCTGGTCAGCTTCTGGTTGAATTGCAGAAACTTGATGTTCCGGATTAATCCTCAGGTCTTATCACTTAGGGCTCAATTCTTTCATGATGAGCACAAAACTGTCTGCATGAACATATCCAACTGGATTCAAAATCATTTTCCACATCTATCATCATCAGACCATGATTGCAACAAGCCTTGCTGGAGCTCGCTCAAGGTCAGGCTTTTTTTGAAGGTCCCGCTCTTCTCGTTCATCGCAACAACCACTCACAATTCTTGTGAGTTTTAATATAGAAACTATTGATTTGGCAGTTTTGGCCATCCAGTAGCTCTCAAACTTGTTTGCTAATTTTGTCACAGAATCAATTTGGTATCGCTTCCGTCCTGGGCTTTGTCACAACTTTGGATCTGACTAGTGAGCTTGTTTATTCAAAAAAGTTTCCGATTTGATCTCAAAAAAGTAAATGCTGAGCAAACCTTAGTCAACTGCCAGTTGGTCCTCCATCTACGCCAACTACCTGAGCCCGATTCCTCTTCCAAAACAGCCCAACTTGAATCCAATTTTCAACCGCTTTGCTCTTGAACGATTGCTGGAGTCAACACTACTCCTCTCAAACAATAAAGTACACTAACGATCGATCTTGACCTCCATCAAAATGGTTAGTTTTCCACTCACTTCTCTCCAAATCCGGTCACACATAGCTAATGTATTCTATTAGACTTCTAGCAGAAACTGCACACCAACTGGAAATGAGCAGCAGTTCCCAGAAGCCCACGCAAGACCAACTTTCTCCATTGCCGAATACAGTACCATTGCAGATGTAACTAATCACAACGGGTTGGAAAGTGAACATGAACATGAATCTAATGGCGAAGCCGCTCTGACTCGAGGTAGCGACGATAGCTGGGAGAGCAAAGAAGACAGAACCAAATATACTACAGAAAGCAACACAGATGTCACACTGGGTAGCAAGGACACCCCGGATAGCAAGGAATACAAAGCAGAGGATACGTCTGATAGTGAAGAAGACTTCGATGATACTTCCGCCGCAGATGTGACGCTGGGTAGCGACAATACCGAGAGTGAGGAAAGCAAAGCGGAGGATACGTTGGATAACAAAGAAGGCTTCGACAATACTTCCAATGGAGATGTAGAGGATACGATGGAAAGCAAAGATGATGAGACGATTGCAAGCAGAGGAGATTTAACGCTGGGAAGTGAGGATGCTGTGGAGAACAAAGAAGAGGAGAACGTCATTGGAAGCGGAAGCAATGCGAAAATTGTTGGTAGAGAAGACACTGTTGATGAAGATGAAGACAAATTGATGAGCAACACCAATACGGTAGAAGGCACCATAGATGAAGATAAAGAAGATGAGCTAGGTAGCAACCTTGAGGTGGAGCAAGATGCCCAAGAAGACGAGTTAGACAGTAACCACAAGATGGAGAAAGAAAAATTGGCCAGCAATCTCAATAGTTAGTCCCCAATTAAGCTGATAAATCTTAGCAGGGATGACAACTAAGAATCTTATTTTTTCATCTTTTTATAAATTGGTTGACATGTCTAAAAGAGATGTGAATCCAAAGCAGAAATGCCAACTTCAGACCAACAAATCCAACCCAAAGCACCAAAATTTGAGCCTGAATCTGAGATTTTTCTACATTTTCTTTCTTTATATTATCCTTCAATACACCATATAAAAATGATATTGCCTTGAATAAAAATTTACTGTCCAAAAAAACACAACAACCATATTCTCAAGAAAAAAAAATCTATCAATTCTACCTCCCTGTTTTCAGAGAAATCTTGGTGCCCCCCCCAAAAAAAAGGGCTTTACATGGGGAGGATTTCTGCCCCCTCAAACTGCCCAAGCAGTTTTCTGGGGAGGTTTCTTTCCCCTCAAACTGCTTTTCTGGGGAGGTTTCTTCCCCCTCGAACTGCTTTTCTGGGGGGGGTTTCTTCCCCCTCAAACTGCTCAAGACGCACCGCAGCCTATTCCCTCTTTTTGTGAACAATTTTTTCTATTTTCATTTGAAACATCTACGGCTATGGGTTTTCACGTAGGGTTCACATGCAAACCGTTTTTGAGGGTGGAGGACCAAACCAGCAGAAGCGCCGTTTTTGATCTAACACACTCCAGAAGAAGACCACCAACAGCACATCCTCACTCGCAAGCAGCCTCTAACCCTAGGCCACTCTCAACCTACCAGAACCCAGCCAATAACCCCAACCAGCATCCACCCTGCTTTGAATACCAGAACCCAGCCAATAACCCCAACCAGCATAATCCTCTCTCCTGCCCGCTCCGCAAAGAGCTTGGCCCCCGCCGTCATGAACCACACTGATGAGGAAGAGGTAGGCTGCTCCAGCTGATCCAAAACTCCCGTAAGTGATCCTAGGGCAATCCAGCTATTCTGACCGGAAAAAAAAAATAATAATAACAATGAAACTGGATTTTGTAATTTGGTACAGCTCGAACCAAGCTTTTTGATTGTCCAAAGCTTGGAAAAACAAGCTCCCCAACTCCACGGACTCTTTCCTCCTACCAACCTCCACCCCAGCCAGCCACTATGTCCACCAGTACAACGACGCGACAAGTAGTAGTGGAATTGTCGAGTTCGTCGCTGTCACCCATCACGTTTGTCAGCCACAGAGTACATGTCACAGTACCTTTCATGTACCAAGTAACTGAAACACCTGTACTTATGTACATAAGTACTTATCCATAATGTTGATTACCTTCACCTCTTGTTATCTTATCATTATTATTAACTTATATTATTTATCTTTATCTCATCTGTTAATTACTTATCTATTAAATACATATCTGTGTTCTACATAAGTAATTATCACTTACCTTTCACTCCTTTGCCCATGAAATACCTGTACCACAAGTTATCCCTGTTCCACAGTATTTTCACGGTGAAATATTATTACAAATAAATATGTACATGTATTAAATAGTAAGTATTAAGTGTCAATAGAATTAATACATTCAATACATGCACTGATCACAATTATGACTACATTATTAGAGGATCTGTTAAGTACAGGCATCAAGAGCAACTAGTACATTGATCAACTATTACACAATTATGATGTCATTTACAGATCATGACAAATAATGATCAGTCATTCAATTGATGTGCTCATTCTCCTGGCCAAAGCTCCCTTGATTCTGAGCGCTCATTCTTTCCCTCCTTCAGTATTTTGGAACTTATAATCCGTGCCTCTTTCACTGATTAATCCCCAGAATATTCAGACACCAGTTAAACCAGTTAACATTTATATTGATACAGTACACGTAACCAACATAAATCTTGTCTACATTTTTTGTTCTTAAGCTTCAGTACTCTTACTCAACTTATCCACAGTATTCATGGCTTTGCTGAATATTCCCATCAACAATACCTGTTAATCTTCAACTAATTTTGTTAAACCTTAATAAGTATTGTTAGCCCATTCCCTTTTGGGAATAACCAAATCAATCCCAGGTGAGTCTTAGTACCCTAGATGCCTATTAATACCTTGTATTGATCCGGATGCGCTGTTGATAGCAAGCCTCTCAGTAAAGACCATACTGATAGAGTGAAACCTCCTCTTTACAGGACTGGTATTAATCACCCACTACCTAACACTCACCACGCTCAAAAACTTCAGTCAACTCATAGTAACAACCTTTGTACTATTAAATACTCAGGTTAGTTACCCAGAGGCTGACAACGTTCGTCCCTTCAAGACTTTTGTCAATGAGTTCATCGGCGTCCTCATGGACTATTTCTGGTCCGTCTTTTTCCTTGACACTCATTGGAACACCTCGCTCATGCTTTCTCTTTGTCTTGTGTTCCGTAGGATTTTCTGTCATGCCGAGAACCAGTTTTGGGATCTCAAAAGCATCGACAAGTAGACAGTTGAGGCGCCCAAAACCAATCCACTCTGCTTATGGCCCGCTTGTCCTTGATCTCTTTTTTTTCACCTGGCTCTTTCTTTTTTTTCCAGTTTTTTTTTCTGTCTGTTTTTTTTCTCAGCTATGAACTCGTCAGACAAGACGGCTTGAAAAGTGTTGACTCGTCGAGCTGAGATGTTTGACGAGTGGAACTTGTCAAGCTGAGACGTCCGACAAGTCAAACTTGTCGGACTCGCACCTGTCAGACAAAGTAGTCCAACTAGTGAACCTGTCGGACAGGTCGCTAACTTGTCGGACATACAATTCCAACCAGTGGGAACTGGTTGGACAGCATCTCCTCAGACGAGGCTGTCCAACCAGCCAGTCCGAGTAAAGCTCAAGCAGCACTGTCCGACTGCAGCATGGTTGAGCAAGTCCAACGGTGGTTGGACTGAGCTGCTCGAGGACCCGTCAAGCAGAGGTATCCGAGCTCTGCTTGGACAGGGGGGTCTGACCACCCATAGGACAGCCAAGTCCGACATCTGCGCGGACTGGCCTTTCTGAGCTCTCGTCGGACAGGCATGTCCAATGGAATAATTCATGCAGTGGCGCTGTGGTGTTCTAAACGGTACAGGCCCCCTCCAGCTCAAATTTCAGATTTCAACTTTCAACTCTTCAATATCCTCAAGACTCAAGATTTCAATATTATCACCTCAAATCCCCACCCAGTCCAATGGTTTCCTCATTTTAATATTTTATTCCATTTCCTCTTCATGTTATTTTTTTCATTCATCTTGATTTTATTTTTATTTTATCATTTTATCATTCTTTATTATCTTTTTCAAATCACCTACTCAGCAGACAGTCTTGTTTAATTTTCTTGGTCCTAAGACATCTCAGGATGTTGGTTTATTTCACTCTTGATTGTTTTGTTTTGTTTTGTTTTGTTTTGTTTTGTTTTGTTTTGTTTTGTTTTGTTTTGTTTTGTTTTGTTTTGTTTTGTTTTGTTTTGTTTTGTTTTGTTTTGTTTTGTTTTGTTTTGTTTTGTTTTGTTTTGTTTTGTTTTGTTTTGTTTTGTTTTGTTTTGTTTTGTTCTGTTCTGTTCTGTTCTGTGTTGTGTTGTGTTGTGTTGTGTGTGTAGTGTTGTGTAGTGTTGTGTAGTGTGGTCTTGTTTTTGTTTTTTGGTTGAGTTGTGTTGTAGTTAGGGATGTGATGACATGTCTGTGACATGTCACTCCCCAGAGTCAAAGTTCAGTTTGAACTGAGATGATGGAGAGGCATGGCACTCTGATCTGATCCAAGATAGACCCATCAATTCTTATTGATCTTTTTATTATTCATTCATCTGATCCTCACACCCACCAATCCTTAAGCTCAACAACCGCCACAGAAATCACCTTCTGTTGTCCCCTCTCAGAAAACCAACCAACCCCAACGCGTTTTGTTCAGATCACAGCTCAATTTATCCAGACCCCCCTTGAAGGCAGCCCTCAAAGCACCATCCCTTCAACCAACTGCCTACCGCCTGGCACAATAGGAGTTCCACAGCGCTCAGGGCACAAAAAAGTGCCCGCTACGCCGCGCTACAGCACTTTTTAGCGGTTTTTTTGCCTTTTTTGCCGCTAAAAGCGCAGCAGCACAGTGTAACGCAGCGTAGCGGCTGTAGCAGTGCACTAACACTACCCAGAAACAAGCCGCCTGTTAGCGGCAGTAGCAGCACGCTAACACTACATAAAAAAGGGCCCGTTTGAGCGCCGCTATGCTAACGCTAAGTGGCACTTTAGCGTAGCATAGTGTAGCAGCCCACCATTGTTACGTGGCCGTAAATTCTATATATGTGCCATGGTAGACATGAAAAAAACAATGATGAAGGAATCATAATTGATCAAGTGGCCATTAAAACTATATACATGAAATCAAGACCTCAGTGCCTGGGTGCCCAGTCTGACAACAGATATCAGCCCCAGATCCACATCCGTGATCTGATTAGTAGGGCCAGGGGTTTGTTCATTGGTTTATCCAGTGTTGCCAGTGGGGTGACGGACGGATGTTGCTGGTAGATTCGTGGCTGATCCTGCTGGATTGAATGATCTTGCTGGTGGATTGTTGGATGTTGCTGGTGGATCGAGCAGTGCTCACGGTGGCTTGGCAAAAGTTGCCCAGGGAACTGGGTGGCGGGACCCAAGGGATTTGGACCAAGTCGGGTAGTTCAAGGGCTTTGCACACCTTTCTTCACTTGTGCTTCTCAAGAAATACTCCCATGTTCTTTTGGGAACCTTTTTTCCATCACATAGACATGTGGATTCAAAGGGTATACAAATCATGAGTGTCTAATAGTGCAATAAAGATGATGGATGTATAGGACATACTTGGTGCTCAAATCTACAATGTGCGGTTTGGAAATAACGGGCCCATGGCCTTTAAATCTTCAAAAGGTGATCCGGCCACAAGTATGATCATAGACCAGTGTTAAAATGAGTGGAGCAAAAATTTGGTTGGAGAGCTAGGTTCACCGGTGAAGTAAAAATCATTGTCATTTGACAAGAATGTTGTATAGCCTTCAATTTCTTCTTCCATCCAGAACACACAAGACGGTTCTTCCTCAATAATGTTGGGTGAGATATAGTAGTCAGGTTCTTCAGTGCACTCAATCATATCATCATCCTGACCAGGAACATATTTATCCTCATTTCCTGGGTGAGTAAAGATGTCGTGATGAACAGGAAATGCATTGGCAAGCTGGTGGGAAGTTGGTTAGTCCAATAAATATGTAGAGGATTCATATGGCAGACAGGGACACTCACCTGTAATCCTCTGGCGGTTTTCTTAATAATTGTCTCACATTTGGACTGACCAATGGCCTGTGAGAACTGAGCCAGGAATTGATGGGAAACCGCGTAGGCTTTTGTATGCATATTTGGTATATCTACATATGAGTATTGTTGTAGATCCTGGCAAATTCTGGAGTATTTGGCTACCATGGGGACAACCGTTCCAGAGTCAAGAACCTTGGCTGCTATAACTTTGGTACTTTTTTCACCTTGAAACATCAATTATAGTTCACCCGGTAGAGACAAATTTGCTGAGCCATGGAACAACCATTGATTTCCAGGCTTAACCAAATTCCATCAACCCAGTTAGAGTTGTCTAAACCACGGTATGAAGGGGAGAATTGCCGGGTTCCAAATCTCTGCCAAGATAGATTGTTTGGATCCCAGATTGCTTCGGCTTGCCCTATTTACAAATTTTTAGTTACTTAAGCCAGGTGGTTATTTAAAATAGTAACACTTACAAGGTGGGAGGATTCTAATAGTCACAAGTTCATCATCCAAGTTTCTCTTCAAGGCTTCAACATGCGGGTTGGTGACTTGTTCAATGACTGGGGAGGTGTTTGATGGTTGAATCGTGTCTCTCTGAAGGGTAGGTTGAGTGAGAGGTGGATCAAGATATGGATTCTGCCGTGAAGTCATGGTTGTCGAAGTAGACCGTGTTACAGATGTTAAAATGGTCAAAGGAAGACTGGATTCAGAACTTTCACTTTCAGAGGCCATAGGCAAATCTTCATGATATTCAATGTCCTTTCCTGAGCAACTATACTTGCATCCCATTGTATGAAATGGCATGCAACTAGCAGATCTCTGCTCAATTGTTCTTCTGTGAATCCTGTGAAGATCATTGAACATTGGCTATCTACTGCAAGGAAATAAATCAAACAAAAAGAAACAACAAAACTAGTGATCCTTCTTCCCTTTCTGCCATCAAGGCAAGGCACAAGTCATGCTAAAAGAAAGTAAGCACTACAATAATAAAGTTTCACATTTCAGCTCAGGTTGACTGACTTCTACAAGCTTTCTGAGTATTGTGTCAAAACAGTGCTGGCGGTCTTTCCAAAGAATGATCCAATAAGCCCCCAAAAGTCCAAGTCAGCCATCTTGGGTCACCTGGCCCGCAATAAGTCCAGAAATGCAACTGAGGATGAAGCAGAATTAGAACAAATACCTACAAAAATGCCTATTGATGCTTTCTCAAAAGATTACCCCGGTCAACTATCAGTTCTTGAGAAGGATCAAAAGGATATTACAAATGATATTTTCCAATACTCCTTAACTGCAGCTCTTGCAGATATTAGCAAAAAGACAAAACCTGTGAACTGTATGATTGAATATACATCTCTTTCTATCCTTCTGGTTAGAACTTTTCAAATAGCACATTCTTCATCTCCCAAGCACCATGACTTCAATACTTTCTCACAATTACTTACACCCATTTGGCTCTATTCTCAACAAGTGTATATCCATACATATTCACTTGAATTCTTTTATATTCTATACTCATTATTCATCTCCAGCCAAATCACATACAGCTGGGAACTTCCTTGAGAAGGTTTTTTGATAGTCATAAGGGTCATGATGGAATAGTGTGAGTGGTTAACAGTCCCATTGGACTCCTGAGTGAACAGAGTACAACAACACTAGTGTGGGACAACAGTCCCATCAGACTCCTGAGTGAGGAGTGATGCAACAACACTATTAAGCATACATAGAAAACCCTTCTTCCACCATCTGTATCTAACTGACATTTTTCTCTGCAAGTACATCCATCATCCACAGTTGCAGATAATCAATATTTGGAATGGGAAAGGTAAGTAAAGTTTCAATGGGTGTAATCATCACAATGTGTGGTATTTCTTGGTCTGACTGCTTGAACAGAAAGTATGCCAGTCTGTTGTGTATTTTACCTGAATCTGTATGGAGCTGGGTTGCCACACCCAACCGCATTAGCTCAAGAGATCCACCCATCATGGCCAGAGAGACAGAGTGCACCTGCTTTCCAATCCCATCAGTGAAAAATCAATCAACTTTGCCAATGTGAGAGTGCTATCCATTAAGCTTGCCAGTGAGTGATCAAATTACACTAAAAAATAGATCAAATGTGTTTCATGTAGGTTGCTGCTCCATCACTCCCAGGAAGTTTGGGAAACACTGCAATTCCAAAACTTCTAGCACAGCTACTTCAGATAATCATGCTAGGATCACTGCAGATTCAAGCTGCCCTCAACTTCAGGCCTCATCAAACCCAACAGTTGATACCTCTTGTTGGTTGCCACCTTTGCTCCATTATCTTGATTCATACGTCCTTATTGTCATCCTTCAAGTAATTTCTGGATCCCTTCTAAGCGGAACTAGCAACACGGATACCAACATGAATTTTCTGAAAATGGAACAGGCAAAAGTGCAACTCCATTTTTCAACAAGCACCATTTTGGATCAAATCCCTAGCACCATACTCACTGACCTTACCAAACTTGGCTTGGCTCCAGATGTAATTTGATCTGTTTTTGCATTCTATCCATTACCACTCAAAGAAAAAAAAGAGAAACTGAAGAAAACCCAACAAACCTCTAATCATAACCCAACACAGGCAGCTGAAAAATCAGTCATTCCTCCTGCAGAGACTGCTGTAGCAGTTGCAATGTCTAGATCCAAATCAAGCATCCTTAAATCATGTGATACAGCTCTTAGAAGCATCCACATCCACCACAAAAATTGCTACTTCAGACACCACACCATCAGACTCCTTTCCCAAAAATGCAAAACTGTCTACTGCTCTGTCCATTGGTCTTCCAAATTGCTCTTCAGAAATCTATTTATCAGCAAAGAGATACATCAAGTCCCCCTTCATCCCCATATGTTCAACACAACTGTTTCAAAGTGAGAGGGAATTGGATCCCAAGCCAGCCAATCAAGATATTTGTGCATCAATCACTCAAAAGCTGGCCTGGTTGGTTGCTTTGTAGCTCTACATTTGAAGATCTTGATGCACCTCTAGCCGGACCATAATGGTCAGAGGAAAGCTATATGCATGATGTGTGGGACGTTTCAGTCTGGAATACATTCAAAGACCCTTACAATCCTGAGAAAATCTACACCAAATCTAGCAAAATCTAGCAGAAACCTTGTCTTCAGGTTGTTTGTTGATTGGTTCAATCCCTACAGCAGCAACAAAAAACGCATATCACTAGGCGCCATTGTCCTTGTATGCTTGAAAGTTGAATTTGCCTCCATTCAATTGCTATCGTGGATTTCACAGCTCCCTTGCACGTGCATGCAAGCAAGTAACATTTTTCGCAGGGAGGGTCAAACAGACATTCAACTATTTGAGTTGCAAGAAGACCTGCCTGGCCATGCAAGTCATTTCTGCCCCCCGGTTTCTATCCAGCCTCCAATCAAGGAAGATCATACTCCACCCGCAAAGACTTCCGGAACTCCCATCCCCCTTGGAAACATCTGCCATATCAGACTTACCCTCATCACCCGCTTGGCAGTCAGTCTCATCATGTGCCAACTGTCTCACCACCCTTCAAAACCAGTTCAAAAGCCTGTGCGTAGCCCCCCCCCCCCCAGCTGATTTCCACCTCTTCCACCAGCTTATCCCCACTTTCTAACTTCCTCATTCTGCACTCTCACATCTCCCACTCAGGACAACCTTGCTCGCTTTTTGAAAACATCTTCCTCCAAATTTTTAACCTACCATGCCCCCAAAGAAAGCCGCATCAGGACTAGCCAAGACCAAGAGGAAGTTGATTCTGTGGGACCGAAATGGTGTGGATGGGGGAGAATCTAGCATTGAAGTTGTACTACTGTGGCTCTCAACTGGCAACAACTACGACCGTCGGCGCGGGCATGAACAAAAGGGCACCACTAAAACTGGATTGTCCACATCCTCAAATCCAAGGGGATCCATCATTGTGACAACAAAGGTATGCAATTTTGACAGGTTACAAATGCATTGCTAAAGCCTCACCTCCTTACTCTGGAGTGCGTCAGAAAATTGGTGACCTTCAATCATCATACAACACTGCTCATGACTTCCTGAAGAATACCGGAGAAGGCATCATGGCCACAGATGAGCTCAACAGTATAAACACCATGGAAGATGAGATTCTACTTCTTGTTTCTCCCCATGGTCCTACAGCTTTGGTTACTGACTAATTCTTATTCTCACGTCTAAAGCAAATCAATGAGCTGTGTTACTATTGGGATATTCTTCATCCCATCATGGGCTCCAGATCAGTTACCAAGCCCCTCCATGTTTGTTCTTCACTTGGTGGGGACCAACCTTGACAACTAGGCTCTCCCAAGAATGAGGATGATCCCAACAACCCTGCAATGTTGGATCAAACCACCCATGCCGGCCTTCCCAGCAAAACATTGGATCTCCCTGAGCAATTATCCTTTTCACCAAGTGTGCCTGTGCCAACAGACCCCGTCCCCGCCAGAGTATCTACCCCAAATGCATTGAACAACATGAAAAAGAAAAATAAAGCAAAATCTTCATCCGTTTGGCCCTGACCATCATCCCAGGGCTCCCAACGCAAGAAGGTCAACACCGGAGACCTCTACATGAAGTTTATTGTTTCTAAGTGACAGGATGAAGTCACCCAGGCCCATGCAGAAGGAAGCAAAATCAAGGTGGCATACATAAAAGAGCTCCGCAAGCATGGCTTATCCCTTGCCTAAATAGAGATGAAGGCCTCAATTGAGTTTCCTCCACTGGCTGACATGGACAACAAATCAGGGCAATGACTCCAACGATGAATCCGAAATTTCCACCTAGTACTTTCTGAATCTCTTCTTACACGTTTCTCTGTTTCTCTGTAGATAGCTTTTGTCCCTTACATTTGTTCTTCCTCTTACAACCTGTTTATTTTTGTCTGGTTGGAGTGAGGCAATTTTTTAATGGAATGTTAGACAATCAACAAGCTATACCCCAGAGTCTCCTTTGGACTCAACTTCACCGTTCTCGCATTCTCCAGAGAGCAACAATTTACCCCAGAGTCTCCTCCCTTTGCAAGAAGCTCCACCATTATTTCATTCTTGCACAGTGCGACTTGCATGCACTCATTTTCACGGTTCTTGCATTCTTGCAGAGAGCGACTTGCATTCTCGCAGAGAGCCACTTGCATTCTTGCAGAAAGCAAGAATGATCAGTAATAGTCAAGCACACCCTCAGTGCTGTACCAGCCAAGGAGGTTGAGCTGGGTTAAGCTAAGCCATTAAGCATGTCATTGACTTGGTGATTGGAACTGATGGGCCGAATCAGAATCATCAAAAACCTGTCTGATGTATTGCTTTTTTACCTGTAGGTGTATTGCTTCATAATTGAGCAACATACCACTCTCATGACAAAGACAAGACGGACACAAAGAAAGAGAGTGAAGTGAGAAGGGAACAACTGAAAGAAAATACAGAGTGAAGTGAGAAGTGAATGACTGAAAGAAAATACAAAGATACAAAGATCAAGTCAGGAGCCAAGATAATCAGACACCTGGGCAAAAACGTAATCGTGAAGTTGGTCAACCTGCTGGGAGACACCTTGAGTGAAAGAGACTTCGTCAAGAATGGGGTCAATGTCATTGAAGGAAGGCAGCTGATCCAGTAGGAGTAGGTTGGAGCTTTGGAAGCAATCTTTGAGCAGATCAATGCAGTGCTCATTGCAGACTCAAAGCAAGCTGAGGTGCTGATTGAATTGTTTCTTTGCAAGAGGCATGGGCCCATGAGGCAGTTGTTTGAAGGCAGGTATGACATTTGAATCCACCCCAAATACAGAGTCAGCAATAAGATACTGACCTGGGACAAACAAGTTGGATCCTTGAAGCTTGAGCTCAGAGTTCTCCCAGAGGCATCATGACAGCAACCTAGTACAAAAGAATGAGACATAGTCAAAAACCAAACAAGGCAGGGGTGACCCATGAAATTGAGGCTGGACTCACCAGGCCATCCAGTTAAATAGTCAGTGATCCGCTTTTCATTGTCACATACCACCAAGGCAGCCAGGCCATATTGCCCCTTTTGAGAATAGTAGTCTTGTGCATCAATTGAACGCTTTTTGTGCAGGGGAAACAAAGTCCCATTAATGAATCCAACACAGTTCTGAAAGGCACTGCAGCTAGAGACTCTTGATTGGATTGCTTTGTGTCCTTGGGTGTTTGGCCATTGAACATATTTGCTGGAGGGATGTTGATGATGTCATTAATATGATATATTTGCATCATCACCAGAGGGAGAGGGAAATAATCAAATACCTTTCTAAAGATAAGATGGCTTCCACAACCCTTTGACAGTACAGGATTACTGCCCCTTCTGAGATGCGGACAAAGCGGGCCAGCGTTCCTACGGAGGCGCCGTTGCTGTAGGCTCACATCCTCTTCAGAGCAACCATCAGCTGTTCTAGAACTGGTCTTTGGGGGATATTTGAGGAATTTTGGAAGACTGGATGGTCTTAGATTTCAAGTAGGAGGCAGTGGAAATATGGTTGGGACATCCAAAACTCTTCTGTGAAGCAACAGTCATCAAGACTAAACAGATACTCGGTGTTGTCAGGAGCACAAGCCGGTCAGGTTCAAGGAGCGTGGTAGTGGCATCTCTTGAGCATGATGAAGGCCACTATGGCTTCTTCCAAATCACTGTCCTCTGGGGACTCATTGCTGCCGTCATTCACCAGAGAATTGACCATTGCTCCCTGTACATGCTGTTGAATCAGTTGGGTCATTTGGGTGAGGGTGGCACCTCTTTTGGTTTGGCGTGGCATGTTGGGTGTGGAGAGTGGGTGGTGTGAGGGAGGTTGGTTATGGGGTGTGGGATGAGGGGAGGATGGTGGATATGGAGGGTTATTTCTTCTGGAGGAGGTATGCAAATTGGGGTGACCGTTGCGGGTTGTCAGGGATTGACCGTAGAATGGGATGCTCAATGCATGTTGCCATTCTGCGGGGTGCAAATAGATGCATGGACTGGTCTACTTTGAATACCACTAACGATTCCCGGCCCAAAAGAGCCTTCTCTGGAGCAACAAATCAACCACCTCTTGAAACTGCTTGTGATGACCTTTGGGAGTTCTACAATGGAATTTGGTTCAATGAAACCTTCAAATCTAGTGAAGGTTGCCTGATCAAAGCCCTAATTTTTCCTCATATTACTGATCTACCTGCATTGTGTAAAACTGATGGTCACTCTTGGGCCCACCTCAGAATAAATACTCATCAATTTGGCTTCCTTCATCAAATTCAGCATTCAGCCAATCAATTTAAGATTTCATCAAACTGCTCATTGACCACAATCAGATTACCCAACCTGTAACAGTCATCAGCTTACAACTGTGAGAGCTCTCAAAAAGTATTGATTGCAAGATCAAACCTGGTTTTTTACTTTTGATATCTCATCTGATCAATCAGAACTGGCTGGAAAGAAAAAATCAATCTCCACAAAATATGAACTACTCTGTCTGGACAACATCAAAAATTTGAACCTTATGCAAGTTTTAATGGAGCTCCTCGGCAAGCATTGGCTTCATGCCCATTCACAAAACTCTTTTGACTCCTATTCAATTAACATCAAACATACAAAACCGGAGATTATATATAGTGTCATCCTTTGGTGCTTGAACAGAAAAACGGCTTTCGTTGCACAAAATATATTGGATCAAGGATCTTACAACAATGGTGATGCAGAGGTGGAATTGGTCTACTTGCACAACTGTAGGTCTGAATTTTGAAAGCCACATCTCAACTTCCAAATGGGCCTAACCTCAATTGTCTTTCACAGCTAAGGGATTGCTGTGTGACCTCTTTGTAAGCTCTAGGGATCAATCCAGAGTGCCATAAACCATTTGCAGAGCCGCTATGTTACTCAGACACAAAAGAACTTGAGGACAGGACATTATTACCCTCTCTTGATGATTGTCTTGAAATTTCTATTTTTTTTAGAGTTTTTTCTGTCTTACTTTAGAATACAGGTGATCTGTTTCACCTTACTGTTCTTATTATATTTTATGGGGAGCTTCAAAGCACCAGTCCCGAGCTCTTGGGTAGAAAGAAAAATAATTTACAGTTGGTCTAGTCAAAAATTCATTGAAACGATTCTATTCTTCTAATCTAAGGTCCAAACCTGTAAATCCTAACTGATATAGATTATTATGGAATCAAAAAAAGGCAGTGGAAGAAACAAGGTATGTACACGATCCAGATGAAACCGTGAAATGGGTGAAAGCTACTACACAGAAAAAAACAGTGGAATCATCAAAAAGTGATGATGTTCTTGAACAACCTTGCGCTAATTAGAAGGTGGTTTCCTAGTGAGATCTTTTTGTTCTTGTCAGCCAGCTACTATTCAGAGACAACTTGACCATAGCATTGAAAATTGTTTAGAGACATCATTACACAAGCTATCCCCCTAGCATATGTGTCTATTATTTATATGTACATAAGATAGAGATATTATTACATATGTACATATAGGAATTACTATACTAGAGATATTAGTACTCAGTATATCAAGTCTTACCAGCAAAGTGAACATGAAAGTAAGCCAAAAAGATTTAGAAATAAGCATTTTTAACAAGAATCTACAAATAAATTCTGAACCTTAAGTGAAACTGGGGGACTTCCTTCCAGTTGCAATTTAGAATGGTTTTTAGACCTCCCTCAGTCCTGAATTAACAACATGATTAAGATTTCAACCAGCTCACATTACTATTAGAGCTGTTTCTGGAAGGCTTCAGAAGAAACATTTTTTTATGAAAAAAATAGATTGAATGGGTGTAAATTGACTTCTGGGAGGGTTGTAGATCACGACAGGAAGTCATCCACTTAGAATAATATTATTGCAGATTCTGAATCTACATGCAAAATAGCTTACTAGGGTACCTCACCAAATGCATCCCTGAATTATCACTCCTTCATGTGCTTTTGTGTACTCTGAGTGACACTTGTTCATTTTGCTGGAAACCCTTCCAATAATTACATCATACTACATGTTGTGACAGGTCTACACATGTAAATAAGGTTCATGCAGTTTGGGAAAATCTACAAATAAGTTTGACATCATCAAAGCCTTAACTACATGGTCACAACAGCTGTAACTGGCTTGGTTAAAGCCACTTGTTGCCCTTTTTCGCCCAATTTGGCTAACTACGCCTTGTTAGAACCAGCCAAATGGTCATTAAAGGGTCGCAGTGACTAAAAAATGGCTGCAGGTTGACTTCACAGTGTGAGTTACAAGCCTCACATCAGCCCTCTGACACCAAAGACTACAGGTGCCCAGGCAGTGTCTTGCCTCCAAGGGCCCAGAATGAGTATATAAGGAGCGCTTCTTGCCCATAAACTCTACTTTCCCATCTTCCTCACCATGTACCAGCATTAACCACCTTCACCATCAACTGTTCCCCAGCACTTTCTCACCACCTGTTGACCAGTTTTCTGAGCGTTTCCAGACCATTTTTCATCCACCTGAAGTCCCCCTGGGCTAGAAATAGTAGGGGTAGGTAATATTTCCTTGATCCTTTGGTTGAAGGCTTTGCATGAGAATTGGTCCTTTATTGTAAACAACCAGATCATCAGGTACATCAAAAATACTCCTGATTAATTGGAGGGTACCATAAAAGCCCCTGTAACTCAGGCCCCTCCCTTTATAAAAACTTAACAGTTTCTATTATCTCTTTTCTTCACATTAAAAACTCCCCATCCCAAGTGTTACCCACACTTGTACCCATTATCTTCTTAGTTTGCACCTTGAGTAGCTAGAAGAGACAAGCTTGTGGTATCACATAGGCTGACAGTTCTGGTTTGGGGAGAAATTTGAAGAATTTGCCATCACAGGAATCACCACATAAATTCATAGGGACCTTTGCTTGGTCATTAGTACTTTGCGCAGGGTGTTGGTGATTTTCAAGAAGCCTGTGATCTTTCTTGGCTGGACACATCTGCTCATGAATGGTCACTTGGTTGGCTACCTCACATACAGCTGCAAGTGCTGGAGACCTCCATGGAAGTTTCACTTTGTGTAGAATCAATGGTTTGATGCTTTTAGTTGCATACACTGGCTGTAGCTACCATCAAATCCCATAGACTGAGTCAAGAAAAATATTAAGAGGATGACAAACTTTCCTTTTGAAACAATGATACAGAATGCAGATGATGTAGATATGTGAAAGTGTCTCAGTTTCTGTGGGTTTTTTAAGCACGTAATGAAGTTCACATCTTCTTATGTGGTATGGTATCAATTCAAGATAGACAGAAAATAGGTTTTGCCAACAAACAAAAAAGAACAAAACCAAAAATATGGCTGGCATACATGCTTGGAATCAGATTCAAGGATAAGAGGTTTTTTGTGAATCCTCTGCCAAACCACACAATGATTTTTGATGGTCAACTAGTTTCTCTGTCCAATTCCATGGAATTCCTGTCAGCAAGCCCTGTACTTTAAGTCATATTACCCAAAGTTACTCACCAGCTTCTGCCAATTTTGTCCTAGTGGAGCCACCAGCTTCTGCCAATTTTTTCCTAGTGCAGCCACCAGCTTCTGACAGGTTTGTCCTAGTGAATGTAGCTGTGTGGGAGGTGATGAAGTTGGTACGGTCATTGAATGATGATGACATCTCATTATGGAGAGATGCTGGGTTGGGCTGGTGTGCTGTATCTAGACGCAATGAGCCATGCAGGGGTAGAGCATTTACCGTGGATTTATGGGCACTTAAGGAAGTTTTCAGCAGGGTGGGGTCAGACATTGAAGATTGGGGGGTGGAGGCGCTTAGATGTGATGAAGCTTGGAGGATTTTGAGGTTTTCCCTGGAAGTGTTTTTGAGGCCTTTTTTGCAGGATGGGTTTTGGAAAGGTGGGGTCAGGCATAGCAGTTTGGGATAGAAAAGTGTCTAAGTGCAAGGAGGCTTGGGGGGTAAGGTTCACCAAGGCTTTCTTTGCAACAGTTGTGAATTTTGAGGTTTTTGAGGGCCATTTGGGCATAATAGTCTTCTGCAAGGTGGGGGCAGAAGTAGTGCTGTGGGAGGTGGAGGTGCCAAAACGCAAATGTGGGGGTTGATGATTTACTCAGAATTTTTTCACAATGGCTGACAATTCTGAGGTTTCCTCTGGAGATGGTCTTTTGGGTACCACCTTCAGTTGGACATCTTGCAGGCCACATTTTATTTGATGGGTCTAAGTAATCTGGTAGATGACAAGCTTGGATCCTATGGGGCCAAAGGGATTTTTGGGGTGGTCTTTGGCTTCCTAGAGGCGGTAGCTGCAGATGCAGGAGATGAGTGCAATGGTGATGAGAGATTGGATTATAAAGGTGTCAAACTACTGTCAAACTTTTTTTTCTCAAGATAAGTCTTCATTGTATGCACCTTCTGAATACAACTTGAGCTAAAAAAATGGAACCAACCTTACCACTGAAATCATATAAGGATCAGTGCTAAGTGTACAAAATTCAACGGTGAGCCACACCTGAACCACAAGGAAAGCAGTGCATGCTGCAGAGATCTTGGAGTCTGACATTAGAGCCTCACAGAATCCGCTGTTGAGAATGTTGTGGTGTATAACTGGTGATCTTGGACAAACACATCATAAATCAACTCAATGGTTGCAATGTATGACTCAAGCCCAGAGTCTATGACCCCTGTCAGGAACTGAGGCTGTAGCCCATGTGTCTACAACCTGTTCTTAACCAGCAAGCACATGTAATGTAGTGTATTGGTTAAAGACTGTGTCATGACTTTGCCTCACCAACACACTTGGGTTCAAGTCCTAATTATGCAACTTTATATTCTTATTATTATTATCTTATTTTATGCTTTTATGCTTTAAATAATTCCACGGAATTACTCAAGTATTTACCTCTGTATTAATATTCATATTTTAGAAAGATTATATACATACAGCATGAAAGCTTAATCATCTCTCTATACACTGTAATTAGAGAGATGACATCATTCTTTCTCCTTTGAGCTTGAATGACATCATTTCCTCCACTTTTGGTTTAAATCTTAATTTATATACATATTTTGATCATTTATGATTTATATACATAAATGATCATCTGTAGGCCTTACCGGTCTTACAGGCAGGTTGACCCCTGCCTTTGTAATACTTAAGGGGGAGGTCTTCTTCCCAAGAATCCTCCCCCCAGAGATTACCATACAACCCATTTACCTTACCTCAATTAGTGAGTGGGGTTTTATTATAATCTATTAGAACCATCAATCCCTTTCCCCTTATTACTATCCATCCTACCTTATCCCTAGACTACAGTAAAGTCAATACTGTAGCCTAGAAGAGAGCTGCTCAAACCTCTAAAGCCCGGCGCTGCAAAGATCCTACCACACGTGTCCCCCCCATAACTTCAGGGAGCTTAACCCCTCCGCTTTCTAGCGTTGAGGAGAGGTTTCATTTCCATTGGCTGCTAGCTGGAGCTAGCAGTTTTAGTGCAACCTTTGAATCATCAACGCCTGGTCACACACGAGACCAGCGCTGACAACCCTGATACCAAGAACAGGACACTGTTATTACTTAGAAACTTAAAAAAGAATTGGAACAAGATGGGCTTTTAATTGCAATCACAAATCTTTGAGTGGAGTTTGGGTGTTCTCCCTCTTGGCTCAGGCTCCTACTCTGTGAATCCTAAGATTGTGGGCTAAGAGACAGACCCCCCCCCTCTCTCCCAGTTTGCTATAAGTTCATACTTCTCCAAAGTCTTTCTAGGTCAAAGGGCTGGAAATAGAGAAGATAAAGATCTCTTTTTTCCCCCTTTTTTCCCACATGAGTGCAGATTCAACCTCCTTGTCTCTTTTACACGCTCATACCTGGGGAGACTTGATGAGGAATGGACAAACAGTCTCAAAGGGCACTAAGCGCTATTTTCAAGATGGTCACTTAGTTAGGGATCATCAGTGAGACCTTGTACAGGGCCTGTGTGAGGACCGTTGGGTCTTGCAGGGAGCTCCCATCCTGTGACAGACAGCAATTGCTGTTTTCCTGACAGTGGTATGCACCCGGAATGTAGCTGTTGGATAGGAAAACCTTTACCCAAAATGTTTGACACACAAAAAAAAACTACAAACATCAGTGATTTGAAACCCACTGGTTCAATCAGTCTGCAATCAATTAATACCACTGTCTTGACCTTGGTGGTCCTCTGCCTTATCAGCCTTGGTCATCCACGTCCCATGTAGCAAGTGCCCCACACACTGAGGATGATCAAGCACAGGACATCAGTTGTAGTCTGTAGCAAGTGGCAGTAAACAGCCCTATCCTGGGGAGGGGAGGATTCAAAAAGCAACTATTGGCTGTACCTTATCAGGCCGATGCCATGGAATTAGTAGTCACATTGTTTGAGCTGTTCCTCACCGTTGGAATCAGATGAGGAGAGCCTATTATTGATATCTAAAACTTGTTTCAACCTAAGTTCATTCCTTCCCAGAAAGATCATAACTGTATATACATCATGCCTTTTCTTCCCATCCAAAGGGGTGATTGTCCTGATGCAGCTGACCACCTTGGACAATATTGCAAAACAGCTCAAATTTGTGGAAAATAATATTGCCAATTGGTCATGTTTGCTGTCTCTGCTCATCCTCTACAAACTTTAAGCATCCTAAACCAACAATTCTCTGATTTCCCTTCCTACAGTCTGCTCCACTGCTGAAGTTGACTCAACCCCACTGGCCACTGGAGTAACACTACTATATACTGCAAGTGCTCAATGAACGAGGTATGAAAGTTTCCACACCACTATATACTGCAAGTGCTCAATGAACGAGGTATGAAAGTTTCCACACCACTATATACTGCAAGTGCTCAATGAACGAGGTATGAAAGTTTCTCATTCCTCCTTTCAAGCTGCAATCATTCCAGCTCACCAAGCTCAATACAATCCTATCTCAGACCCTGGTGCACTCATCCCTCCACAGGTACGCCAGCAGTTGCAAGACAAGGTCAGGCCTGAGGCTGGGGTGAATCCCAACACCCTCAACAAAATCAACCAACAGCTTGCCACCATCATTTGGGCTGAACAGACTCAACAGGAGGCCACAAGACACATGGACAACCTCCAAGATGGTCCTTGGACTACTGAGGCACAGCATAACTATCCCTACAACATGCAAAACCAGAGGTAGCCTTATCATCTCACTCTTTTCATCCCCTACACTTCTTCCGTTGTCTGTTGCTACTCCCCCTCCTAACAATCACTAGGATTTGTTATGATCATCCAATTGGTCCTTCTTGAGCAATGATTATTACTTATTTGCAAGGAGACATGGGGACACAATCATGAATGTTTTGTTTGAATGTGGAATCTACATACACAACCAATTAGAATGATTCCTGATGGGTGATTATTTTTATGAAGCATTTTACATGATAATCAGCTACTTGGAATCATGTTAAGTACAGTTGGAGCACTATTTATGAATTGACTGGGAAGGAAAAATCCACCATTGTATAGTATAAACACATTGGTTCTTCATTTAACCCCTTTGCAGGGGCCCATTGATGCAAAATGTTTCATCTGGAAAATTCACTGGTTTCTGATGGTGGATTTTGTATATTAGGGGGTTTTGAAGTTGATTTGTAAACAGAATTCTACACAACATCATCAAGATCACAGAATTTTTGAGATATGTTCCAAACTAAGAGGAACCAGAAGCTTCAGTAAACTGGAGTTTTGAACCTCTTGACTTGTGAATTCATGTAGAATCCTGTTTGAAAATCAACTTTGAATCCCACTATTTGATACACCTGACTGGTTTGAAAAAGTCCACCCTTTTTTAAACATGTTGGTTATTCATTCTACTTCTTTTGAGGCCCATTGATGCAAAAAAAGTTTTGGGAAAAGTGACTGGTTTCTAATGGTGGGCTTTGGCACTCTTGGCAACAAATCTATCATCCATGATAGTAGCAATAGCACGATAAATGGATGTGATCTCATTGTCTGAATTCAATAAAATATTTGAGCAGCACAGATGTGACTTCAAAACTGAAAAACATGTTTCAATGGGGTTAATCCAGGCCAGTAAGGTGGGGGGCTGATTAATCTTACACCTGTTGGATTTCAGTTTTTAGAATTTTCAAGACATTACAATGATCAATTTCACTAAATTAGGGGGTATCAAATATGGAAAATACACCATTAGAAACCAGTCACTTTTCCCAAAAAAAAACAATAGGGGGGGTATCAAATATAACTAAATCCACCATTATTTAATTGACTGGTTTGAAAAAATCCACCATTTTTTAAACATGTTTGTTTTTCATTGAACCCCTTTTAGGGCCCATTGATGCAGAAAATTTTTTTGCAAAAAGTCACTGGTTTCTAAAGGTGGATTTCCTATATTTGACACCCCCTGTTCACCATATCATGCTCATCCCATAGCTTTTGAACATTCCCACCATGGTGAACAGAGCAGTTATCAATAATCAACACTGAGTTTACCCCAGGGAAGGAATTCATTCTTGTTGCTGGTAGCTTTGTTGTCCAGAAGGAGCTTACCTTAGGTCAGTTGAGGCTTCTAAGGCATATAGAAGATTCATCTGATTACATTTGGATCAGCAATGATATCAAACATTGTTAGATTGACAACAATATGTGACCTCACCTGCAAAAGCCATAAGCTCAGCTGGCATAGTGCCCACTTCACAATAATCACACTCATTGCTTCTCACAATTTTTCCAGTGCTACCTTTTAGTTGCCAAAAAGAGTATGCCCAGACAAGTCCTTTCAGAAAACAAAAACCTCTCTCTCTCATGCCTCAAACTCTAAAATTTCATCAAAACTAACTAACACATTGAGCTTGCAGGCTAGCTCTGTTGGTCTTACAAAAAGACATCAGATCAGCAAAATATGAATATCCCAACTGGGTCAGGCTCAGAAAAACCAAAAAAACTTTCAACATAACCACACAAACAATTATTTTTACGCACATTGAGCTCAACCTTTTCATCCAGGGCTCAATTCTCACCAAGTACTGGATAAAATTCCTCTGGCTTGAGTCCAACCATGTCTCACGTAAAGGCTGTAAAAAGCAGCTAAGAAATTTAACCCAACTTCAACACAACTGTTGTCTAGGCATAACCTCAACTTGCTAAAGGCAAATCCAAAATGAGCAAATTCAATGTATGTATAAATAGGCTGATGGTTCCAGCAAGACCAGTCTTGCCAGGAGCACCCACCCATCCCATCTTGCATCTCCACACCTCCTTACTTCTAAAACAACTTTAAACTACTAAGTACAATATTCCCAAACCATGGAGCACATCCCTGATTCCAACGAGCTAGATTCTCCGGCAAAATGTCTGGGTGGCTCCCTTAATACTGCCCCAGAAACTCCTTCACCTCTTTCTGCTGGCTTATTCACTCCCCCACCTCTTTCTTCTTCCAACCCCCTCTTCCTTTTGTAAAGATTGGTAGTCCTTCACTGGATGAGTGAAAAAGATGCGCGGGGGACGGGCGGAAAGCCAAGCAATTCTGAGACCAAACAGAGTATTTTTATGTTTCTGACTCAGAGAAAAGCAAGGGGTCAGTTGTCTTTTGTACAATCTGAGTGGAAAAATACAAAAGGAGAACAGATGAAAAATAGAAAAGGTAACTCACCTGACTCAGAGAGAAGTAAGGGGTCAGTTCTCTGCTGAGCCAGGAAGGGAACAATCAGACAGAAAACTAGGAGAAATGTGACATCTAGCTTTACATCTTGTGAAACCCTGACAGAGGAGGGAGGGGGTTTACACCTTTGCAGCAAGCAAGTGTTTAAAGATGCCAATCAATGGAGGAGAATCCTGAAGAAGAATTGTGCTGGCAACCTTGCATACTTCAAAACTCCAAGAACTTGGATGGGCCTTATCTCTTGTTCCAAGTGCATCAATGGCAAAAGGGTTTTTGCTCCAGGGGAGACAGATGAAGGCGCAATGAGCCCAGATCAAATCCAAGCGGCTCTTCAGAATCTCCCTCCCAAAGATGAAGAAACTGTTGTTGCTTTTTCAACAAGATGAAAGACACTTCTGACCTTGAACTGGTGAACAATCCTCAGCAAGAAAGGTCCAATGCTGAAAAGAGCTTTTATTACCCTCACAATCTACCCAAAATTTACCTTAGCTTGCAAGCTATTGATCGATCTGATGCACAACTCTTGATCAGCTGAATGTCTCTTATTCACAGTCTTGCAAGTGCTTGCAGAAGGCACAGGCTTCCAGAGCTGTTGGACAGTATGACAAACCCAACCGCTTCTCAGTTGTCATCATTCACTGCAGACTGTTTGGCTGGATCAGAATGCTTGATTTGTCTAGATGACTTCTTTGATAACAAAGGCAACATTGTTCAAGCACCATGGCACCCTTCCCATGTCTTCCTTTGGATCTGTCTTCAAGTAAGCAAGCTCTTTATTTATCTTTTTTTGCAACACTTGTTTCTGATTGTGATTGATTGTTCTGATACATCCAGGACTAGTTGGAAGGGTAACTTGACTGTCTCATGTCCCAAGCTCAATTTACACTTCCTCATTGATCCTGAAGCTCTACTTGACTCTGAATTCCACCCCCTATGCCCCTATGCTTTTCACCTGTTGTGGTAACCCATACCTCTCCATAGCCCCTATGATTTCACTGTATATTCTCACTCACTCAAGCCATATTTCATTTCTTACTGGATCAAAAGTTATTTTCATTCTTAGCTTTACAGACATTTTTCAGTACAAATTTACAGATTGATCCATACATAAGCCCCCCCCCCCCCGTTTGGCTGCCCCATTATTTGTGATTTGGGCAACACCCTTGATACAAATTGGGTCCCTGAAACCTGATCTTTGCACCAAATTTGGCATGTCCAATTGCCCCCCCGGGGAAAACTCCCTATAATAAATCACAAATAATGGGGCAGCCAAATGGGGCCTCATAGTTTTCTCAAATACTCTCATTTACAATTATTGGTTCTCATTACATCAGTCACATTCTTTACAGTAGTTGTTTCTCATTACATATATCAGATACTTTCTTTACACTCATTATTTCACATGTTCCCTTCAGGATAACAGTAGTACACTCTTTCATAGCCCTTCTCCTCTTTGGGTTTGCTCCCCTTTACTCATCCTTGTTTTATGTTGACATTTCTCATCTCTTTTTCTACATATGTACATTTCTTTCTCACAACCAGAATTGCCACAGTCTGTGCTCATTTGTATCTTGGAGTATATAAGTAGTTCTTTTTACGCTTGTACCCCCCAACAACAACATACCATAACATAGCAGAATATAGAGAAGTAGGCCCATATAGATTAGACCCATATAGATGTAATCATCCACCCTGTATCAATGCATATTCTGCCAGACATAATTTAGTCATATTTTCTTCCCCCTCCTTTGCATATTTTGCACATTGACCTTTAACAATCCTTGCATATTAGGGGGTATCAAATATAACCAAATCCACCATTATTCAATTGACTGGTTTGAAAAAATCTACCCTTTCTCAAACATGTTGGTTCTTCATTTAACTCCTCTTGGGGCACATTGATGCAAAAATATAATTTTGGAAAAGTGACTGGTTTCTAATGGTGGATTTCCTATATTTGATACCCATTTTGCACATTACTATTCAAACAGCCCTGCATATTTTGCTCATTCCCCTTGGTTCTGAATCATCACTCCATTATCCTCCCTCATCATCACTCTTCCCCCACTCTGTGGTATTCTCACTAGAATTTGATCATGCGACTCCGTGTCCTAGACCTCACTAAGAATTACTAGAATCCACACCACACCTTTCTTTCTTCTTTTTCTTAGTCCAACTCTTTTCAACTCCAGCATTGTCCAGGAGGGAAGCTTCAAGAGCACCCATAGCCTCAACTTACATTATTTGTAGTTTAGCTGTCTATTTCCCCTCTCAGCTATGTTTCTGATTGTTCAACAATTCCACACCGTTATGCAAGCAGAAATACCAACTGATCTTGATTTAGAACACATCCCTTTTAAGGCTCTGTTTGGCAGTCCATTATATCATAAGAGAAAATATGAAAATCTGGATAATCAGAATAAGGTTGATAAACCTTAATCCAATTATCACAAAGTTAGACAATCCTCTGCCTATGACCAACCAAACACAAGACTTACTAAAGAACTCACTAAGAA